GTAAGGAGCTCTTGCCAGGGTCTTCCGTGGTGCATGCCTCGAACCATCAAAACCATATCGTTGTTGCCCTCGCCTGTACGCGCAGACAGATCGCCCATGAGCACAGGCGGGAACAGAAGATAGGCACGCCCATGGTCGCCGGTCTCGCGAATGAGCAAATCTCCCTTGTCACCTGCTGATTGCTGGTTGTCGCGATGTACCAACTCGACCTGGCACTCCAGGCGCTGCCCATTGGAGTGAGCGAGATCCAGCGAGAAGGCATCCTTGGCGTTGACCTGGAGACCTTGGTCGATTTCCACGTAGTCCAGGGCGCCCAGAGTCCTCAGATCCCGAGCGCGCGTCGTGTCCGTTCGCGCTGCCTCCTCATCCGCCAACCTAGCAGTCTCCTCCCGGTACCTGCGGCGCGACTTGCTCTGCAGCTCTTCAAAGTGCTTGAGCAACTCATGAGCGTCCTCCGAGGGCATAATGGTGTCGACGCACTTGATCAGCTTGACCATGTGCTTGATCCTGATCAAGGGTCTCTTCAGTAAGTGGGCAACATCCACCCGCTCGCCATCTTCGTTGAGGACATCACCGTGCTCGTTCCTCGGCATGGCGTTGAGTAGCGAGTCCTCATCCTCTGGCACGCCGGCAGCAGGCGCGAGGTTGACGATGAGATCCTGGAAGCCTAGGCGCCACGAATCGAGATAGCGGTTGTAGATGGGGACTATGCCGTGTGCCCAGTGCACCATTCGGCGGAGATCGTGGTGCGGCGCCTTCTTGTGGGCATTGCGTAGCTTCTCCAATGCAATGCCCATGCCCACAACAGCAGCAGACAGCCCATCAAGCTTCTGCGTGGATTTATCAAAGATATCAGCTGTCTTGACATCATTGACAACTTGTGAGAGCAGCACGGGAACAACTCCATCAACAAGTGTTTTAAGCTCTCGCGTGTAGAGCCCCTCATCGTCGCTGAACTCTCGCAACAATTCGTTGTGAGTGACCTGATCACCGTGTCCTCGTACCTTGCGCAAGCTTGGCCTTGTCCTCTTGATGGAATCTGGGATGCTCCTGTCGTCAGGTAGGGACAGCACCGACACCAAGTCAGAGTGTTTCGTCAACCTCCTCTTGAGGCTAGGCGTAGCCCCGTTCTTGCTCTTGTCCCGTGAAAGGTTGCTAGCCTTTGTAAGAACAGTGGACTGAGTCAAGGTGGATTGTGACACGTCTGAAGTCATATCCGACTCCATGGCGCTGGAGCTCTCTTCCGACATAATTGTAGATAGCTCGTAATTGCCATTCGTTGGAGGTCTGAGCCTGGGCCCGGCCATTCTAGGCGTTTGCTCTCTTGATTCTTGACTTAATTCAGAGGTGGTGGGAGTCTCGTCGTACAGGTAGCTTGACCTGGTGTCGCACCCAGACATTGTCCGGTCCTCGGACATGTCGTCGTCGTACTCATCATCCTCGAACCGCCGCTCCTCCTGGCCTTGGTAGTTGAACGAGGGTATACGCTGCACAGACTCTCCGGAGAAGGCGTCCTTTAGCATGCCAAACAGCGGGCGCCTCACCTGCTTGGTGGGCGTCGATGAATTGCGGATGGCACTCCGTCGCTTGAGACCATCAGATGACGTTTTTGATTTCGGGGTCACGTCATTCACGCTAGTTGAAGGCAGCGACGTGTCTTCGCTACGCATGGACTCTGATTTGGTACGAGAATGACCACTAGTGCCTGTGTCGTGGGACGATTTGCGGTCCGTCCGGGGCTTCCGTTTAGCTTCAAGGGTCGGTTGCCTTGAGGACTGGTCAGGGACTGGTTGTGGCACCGGCTCTGGAGTTCGGTCTTTGGTCTTTGTTTCCTCGGCCGCGCTTGTCTTGTTCTCCTTGTCTTCGACGAATGGGTCTACGGTATCATGAAGCCAGTTTTCGATGTTTGGCGGCCTGTTCGCTGCCGTCGGGCGAGGTGGCTCGTTCATTTCGGATATGATCTTCTTACCCTCTTGCATGACCTTTTTGAAGACGTTGAGACTAGCCGTGCGCTCTGGCGCCTTTGGTTGCTTGGGTCTGCTCCGTGCTGGTCCATTCAGTGGTAGGTCGAGCTCGCTGAATGCTGAATGGCCCCAGGGAATCTCTCCGGGGATGTCAGCCAGTGACTTGTGTGAAAGCTCAGAGCCCAGAAGCTGAGAAGGCGACAACGCTGATTCATCATCCATCTCTTGTTCTCGAGTTTTCGAACCGTGGTTCTGAGAGCGCTGTCTGGCCTTGGTGTTGCCTCGCGCCTTGGCTGGGACGCTCAAAGCAGATTCCACGTCTTCAATCACCTCGATAAAGTCCTGGCCCGTACTTTGTGAAAGCTCGGATGGCTCCTCAATCACCTCTATGCGATCGAGTGCAGACATTGGTGGCCGCGGCGATGACGGAAGCGTCTTGCTTCTTGACCGGGACAGGCCAGTGGACTCGGTGAGCTCCGTGGATAACTCGCTCTCCACCTTGATCTCGGACTCGCCGTCCACGGCCGAATCCATTGGGGCAATGCGGATTCCATCGTCGTCCTGCTTCTTCGTCCGCACATGCTTGACCCTGGTTCCGTCCACCGGCACCGACCCATTGCGCTTGTGGCGAAGCGACAGACGTGCTGTACCATGGCTCTTGGCTGAAGTGGCACCCTCACTACGGATGTCGCTGAAATCAACGTCTGAGATGATACTCCTGGCCCCCGACTTGCCCGAAAGGCAGGTCCGTGGCGGGGGCGTATCTGGCACTTCGACCTTGTCTGCCCATGCCTTCACCCGGTTGGACACGTTTGCACCAGCTGCAGTCTGCAGAGTGAAATTCTTGGGCATCTGACCACCCGCGGGTGATCTCTTCGGCGATAGTCTTCGTGGGGATATTTTCCGTACCGGCGACTTTTTCCTCGGTGGTGATTTTCGCTCTCTGACCTTTTTCCAGTGCTCGTCGCTGACCACCCTCTTCTTTGGGGCAGGCGTACCCTCTGAGCTGGCGGGTGTCTCGCCCGGAACCTTGTATTCCACGACGGGCGGCTTCTTCTTCTTTTTGCGCATCTTGATCCGTATCCTGTCTTCCTCGGTGACATCTTCGAAACCTTCTTCTCCGTTAAAGGCCACGTCAGTCGGCTCGGTGGCTGCGTCATCTGGTGTGGGTGCGACTTTGACTGCTGCATTCGCTTTTTGCCATGCCTTCACGCGATCGCGAACGCCTCCAGGTGGCTGGACTCTCCTCACAGCGCTTTGGCGCATCTCATGCCGTAATTCGGCCTTGACAGCCTCCACGCTCTGGCGACGTTGACGTTCGGCAGCGAGGCGAGCTGGTGAGGGGCGGCCTAAGAGGAAGTCGGCAAGAAGTGTAGGTGGTTCAGGTTTCTTGGAGTTTGATCGGGGACGCTGTCCGTGACCAGTGACCTGTCGTGTGGGGGTTGACGGAGCATCTTTGGGCTGCTCCTTCTCTTTGGCTGCATCTGGAGTATCCTTGGGAGGCGCGTCAGACTGTGGCTTTGAGGTTGAGGTCGCGGTCGCGGTCGCGGGGTCGGATGAGGCGTCCGTTTCGGCAGCCATCTCGGTGGTAGATATTGGAGTCGCTACTTTTGTAATTTCATGCTGTTGAGTATTTTTGTATCATGTGGGATTGACGCAATGCGAAACACGGCGTCAACACAGGGTAGGGTCGTGATGGTATAGTGAGCGGCTGGAATGCGACGAGGTGGGATGTTTGGCGGGAGGGATGGATGGGGTCGAGATCGGGATCAGGAGGTGAATTGTGGCACAATTAAGAATGCGAGGTCAGTTCGGCGAGCCGCAGAAAGAATGACAGCCAGCTCGGGACGATGTGACGCGACGAACGAGGTGACGATGTGGTGAGATGATGTTGTCGAGGCCTCGAGGACGACAAGGGCATCGTAGCTTGGCCTGGCTACGATATTACGGTCTAACTACGCATCAATGCAGATTGGGCACGCTCATCAACAAGGCCAGCGGATGCCACAGTAACGGCCGCGTCAAGTTGAATCAACAACCAATAGCGGAGACTGTGAGCAACACAATTCCTGGCATTGTTGGTTAGACTGATGGTGGCGTATGCACCTCATTCGCCGCTAGCAGGGCCCGACGCGGGCCTCGTCGATCGACCAATCAGGTGTTATTTCTAGGAGTCGGATTGAAAGGCGGTGCTGTCTGCCACGCACTTCTTCCATGTCATAATGTTCGATATTTCACGGCTGCTGGACACGATCCGGAACACATAAAACACGATTCTCCTTTGGTCCTTGATCACTGTACAATGCGGAGGGACGACAATGAGCTGCTCGTCCCTACACAACGCAAACAAAGTCCCGGGATCCACCGTTGAGCTGCACATCTGCCCAAGATGTTAACAACCTTGACTCCCTGCCCCTGTTATTTTGGTCGTGGCTGAAAACAAGCAACACAAGGAATCAGACATTTCACAACGCTCCTCATTCCAAGCAAGCGATCTGGATTCTCCCAGCCCTATCTGGGGATATACTGGTGCTTGCACTGCTGGCAATGGCCCCAGCCGCCTGTACGATCACGTCAAACTGGATACGATGACTGCTGGGCCCTACTTGGACGCCTGAACAGCTTGCAAAAACATCGCTCTACTAACAACCGGTGTCCAGAACTTGAGGCTTGGCCAGCGATCCCACAGCTGACTGACTCTATCTGATGTGGCTATCGCTGCAGCAGGAGGAACACCATCCCCGCATTCACCCGAGGTGAGACAGAGGGGTCCTATGACCTGTGCCACACGCCACTCATGTCACAGTGGGCACTTGACAGCCTCGCTTCAGGGCAGCAATAAGAAGAATGAACTGGTATTTCTGTTGCTTTCCCTCTTGCCAGTATGCGTATGCTAATGATAGCAGCACCATGATGTGCCTGCCCATGCTATTAACCACCCCCATGCGGTACCAAAGAATCACAGACAAATCGCCGCCGGATGCAATATGATGATGCGAACCAACAAAACGCCTAAACTCCGCCCATGCATCATCTCTAGTCCCTGGGGGGCAGTATGAACCTGACCTTCTTCTTTGGCTTCCCAGACACCTTCGTCTTCTTCTCCGCGGGCGTATCGGGCTGCTGTGCATCTCGAAGTTCCTCCTCCGTCTCCTCCTCGATGCTCCAGACGTCGGGGCTGGGTACACGCCAGAGATGGCCTGGCCGGAGGGAAGGACTGCTGCTGCGCTGACCACCCCCCCGGGACCGTCCTCGAGGTGTAGGTGCCGGAAACGAATGTTGTGATAGTAGGGCATTGGCACTGCGGCCGAACGATGGGCTCTTTGCTAGGCTGAGGCCGTCAATGTGGAGATCTTTAAACGATGTGAGTCGTGAATTCAGAGGTGACCAGTGAATGTAGTCTTCCTCGTCGTCGTCGTCACCATCATGTTCATCTGGCGATGTCATGCCAGAGTCGCACTCGGGGGAGGATGGACGGTCTGGCTTGCTCAGGCCCTCCAATGTCGAAGGGCTGACGCTGCGGACCATCTCCGCCGGATGGTTGGGGTCCTCGATGCCAGCATCGAAATCTGTGCCATAGTCTACGCCGACGTCGTCTGGCGTTGGTGTGAGAAAGTAGGTCAGAGGGTCATCGTCCATATCATCCAGCAGCGGTCGAGGCTCATTAACCTTTCTGTTGCGAGGGGTCTCGAGCCACATTTGCGTAGGGGGCCACGAGTCCCTCCGGATTCTCACTTCGGCTTCGGTAGGCATGTCGTTGGCTAATGATGGCGGATGATGCACGTTGGGTCTGCGAGGCATGGAACGCCGATGCCTCCGGTAATATTTCCACAGAGCCACAATGGGCGTCTTGGGTTGGACTGTGAATACTGGGCACACCAGCAGAGGCAGTGATGATGCGAGGGCCAGGTTAGCCTGTCATGGAAGAGAAAAGGAGTTTTTCCGCGACAAAGAAAGCGAATGGATCAAAAGGCATCATTCTTATGGGCTGTCGATTTCTTATAAAGTTGGCTGTTGACCAGTGGTCACGGGCAATCAAATGGCGCAAGGCTACCGATACCATGCGTGAGACAGGTCTGTCACAGTCAGGCTAGAGAGTGAAGCCCTGTGAGTCGATATGGCGGTCATCGACATGCCAAGACAAGCGCATTGCATGCACGTGAAGTCGCCTCCTACCACCTTGTGGGCAGAAGCTTGGCACCAAAACAAGGCCGCAGCCTCGCGAAATACGAGAGTAGGCGACCTTCCCCAAAGTGCGTGACGAATCATGGTTCGCAAGTCCAAGATAAGAGGCGGAGGCTGGGCAAGAAAGCTTGCTTCCAGCTCTCCAACGTTTGTAAGCTGAGACAGCATGCCACCATCTCCAGGACCATCTGACTCCCGAGCCCCAGAATTGCGTGGTGGGTGGTGACTCGGAGCCCCCATCGACTTTGGGAAGTCCATGGTCATGCCGGTTTCCCATATGAGAATGCCATCTGCATGATTCCCATATTGAATCGAGCAATCTTCGTTGGATCGGAGATATTCCTGCCTCTTGAACCTGCGTCTTGAGCACTGAGATGCATGCAGCGTGCCTTGCATGTCCGCATGTTGCAAAGTTCAACTTCATCCATGACACTGCTCGAGCCTGCCAAGGCAGCAGAAGTCTCCGGCGAGGTGGTCATCTGAGGCTTGCAGGTTGGGGATGGGGTGGCGTCCGGTCCGGCCCTCCAAAGAGCTTGCGGTTGACGCGCGTTGGTACGCGCACCATGGTACGTAGATCGATCAACGCTGGAAGTGCCAAGCGCTCTTTGAGCAGTACCATCCAGACTGGTCAATAGGGACCTTGGAGATAGTGCTGTGAGCTTGTATCGTCATGGCACGACAGTTTATCGAGGCTTGCGCTAGTTGAAGCGCCATTGTTTGGAATGGCCTCGCACTTCATCGAGCCACGGGACCACGATGATAAGGAAGTCTGCACTCTGTCGGCAAAAGTGCGACTCGGATGTTCGTAGGATTCAGCATGACGTGCACGAGTTTTCTTTCACCTAGCGTGCACAGTGCTCGATCAACCAGCATCCAGAGTCGACAAGGTATTTATTCAGGTTGGCACCAAAGCACTTGGGCCGTCGGGTCTCATGGAGCACATGCGTACATTCCGGCTTGATGGCGGTGTGGGCAACTGACCCACGATCCAGATAACTTGTGATTGAAGCCTAGCCCTGCGGCCCGCAAAGGGTGTCGTCACGCGCTTGATGGCGGGGAATTTAGCGGGGACTACCCTGTCCATATCAGATTCCAAGCAGGACAGAGGAGAGAACGCTTGACTCCATGACATGACATGGCTAGCCCAAGAGCCAGATGAGCATTTCAGGGTGTGCTCTGAGATGACAAGTTCAAGCGTTGAGGTTCGCCAGCGGAGACGATGAAATTCGATGAAATGTAATGTCCGCCGCCCCGCTTCTTCACTGTCACAGAGGTAGCATCACGTGATATGCTCACTCCCCATTCCATCTCATCGCCTCAACTCATCACATCTCACAAGGACAACTGCCTCACATTAACTGCCCACCCATTCCACCGCGGCGAGGAGATAGACTCAAGCGCTGTCAGGATCACCTACGTAACACGCTCAAGCTTCATGATTTTCGTCCAATTGGTGCTCTGATCGTCTTCGTACCCCTTCGACACTCCCGCGCAATCTGGACGTGTCAAGCCCTTCCGTCATGACGCAGCTTCCCACCACGGCTGCGCCGTCTCGATCCCACGCTACACAGCCGGGACACCGAACTTCCCAGCCGTTGCGAGCTATTTCGTACAACATCCGATATGCCACCCAATCGCCGGTGTTGGGCGAGCGACCCTGGACCGTGCGATGTCCCAAGCTGTGCACGCAACTCAACTTCCTCACCGCAGGCCACGAAAGTCCCTTCATCTGCCTGCAAGAGTGTCTCTACTATCAAGTAGTCGATATACAATCACGTCTGGGCTCCAGCTGGTCTCACATTGGGCGAGGTCGCGGCAGGGCCGAGACGGATGGCGAGTTCTCGCCCATCTTCTACCGCTCCGGCATCTGGTCCTGCGTACGCAGCGAGACACGCTGGCTGAGCGAAACCCCCTACCAGCCATCCAAAGGCTGGGATGCTGTGCTGAACCGCATAGTCACCATGGGCGAGTTTGTAAACAAAACCAGAGGCACCCGGGTTGTGGTGATGAGCACGCATTTCGATCACATTGGTGTCAAAGCGCGTCAGCATAGCGCTGAGCTCTTGATCCAGTTTGCCAAAGAATGGAGCCATGACAGTGACATCAGCCCTGCCGTCGTCCTGATCGGAGGAGACTTCAACAGTACGCCGAATGACGGCGCATACAAGACCATGACAGCCCCCGGGTCAGACATGTCCGACATTGCAAGTCTGATCCCCGTGGACCAGCACTACGGAAACCACCTCACGTACACTAGCTTTGGAGAGCCGACGGAATGGCCTAAACGCATTGACTTTCTGTTTGTGCAGGAGCCCCGGACAGCGGTGATTACGAGCTTTGGCGTCGTCTCCAACAGTTTCGACGACCAGATTCGTATATCGGATCATCGCCCGGTTGTGGCGGACATGGATATTGTGTCTTACTTTTGAGGAGCGCACGGCCACAAGGGCCTATCAGGACGCAAAGATCGTAACATGCGACCTCGCCTAACATTTCGCATCACCTCTACAAGGCATGCTCACACGGAGCCCGCGTCGCGATGCGCTCGTCGCGATGCGCATCAAACCAAGACAAGCGTTTTCCCCACACCTCCCACTTCTGGGGGAGCTATGTGAGCAATCGGTACCACCCGTGCGGCGTCTGAAAGGTGGTGATGGTGGGATCAATGCTCGGTGGTTGTTAGCCATCGAAATGGCGGTGAGGGGCCAAATGTCCACACACTGAGAACCGCCATTGCTCTAGCAATCGATGCCATTATGCGATCATTCGTCCGCTTTCAACAAAGACGTACATTCTGTCCGTTGCGATTTGCACCGAGAAGCATTTTGTGAAGAGGGTGGCGAGCCTCACGCTACCGCTCGTGGGACTGGGTCGCGGCGGACGTTGATGGACGCCTTCTTTTCAGACTCGTCATCGTCAACGAATGGCAGCCGCCCTTGGCGGCCGGATTCTATCGCCAGCATGCGCCTTTGTGGGGTTTCTGAGATCTTCGAGGACGAATATGATGGCCGTGAACCCTGCGCCTGCGTCAATGCGTCTGCTTGCGGCTTTATGGGCTAGATTGCCAATGACCGTCCAGATGCATGCGGCCAATCTTTTCTGGGAAACAATTGACTTGCAGTGAGTGAGCACATGGAACATGTCTGTCAGCAGCTGCTGCGATGGTGAGCGCACGGCTGATCGCGGAGCACGACGTGCAATGCGCGAAAACGTACTGCGCATGCGCAACCCAGGTCATGTAAAACGTCTCTGCCCCCAATCGGGACACGGGTCTTGTCCGATAATGAACACTCCACGAGCGCGTCAAGGAGGTGGTCACTCGAGGGCGCCCGTCGCCGTCAACATGTCGACACGTTGATCTTGAGTGGTTTGCATGACTGGCCGCCCAGCAAATGGTCTTCTCCTCTTCTACTACATACTGCGTCGGCGCACCGAAGCGTCCGGAATGGGGCACCGGTCGTGAACCGGGGAACGGACGGGATGGGGCAGCTTGGTGGGTTGAAGGCATGGACGGGACATGAGCCGAGGGCGGGAAGGTGGGAGACGACGTCGAGTCATCAGGATTCAGGACAAGGCGCGTGTCGAACGTTGAATGACTGAGTGACGGGCCGCGTTGCTGCTGCTGCTCTGCTGCTGCACCTATAGGAAAGAGGATGCGCTGGCGTTGAGTGTACTCTTCCTGCACGAATGCATCACAGAGGCTTACGGGTAGCTGGGCACTGGCTAGCTAGTATCTGCACCTGCGCGGACGCAAAATTGCGTCGTTCTCTGCTTGCTGAACCGTCAGCCAAGTTGTACTCTGTTCAAACCCGTGATGACTCTTCAGTCTACCATGCATAGTTTCGTTGCTTCTCGCCACTATGCGACTGTCGTGTACGTTCAACATTGTGCCATTGGTACCCGACACTCACTCCTCGACTGGTACAAACTCTGCCGTTGACGTATCGGGCACGAACGGGAACCGCCACCAGATGGCAAATCTTCACACTGAGCGTTTCCGACATGGCATTTTCACTCTGGTCGTGCCGTCTCGCTGGCTTTCGCCGTTCGGGACACCCCTGTTCGGGCTCGGGTATGGTGGAGCAACATCATGCAAGCTCTTGGGACATGATCGTGGCACCAGCCCAGGCGCCCCATCGTCCCCGTCACCAGAAGTGACAACTCGAAAACTAAAAGTGACTCAGGATTCTAAGTGTATCCTTGAGGACACATGGCCTTGGAGACAGCCCTGTCAGGCCCAGTGGGTGTTTCAGAAATCAGAGGCCGTCTCGCGCGCTGGCACTGAACTGTCGTATGTACAGTAGACGTACCGGGTCGGAAGGGAAAGGCCATGCATCGACTGGACCCCACAGTTGGGCTCGAGTGCTTGAGAATTTGAGACCTGGGCGCTATCCAGTCGTTCGCTCAATGGCTCACCCGCCTCACTGAACAGGCTAGACCCCAGGTGCTTGGGATACGGCTTCTCTTCTGGAAGGTTTATCAGCGGAGAGTATGGCACCTGGTCAACCGGTGCACAATTGGCTCGTCGAATGGCGATACGTTTCGAAAGAAGGCATGGATGTATACGCGCTTACGTGCTGCTCTACGTGTAGAGAGAATCGTTGGATCAACGACTGGAGACGGGATTCATCGTGGAGGGGTGTGTGAAATCGACCCTGGTCTCTCATCAGGGACCTGTTTGTGCGCCAAAATAGGATACTTGTTGATCAATGCTATCCTATCCGTAGTCAACTAGGTTCAGATTTGAAGTAGCAATTGATAGCCAGTTCCTTAGCTCGGATGCACTAGGCGCTACGCACTACTTTTTGTTTTGTATAACTAGTTGTACTGCTGGGCTGTCTGCTAGGAACTCACTTGTCATTTTCTGGGGTTTGAATTGTGATGCCCCCTGTCGGCGCAGGTCGACAAGACGCTGGCAAGCACAGTGCTGTGCTACAGACGGCAACCACACGGCGGGCAACAATGACAGCACTGCGCAGTGCGCAGTACGCAGCAGGCGACGATTGGAGGTTTGTCGAGCACAATCATACCCATTAATCAATTCCTGCGCGCTGCCTGGAGATGCAGACGCCCCATCCCTGCTTGTCCCCACCCCCATTCCTCCCGCCGTTGCTGGTTGCCACAACCTGAGTCCCTGTGTGAGTGTCCCCCTCCCTCCCGTCCGGCCTTTCGAGAAGTTACCCCTCTACGGAGTATGTTCCAGTCTGTCTGACTGCTCACGGTGTCTCTTTTATCTCAGGTCTCATGGAAAGCTCGTGGCTTTGCTCCCAGAAATACAGTATTCAAGACACCTAGGAGTGTCCTGAGAAGCAACCAGCTCCAGTCTCCTGTCCTATCTTCATCCAATCCAATCATCAAGTTCAACAAAGACAATCAACCCTACAGCTGGTGCAGTCCAGTACCATCCCCCTCCGCTACTCTAAAGTCGCCCTGCTGTGCGACATTACAGCTGGCAGGACCCGCTGCTGCCCACTGAGCCAGGCAGGTGCTCCCTCTGCATTGGCTGCGCGGTCGGTGCTTCCGTTTTCATAAGAAGATTCCTCCCCCAGATCTGCCGTTGCCGCTGCCTGACCTGGGTCTCCCTCTCTTTTTCCTTTCTTCCCCTCAGTATCGACAACCACCGTCCGTCCGCCCACACACAACCGCGACACTCACTCACGACTTCACGAAACGATCACGACGACCTGACGCTCTTGGCTCTATTTACGATCAAGGTTGATTTTATGACATACTCAGCTCTTCCGCCTTCAATCAACCCGGTAAGAGCGGGACCAGAAAGATTCAATTCCAGTTGCCGTCCTGAATCTGACCCACCCTCCAAGGATCGTCCCGTTCCTCGTCCTGGCTTCCTAGCCACGCTCGACCCAGCGCCTGCATTCCAATTGCGACCGCCACCCTCTGCGCGGCCAGACTTCCCCCACCAGCCCTGGGGCTGACGAGCCTTTCGTCACTGCTGCGCTTCTAGCGTTCCCCATATCATTCTCTCCTTCTACACGCTACGAAACTCAGACTCAGCAACCACCATGCGCGACCACAAGATCGCCTTTGTCGAAGAGGCAGACGACGACTCTGGCAGCTCCGTCAATGGTCGGGAAGGTACTCGCGTCTACGCATTTACCGACTGTGGCGATGAGCCCAGCACCCCGTCCAGGGAACGTCCCAACACCGGCAAGAGCAGACGCGGCGATCAACCCAACAGTACTTCGGAGTCGGCCAGTCGATCCGCCCGGAGGAAAGCAGAGGACAAGGAACACCGAAGACTGCGCGAAGAAGAGCGCAAGAAGCTGGAACGCGACGAGGCAAGGAGAGCTCGGGCAGAGAAGAAGGCTCTGGAGGACTCTTCCAAGGCTTTGAAGAAAATCCGACCGCAAGCCAGGCACTCTCAGACGCAACCCGTCATACAGCAATCACCGCAAGCCTACAGACGCGGCCACGTGGAGGAGTCAAGCTACTATGGAGTTCCTCAACCTGCGTCCTCGGGCAACCGACCTCGCGCAAAGACAAGACCCGCCAGCTACTATGCTGGGCAGACGCATCCACCTCCCCACGTTGGCAGCTGGCAGCCGAGTCCCATGATGCCAATGGCATTCTCACCGGCTGGTTCATACCCTCCCCCGCAAGGTTTCCCTCCTGGCCCGCCTCCCATGCACATGCCTATGCCTCCATCAAACGCGGGCCCGCCTGGGTACTTCGATGGAGGACCATCTCCGCCTACTCAGCACCGAGATCTGCGGTCCCGTTTTGAACGGCCTTCATCAGCCATGGGCGTACACCCAACCCCTCCACGAGGCTATGAGGCAAGCGACTTCGGGTTCGAGCACGATCAAGAGGATTTCTACGCGCGCCCCGGCGACGAGCCTCAATACCAGTCAAAGCGCTCTTCACGGACGGCCAAGCACGACGAGGACCGCAAGCGAATGCCTCCTCCCGAGTTCAAGAACGTCAGATCTGTTCCCCGCCGACCTAGCACGACTGCCAACCCGTCCACACCCTTCCAGCCGCCACCACAGCGACCGGCTTCGCGTCAGGGGCACTCTCGCCCACCTCGCCCATCTCATCGGCGATCTGTCGGTTTCCATGAGCAATCGGCATTTGACGATGACGAGGATGAGCTCGAGCAGGAAGACTTGTTCCACGACATGTCGCCAGAGCCAATCCACGACCAGCGCCGTCGGTCGATGTTTCGTCCTCGGCGAGATTCCATGTACTATGAGGATGACGAGTACGACATCGCCCCCGCTCGTTCTGGCCGCCGGGGAAGTGTCTATGGCTCGGTGCCTCTTGGTTCCGGGGGCGTCAGCCTACCCAAGGAGGACAAGTACCTGGAAGCCATGAAGTATCAGGAGGACGTCACTGGACCTACGCAGGTACCACTTACGGCCGACGCCCTTCGTAAGGCGAACAAGCCCAACGTTGCCAGCAGCCGTTCGACACGCAGCAGTGCCAGCCGCGACGAGAGCGAATACAACAAGCGCAGCAACGCGACTGGCATTACTCGCTCGTCATCTGGAGGCAACGGAGACGATTTCACGATCAAGGTGTCCGGTCAGGCTGTCGTGCGTGTGCCTGGCGGCGCCGAAATTGAATGTGAAGACAGTGAGATCACCTTCTCCCACGGCGGTCGAGGCAGCGGAGCAAGCGATCAAGCCAGCAGTTTCTACCAGCTGGAGGATGGGGCCAGCAGCCGGCGCGAGCGCAAGGCTCTCCCACCCTCTTTGCCGTACCGGCCCCGCGCACCTAGCCAGTCCGACTTGCAAAGTCGCAGGCAGTACGCTCCAAGCCACGCCCCTTATGAGCCCTTTGATTACTAAAGGGCATGTTCACGAAATAATGAGTTCTGATGACGCGACGAAACGAGCATCTATTTCTTTCTCTATCGCCTTCTGTTACGGTTACAAAAACTGGGCATATTGGGGCAGCGAGCGATATTCTTTTCTCTTTTTCCTTATTTTGGATCTCTCGTATTATTCTTTGGGCCAGGTTTCTCTCTGGGAGGGCGGTCTATCGCCGGAGTGGCGCCGCTGGTGGTGGTTGATATGTTTTTGTTTTTGTCCTTGTCTACCTGGCAGGGCATGGAAATTTTGATACCCCCTTTGGAAGTCGGCTGCTATATCGGAGGAGGACACGTCTTTCAGTTTTCTTTCCATGGCAGCACATGGTGCCCCGTCTGCGGTTGATGGCTGGGGGCTAGGAGTCTTGACTGGACAAGGACGGTTGAGCCACTTGGCTTGACCGGTTTTCGCATGTCACTCAAGGCCTCATTTCCCAGAAAGTAAGGTAATCAGGATGGGGCGCCTCATCGTTGTCATATTTCTTGATTTTGTCTTTGGTGTTTCCATCGTCACGGTCAGTGCTGAGGCCATGACCTTTTTGATTATTGCGTTAGACTGTACGGACAGCAGGGGTTCACACCCCTTTTGGAAACATACAAATTCTGTTTGAGTGCAGTGGAACAGGCTATTTTCACGGTGATATTTGACATGTGTGATTACGCTGTGGTCAGTTTGGATTCTTGCTGTTCGTTGAGAATGGCCTAGTGTTGCCCATGAAATACTTACAGCCTATTGACGGCGAAACAAATGCCTGGTTCACCGTCTGAGACTACTACCAATAAAATGTGAATCCATGGAACCGTGAAATATAGGCTGATTACATGTATTCACAATTGTGACTGACCATGAGGTTGTTGGAAGACCTTCCGGGTAAACGAGGCATGTCGAGGAATCCCATCGATATTGGAGCTCTTTGCAATGTGATCCTCCAACGAACGTAACGGCATCGGACATTAAGCACATGGCTGACGCTTAGGGATCTCTCTCGCTCTACTCCGTAGTCAACCTTGTTATCAATATTACTTCCAGGCTCAAGTTTGTTTCCAGGCGGAGGTGCATGCCCAACTAGCTTGAGTGGTTGCATGAACAGCCCCACCCCGTTGCCGCGCCAGCCAGCCAGCCTTTGTTTACTTTGCCCGCGACGTCATCATCGAAATGCCAGTGCACGTTCCGAGGACAGCAATTGACCACAACCCACCTTAAGACGTTGACATGATATTGGCTACGGTAAGGTGCACTGAATATAGACTTCTCAGTTAAGTGCGTTCTGTCGGAATTTGTCAGACTGTTACGGATAAACTATTACGGATACACTTTTGGGCTCGTGAGTCGTGAGCGCCTGGTGAACCCTGTCTAGCCGCAGCTGCCAGCCCCCAGCCATCGAGTTGTTGTGGAAACGGCAGCTTATAGCGTAACACTTGCCGCCCAGATTCTGGCCGACTCATCCTCCTTCAACACCTCATTATAGCTTTCAACGACAGTCAAATCAGCCTCCCAGCTTTTCATGCTTGGCTGATGCCATCTACAATCCATTTGTTGTTCCCATCTTGCTGATCAGCTACGTACTATCATTGAGAAAAGAGACAATATCCAGCTTCCGCGCCGCTGGCATTCCAGCCCAAGAATTCTAGCTGCCACCGCGATGGCACCAACCCTCAGAGAGTCTATCCTCACCCTACTCGCGCCCTCTCCCACCGACTCAGCTACAGGCCACCATGGCGGACCCCTCGTTGCGGCCAAAGACCTTCTCGCGCGGACTTCGTTGCACCGCCGAGATGACGACAAGACAGACCCGTCTCGCGGCGTTCTCGATCCGCACGACATCTCCAATGTCGGCTTCTTCGTGCTATTCGCCCTGATTGGCGTCGCATTTGTCTGCACGGGCATCTGGTTCTTTTTCTGGGCAAAGAATGGAGGGTTCTACTTCAAGGAGAACGATTGGGATGATTACAAGACGACCGTTTTGAGAAGAAGAGGACCCAACGGCACTTTGCTGAGCGGTGCTACGGAGAGTACGAACTTGGGAGGCGGCAGTGTCTACAAGGACGTTGTCGATGATGATGGCCGCACTGTTGTCACCGAATCGACGGCTTTGAGTGGTATCACGGCCGGACCTAGCGACATTGGCGCGCGCGAGAAAAGGGAGCGCAAGCGTGAGATGAGGGAAAGGGAACGTGAGCGCCGACGCAACGAAAAGGAGAGCACAAGCGAAAGCGCCAAGCGCTCTAAACGACATGTCGGTACTGAAGGCGTCGAAGACGAGGAAGCCGAGCGTGCGGCCAAAGAGTATCTGCGCAACTACCGTCATGAGAAGGCTGCAAGAGTGGGTGGGTTGAACAAGGAGAGCGAGGGCTCGCAGTGGGATGGCAGCACAAACCCCGGTGACTCGACCGTCTCGTCCAACCTGCTGTCCAACAAGCAGGCGACACCGACTTCCACCCCGACCAAGGCTGGTGGCATTCGCAAGGTCTACAGCACAACGACCAAGAACGAGAGCCCCTCCCGCCACAAGGAGCCCAGCCGTCGCTCGCGCCGTGAAGATGGACCGCCCCCTGCTGCGTCCTCCGGCACCAGCTCACCAAGCCGTGTTGCGCGCAGGGACTTTAGTTATCAGAGAAGCGTCGTCGGCTCGGACAGTGCGCTCACGGAGAGCCTACTGGAGGGCACGAGCAGTGACCTGGGCACCAAGAGTTACCATCACCCCAGGCCCGAGCTGAGGGCGCAGAGGCAGAAGGAACGCGAGGAACGACGGGCGAGAAGGGGAGGTTACCGCCGGGGCAGGGGAGAGGATGATGAAGAGCTGTGATGGGATGGTGCTTGGAACTTGAAAGGTAGGGAACGGCGCTGGATCGGAGTGGTTTGGATGTCTTGTCTCGACTGTATGTAGAATATGATAGGATGACTCATTATGAGGTCGGAAGTAAACGTCTTCTAGCTACTACGTTGCTTGCGGTTAGTCTGTGCGCATGTCTTTCGCAAACATCATGTCCACCTCGTCTGCATTGTTCTCAGAACATGTACTGCTCGATGAGTGTCATCCTGGCAACATGAAGGTCACTGTTTCGTCAGCCATGAGCTCCTGAGACATTGTTGGCACGTTGCCCCGGTGTTCTCGTTGCTGCAGTTGGCGCGCTCATGAAACACGCACCGCACGCTTGCAGTCAGGCGCCAGCAATAAAGTCTAGGCGCTTGTTTTGCGATGCCTCACAGTGCAGCTCTATCGCCTTGTTGTCAGCGCCTTAGCCAGGGCCTCGGCGATTACCTGTCCCTAGGTAATACTTTGTGGTAATCTTTGTCGACTCTGTACAATATGCGTTCTGATTTTGCGATAAGGTAACCCAGGATAACGTCACCAAGCCGACTTGGTCGTCATGGGCCGCCTGGCCAAGAGTTACCATTGTGTCCCCGCAAGCCTGTTAGTACACCCTCACAGTTTCTGACCAACCCCTATCAGCCCCGCAAGCCGCAGGTGTACCTTGGCGGACTCGTCCCTGTAGTCCCACTGTAAATGGGGGCCAGCCGGAGCGCCAATCGCCCTCGCTGGGGTCCCTGGAGGCCCTATCTGGACCTGGGTGTCCGGTAAGTTCCCTCCCGCTGGCACTCTAGTCTCTAACCCAACTTTGGCTGGATCCGGCTCGACTGACCATTATTCATTCATCCACCTGAATCAATCGTCCACCTGTCGACGTAGTCTCCTCATCTCCCTTTCCCTCCCTTCGGTCCCTTCGGATACACGTGTCTGTCATAGTCCATTTTCTTCACGGCCTTGAGCGAGATTTCCATTCCCACCACCGACCGACAACTGCGCCTAGCGACCACCGACCACCGGCCCCCAAGTGGCGAACATACGAGAGGAGGGCCGCAGACAGACCGACTCGCGCTGCTCACGCGAGGGCTTGGGTGCTGCATTGAAGGCGTCCATACGTCCTATCCCAGGACCAGCGCCAACGTTCAGACGATCTATGGGGAATTCGCGACGACAAGGGCACTCCTAAAGCAATCACGAGCCTGCGACCACACCATCTTACTCGCGGCGGTGACGCCGTTCATCTTGACATCACCACATAACCAGCACGATGGCGACATCACCGTCGTCCGCCTTTACAGGCGTCATCATTGGTCTAGTCTCTTCGTTCGGTTCCATTGTTTTGATAGCGATCATTGTCTTCATTTTTTGGGTGACGGGATGTGCTGGGTCTGGGCGGATCTTGCTCGATCGCCTGGGGCGGCCGAGCGAGTATGATGATGAGCAGGCGTTTGCGCGAGAGGAGGCAGAGGCACTGGACAACATGGATGAGATGGCGAGAGCAGAGTACCTCAGAGCAAAAGGTAGGCATCCCCCTTCCCGTACAGCCTGCTCTGGCCAGGCAAGCAATGGGCTGACTGACGCGAGCGCAGCTTTTGTGACGCACAACCCTCCCGAATCGTTACAAACGGAAATATCACTTTCACAATTCCTCGCCATACAAGAAAAGGGCGTCTCGGCCTGGGAGTTTGAGCCAGAGTTGGAGATTGCCAACTGCTTCGTCGAGGCGCGGACCGAAATCGAGTTCTTCGACACGGAATGCACGGTCTTGACGAATCTGCCAGTCCCGAAGCAGAACGATGTGTATTACTGGGAGGCCAAGATCTACGACAAGCCGGAAAACACACTGTTGAGCATAGGAATGGCGACGAAACCATATCCTCTGTTCAGATTACCAGGTAGGCGAGCCCGCTTTCACGCGAGGGGGAATGGCGCGAGCAGCGTTGCTGACATGGACAGGCTTCCACAAATACTCTGTTGCATATCAATCCACCGGCCACCGACGCTACAACCAGCCCTTTAGCAAGACCAACTACGGCCCTCCGCTTGTACAAGGTGACGTCGTGGGCGTTGGTTACCGTCCTCGCACAGGCGCCATCTTCTTCACCCGCAACGGCAAGAAGCTGGAGGAAGTCGTGCACGGACTGAAAGCGCAAAACTTCTTCCCTGCCCTGGGCGCCATCGGTCCCGCGGTTGTTCATGTGAACTTTGGCCAAGCGGGCTTCGTCTTCATCGAGGCCAACGTAAAAAAATGGGGCCTCGCCCCTGTCACGGGTAGCCTTGCCCCTCCGCCGCCCTATGGTTCGGAACAGGGCAGCATCCTCCTCGAGACAGGCACCAAGGACGGGTTCACGGGTACACCTAGTCGCACCCACAGCCACTCCGTCAGCAACTCGTACAACGTCCGTCATGGGGAGAACCTCAATCCGTCACATGGCCGGACCCGCAGCGGCAATTTTAGGATCTTTCCGCCGACGAGTCCCGGTCCGGTCAGGAGCCCGACCGACATCTCGCTCACACAGCTCGCTCCCAACGAGGGCAACGGTGAGGGTAGCGGCGCACACCAGGCCTACGAGGAGGAAGTCTCTGACCCGATAAACCTACACATTGAAGACGCGACGAACCCGCCGCCGGGCTACGCAAGCCCAGAGCAAGCCGCGCACGAGAGACACGCAGCAACGGAAGGCGACGAGGAGCGACCGCTGCACGTCTCCTCTTCTGCCGCCACCAATAGCAACAGAGATAGAGGCGATCCGGTCACCGCAGCGATGCCAGCGCATCATGATGGGCCCGTGCCGAGTTACAGTGATGCAGTCAGGCAAGGCGCCACGCCTCAGCCCAGGAGCGACGACTCATTTTCCGGATCGGCAGGAGAGGAAATTGAAAGTCAAGATGACGATGAAGAAGAAGAGGAAGGTGAAGAAGTACGAGGAGGTTCACCCTAACGAACGATATGAAAGATACATCTATACAATCCACTCCTTGGGTCTCTTTTTATTCTCCTTTCGATACACATAGTCCTGTCGCCCCCCACCGCTCATCCTCTTCAGTCTCTTGCATTGGCGTCTTGGGTGTTATTTCTGTCCTTTATCAGCATTTTACTCAGCAGTGGCTATCGCATGACGCAGACCTCTCCTCCCATGTCTCTTTCTCTCTTGGGCTACCGGCAGATGGGGGAGTGTTTATATTAAAACAGCCCGGGGTAGCTTCAAAGAGGGGGAGAACAGAGTGTTCGCGAGATACCAATGAGACATACTTGTTTCGTCGATGCTCCATACAGTAACTTCACTTGAAAAGACAATCAACTTGAGAGAGAAGCATAACAGGTTCACTCAGTCTGCGCAGGAGGCGTAAGCGTCAGACAGCGCCGCAGCGCGCGCGTCTCTATCTATGGTAACCAGTGAAGTCCAAATCCATCGTGGATATGCAAAATGCCAATACCCAGGGGTTTCTCGATATATCTGCTCTTCAAGCAGCAACGGATTCCCAGTCGTCCAAATAGCAAAATTTGTCAAAATCAGATCCCGTGAGCATGCCAGCTCGTAAAACTGAAAAACGCCATCCAAAATCTCCCATTGTGCGCCTTGCTTCATTGTGTTGCTCAACACATTAAAAATCAACAGTCGCTATGCAGTTGGTGGTCGCCCATATACCAATTCTTTTGTTCGCCAAAAGGAGTGTGTCTATACTGTGTCGTTTCAAGTCGTGAAAGGAGTGTCTATATTGTTGCGTACGAGGTAGTCGTACTCGTCGTCGAGGGAGTGCCGTGGCTGAGAGTAGCCGGGTATCATAAGGATTGTTGTATAAGATGTAATACACATTAGGTCGGAGTGGGATATCCTATGGTCGTGAAGGAGTGTCATCGAGATCAACTCGAAATCAAGGAGTGTGTGTCGTTGGAGGCCGAGCCTCTCCTGTTGTAGCGAGCGTGGAAGGAGTGTTGTGTACATGGCGGCTGAGTCGATTCATGGCAGAAAGCATTAAGCCAGAGGGGGGTGTAAATCCAAAAGAAAAAAAAAATGCGGTACTGAAAGCGGTTGTGAATCACTGAGAATGGTGCATTCTTCCCTTGCCCTTGTCCTTGGGGTCAGGAATGCGATTGAGAGGAGCCTGGGCCAACGGAGATGGAGAGTGCGGTCCAGAGGAGACGGAAGGAGTCTGCCGATGCCGGTGTTGGTAGTGCGGGATGGAGCTCATCAGGACGGGCGGCGCCTCAGAGGAGGAGGCCATACCAGGCGTGTGAGGCGGGCGGTGCAGTAGTGGTGGCGTCGATGTCGATTTGTTTAAGTTCCTGGACGGCAACGGTCAATCCCCATTCAGTCGTCTCCAAAAGCAAGGCCGCCGTGGTGTATTTCAGATCCACACGGGTTGGGTGGTGGTAGGAGAGACGAACCCGGCACCGAAGCTGTGACGCGCATCGTGATAAATTGAAGACGGTTGAGCCTGCATGGCGGTGCCCATGTCCCAGGTCCTGTACTCGTCGGTGTCGCTGTACGTGACGGAGCCGTCCAGGTGGGATGGCGTCGGGCTGTAGGGTCCGGCGGCGTACATGGGAGACGGCATGTTGAGATACTGCGGCTGCGACTGGTAGGGCGAAGGCATGACCACGCTGCCGACGGGACTGTGGGTGTGGCTCACAGCGGCATTGAGCACAGGCATCGACTCGTGGCTGTAGCTGAAGGCGGGGTTTCCATACAGGCCATACGAATCAGAGCTGCTGTCGTACTCGGAGCGACTGTCGAAAGTCCGGAGGCTGGGTGTCTGGAACGTGGGGAACGACTGAGTGCGCTCTGGCTGGACCCAGCCCATGCGAGAGCGGAAGTCGCCAACCGAGTCAATGGGAAAGTCCATCAATCGCAGAGGCACAGTAGCACTGGAGTCGAAGTTGTCGGTGACGCTGTAAGACATGAGGCGCCGGGCAATCTCCTCGACCGGGACCAGGGACAGGCTACCAAAGTAGGCGGATCCGATTTCCGGGAAAAGACGCTCCATCAAGATGGCCACGGTGTACAGGTGGGCAATGGCGACGAGGGAGTTGGGGGAGCATCGATAGTTCTGCAGGTAGGCAACGGGCATCCAAAAGAGCCAGTCGCGGAGAGACCTCAGGCGCTCAAACTGCTGGGCGATGGGAAGCGTGTGGCTGATCTTGCGAGATCCCTTAAGGAAGCTGACCAGGTTCTGGATCTGTGTGGTGTCGACCTTGAAGGCATCCTTCTGGCTCTTGAGGTGGGCTTCGACCTTCTGGACCTGTTCAAGGGTGCTCTGGTAGGCGTCGAGGTCCTCCTTGCGTGGCTGCGCGCGGCGGTGGTCAGAGCTCGGGGAAGGGGACGCGGTAGGAAACGTCCTGCTCTCGGCGATGAAATCGACGAATTGCGACTCGTGCTTCCAGCCCTCCATGGCAGACATGATAGTCGAGGTGCCCTGCATGAGCTGGTTCCAGCCGGACCAGTCCGTGGCCTGCCAGGAGAGGACCAGGGATGCAGCCAGAATAGCATCCGAGTTCTCGCGCGAGAAAACACCTATGGCCTCCTGGAGACCGCTCAGCGCCAGGCCTCGGTGCTCAAAGCCCATTCCACCAACCAGGGGGCAGTCGGTGAGGAAAGCAATGTGCATGGCCGAGAAGGCGAGCAGTGCGTGCATGACGTACGGGGTTGTGGCTCCAATTCTCAGGATACTAGTAGAGTGAGTTGGCAGGCTTCTCAGGCGCGAACCAAGGGACTTACATGGGGATGTGGCGAGTCCAGAGGGTGAAATTATTAGCATCCATGACAGAGAGTTCATCGTAGACGGAAGCAATGTGATAGATCAATCTCAGGTCTTCCAAGGAGTAGTTGCTGGCCACGGGCACTGGGTAGATGCCCATGCTGGGGAAGGGAAACACGTTGGTCTGCTGCCACTGTAGGAGGCTAGCCTCGATCTCGGGAGTCCACATGAGATCGGGCTTGTCGGGCGTCGTGGACCTGTTGGGGTCGGACGCCGGGACATCGTTGTACGGGCAGCGGATCTTGTGCTTTGTGCAGTTGCGGCACTGAGGAAAGCTCTCGTCACAGCGGATATGGCGTTTCTTGCAGGTTTCGCAACCCTTGCGAGACTTGGTGTGGCTCCGGCGAGGAGGACCGCCACCTGGACCAGCCATTGCTAGAATGATGAGATAAACGAGAAGTGAAGAATCTAGGCGATATGTCAGGATGCGGAACGGCAGACCAGCAGGACGGCAGGCTGGGCGAGAGCGGCACATACATACGAGGAAGCTACACGGATAGAGCGTGTAGACAAGCCAGTAATGGTAGCGAACGTGGGTGAAGTGATGCGAGTTTCAGGCGTGGACAACTCAAAACTGCAGGATAGATGGACGGACACTTTCTCGAATCGTCCGAGAAGAAGCGTTACGGAGTGCAGCTACGACTATTAATGGTGTAGCGGAATATTAATAGCTGTCGTTGTCGTAGTCGAGTGGTCCGTTGATACTTGTCTGATTCCGAGAATCGAACTCTTGGCGGTGCTCTCTCTTTCAAAAAGCGAATTTCCCTTTTCCAAACCTTTCCCGGGGTCGGTCTGTAGCGATCGTGTGTGGCACTGTGGTCCTTGTCGTTTCTGAATCGTCTTAAAGCCTGGTCGTCGTCGTGTCGGGGGAGACTGGAGACTGGAGCGGCGGGTTGTTGGGTCGAGGAGGCGATTCAGAAACACACAAAGCGACAGCACCGGTAAAGCGAGTGACAGGAGTCAACGAGGACTTCCTAGGGGGGTTGGGGAGGAGAGGAGGGAGGAAAAAGCGAATGTCAGAGGAGAGACGACTTGTCTGTAGGCGGTGGTTCGATTCTTTAATGTTGACTAAGAGGGTGGAGGAGAGGAAGGTCTGGATGGGTTGGGGGACACTGGGCGTTATAAACAGACGGACGACATACACAGCCGTCTCAGGGTCGTAGGTTGCATCGGCTGGACCCAAGAAGGCCGGGCAGGGCTGTGTGGCCCGTGGGTGGGTGGCCTGAGAGAGGTGGGACTGTCCGCGGGTGTGTCGGGGGGCCTAGGATGAGGTGGGTTGGGCCCATGGAGTAATAGCAAGTAGCCCGCCTACAGGCTACTGTTAGGCTGGGCTGGGCTGGGCTGGGCTGCAGTGCGTTGTGCCAGGCCGTCCAGCTGTTGCATGACTAGAGGCCTGCGGTGACTTACAGCGCTGAAATCTGCTGGAGAGCACGCCAGGCACGGCCCGTAATCATCGTACAGCCAGTCGCACCCTTTGACAGTTTCTCACAATTGAGACGCCTTCACGTATGTGCGTCCATTTTATATTCTTCTGCTCAATGGGCGTAAATACAGTAACCAGCAATGCGACGGAGAATTTACGGGCTGATGCGGATCACATCGGCACTAACAGCATACAGGCCTGGCTGCTGTTGGTCTTATGTACTAGTGCAGTCGACTACAGCGTGGCAGACCAGTGAGACCACATACAGCACAGGGCTAGCGTGTCGGTCCAGTGACATTGGAGGCGCTAATTGGCATAGAAACAGCCAAAGGCACAGGATTCCGCGGGCAGCAGCATGGGAACCTTCGGCCGTCGGTGTGTGTTCTCCATAGGACTTTCTTTTTTTATTTTTTTTTATTTTTTTTATTAAAATCGCTAACCACAGCAGGGACTGGAGGAGACGAGGTCTTGTGTGCATCTTCAACGACAAGACCGATGAGACACCAGAATAGAACACCGGCACCTCGTACTCATGTGAGACCACAGCCCTCAGCCTCTCTTGTCCCGGTGCCTCTGCCCAGCAATCACTGCAGCAAATCCCAGTGAGGTGTTCAAGAGTCAAGACTCCCGCCATTCTTTCGGGTAAACAATTGAACAACAACCCAGTAGGACGGAAGGGCTAATAAGACTAAACCATGCAGGGCGACCAGGGAGGGTGCAGCAGTGCCATGACGCACATGGGGGACATCATCGCGTCTTGAAGGTTGGGATAAAAATAGCTGTCCGGAGGCTGCTTACTGCTCCATCTGCCAAACTGCCAGCGACAAGAGGGCCTAAAGTCGAGGACTGCTCCCGCTTTCCCAACAGGCCAAGATCACCCACTTCAGTCATCATCATCCGGGACTGCCAAGGGCCCAAGCGCCAAGCGCCAAGTGCTCAGCGCCCAGCTTGAAGCTAGCCTCGCTTGGACTGTGGGCTATCGGCAAACGGCAGAGGGGGCCTCATGACAACAGAAACGCCGTCTGAACTTTGTGGCTCACTGGTGTCTAAATTTATAAACGGACCAATGGCTGCTGCTGACATGGTGCAACCTCGCGAGATGAGCTTCATTCAGAGCTGAGGCTAGGGCCGAGTCGCCTCGCCCGTCAGAAGCCCTGTCTAGCACCGGTACCTCAATACAGATGCCGTATTCAGCCGGTCCCCTGGTGATCAGAAATCTTCATGTCGCGCCCTGTACACGTATACGTAGTATGTCTGTCCCTGCATGCCGTCATCCTGGGGTATTTGGCCACTGCTCAATGTATCTGACGATAGCTTCATACGTACGTCGGCGTTAACTCGAGCAGCCATAGGAGAATGCTTGGCACCGCTTCACTCGTCGCCGCGCTCAGTCTTTAGCCTCCAAACGGGTTTTGTGGGCATCAGTATTATGCAATTGGTTGATGACAACCACGCATTATTTACAACTCAGTTTGACATCACCACATCCTTTGTGATGAACCTACAGTGCGGCGGCCAACACTACTCGTCTGCCATACGTACAGCCTATGCACTGCTTGTCCTGATGATGTCTGTTGAGCAATGAGGAGCGGCTGGTACGCGGAACAATGAATTGCCTTGCAAAAATGGGACAGCCGCCAATTATTGCACTGAAACCACGCTTACTTGCCGCCATCGGCCGCCCCATTGTCAGCCGCGAATGAGACCATCTTCACGGTCCGTAGCACCTTGCAGCAGCTCGCCGCCGTTCAGCACGTAATATACGTGACTCTTTACGGAATAGTGCTGGCCACGGAAAGGCTTGCCGTCTTGTGTCCTGCGGTCAGACTCATGACTAGGCCTGACTGGCTGCAAGTCATGCGCAATTTCTCGGCATGGGCTTGAAGCTGTTCAGCGAGGAATGAACTAGTGGTGTCGTGGTGATGCGCCGAGCGAACACAAGACCTTGGCTGACGATGAAACAGAGCGTTCTTCGAGCCAAGTGTGGAGGCTAGAGCAGCCGAGGGCGAGAAGAACGTGAAGATTGATTACTATAGTACTAGGTATGCTCCATTGCTCCACCACATATTGATATCGCCCGGCTCCCTTGTTATTAATACTGCAACAGCCAGCCACGTGTGATTCAGAGGTCACCTCAGACCTGACTAATACGGAGAACAACGGCCGACGACGGCTTGGTGTGGATCTTAGAGCGAGCCAACGGCTTCACCAACAGCTTGGCCTGACCACCAATCAACTACCTTCTCGTCCCGTGACTCGGGTCGCGCAGCAATGTCATGTTCCCAAAGAATGCCACCAGAGACGACTGCCTGTTCGCCAAGCGGTCAGGAGGGCTTGCTGTCAGTCGCACAGTCTGACCACATGCACCCTCGTGCCACACAGACCCGCCATTCTCATGCTAGTACCACACGGCACTGGACCAAATAGATAGTTGGGGCGTCCAATGGCTAGCATGCAATACTTGTGTTGTGTTCCCCTATATGCTTCCTCCTCACCGTCTCCTCAACTCAGAGGATGCACCTGGTCGGCCGCACATTGACCGCAGCAATAAGAAACGGCAGCTATGCATACTGTTCGCTTAAGGGAGCATAGGAAAAGTCTCGGGAGGGGGAGGAACTAATCCAATCTTGTGACTGGTCAATCGAGGTTCAGATTGTGGGACAAGGAGCGATCAACTGCATCCAACCCAGCGCACATGCAGAAAAATATGCACATGCCGCAGGGCCCATGCCACTGCTACGCTGCTCTAACACCCATGGAGTTGGGGTTGACTGTGAATGTTCATCAGCGGGAGACCACCCTGTATAGCAAGATACCCACCAGAACTGTCGGGCGGCAATCGTTCTGGTGATCTTCCCCCGAGGCTTGTCCTACGTGTTTTTTTTTTGGGGGGTGGGGGAGGTTGGAGGATGCACGTAGCCGTCTGGTTCTCCCAATTCCCAAAGTCCCAAGGGCCCAAACATCGCCAGGGGTCGTTCGTCCGGGGTCTGCTATGATCTCCACGAGTACGAGATGTGAGGTCACCGCCAAGGCGCTTGGCGACGCACGTTGTCTGCTGCAACTGGAACTTGCTTCAGCTTGCTGCCAAGGAGCCGAGTTTGAGAATGAGTTGTGAATGTGATATGGTCTCGTGTCCGTAGATTCGATGCTCCTGACGCAACAACCGACTGGACAAGTTATTCTCTCCCAGGGGCCAGCCCCCTTGAGGGCGCTTTTGGCAAAGGTATCAGGTCGGCCAACGCAAGGCCGCTGACTATCAAGTCGTTTGTGACATGTCACTCCCGAGGGACCAGCTTGATCTCGGGTGCTTGGATGCTTGGCTTCGTGCCTCTCCTTCTGAATTTTCAAGCGACGACACCTCAAGGTGGCATCTTGGATCGAAGAAGTCAGCTGTGAGAGTGAGAGTGAGACGCAAACGCTAGACTAATTAGTGGGAGTAGATCTTTTGCCGACGGGAGATAGTGTCAAGATCCATAGGCATGATGAAACCCGGAGCTCAGTCCGTCAGTCAATGAGATCTTTTTCATTTTTTTTTTCTCTCCCCTTTTGGTCTCCTCACGTGCCGGTACCGTACAGCCGTTTCAACGCCTTATTAGGAAGGAATGATTTGGCGCAAGCCGCACCTATCACGTCGGGGCACCAAGTTCCAACACCTGTCGATCTTCTGCCTTCATATCGCGCGTGTATGTATGTACGAGACGATGGTTGGGATGAGGGGTTGTCGTGTCCACGTGCACTGCTTGCCCTGTCCAAGCAGATGCGATGGACAAGTCAACAACAGGTCACCGACTCACCATGCGGTTCTCGCGAAATCCAGTCCGTCCTGGAGGCTGGCATCGAGTTTCGAGCTGCATGTACGCTTGGCTCTTTGGCGCATGGCGTGTTCTATTTTCGAACCATGTGCACCCATTGGTCGCGGGATTTCTCCAATCCCGCCCGACCGCATTTCTTGTCCCACGGGCCCGAGAGCTCCCATTGTCTTGGCTCTTGGCACTCCGGAATGTCCGTCAACGGCGTCAAGAGTCATCAACTTATCAAGACTCAAGAGTGACAGACGGACGGGCAGACGCGCGAGCCAGCCAGTAGCTTGAGCAGCTCCCCGAGCACCAACGAATACAAGGTGTCGCTAGTGGGAGACTGTCAAATGCTTACTGCACCTAACGTTACTGAGTGACTGTGCCAGTGTGTGCATGCAGGCTGCAGCAGACTTGGCCCAATCATTCATCTCATCCTCGCTGTCAAACTATACATATCGTGGAAATGCGGAAGTGGCTTGCAACGATACAACGTTCCATGATCTGCATGGCTTCTGCTGGCGGCGGTGTCGTTTTTTTCCTCTCTCTTTCTCTCCCGTCCCTTGGTGATCGGCTCGAGTCTGGTGGATTGATCGAGTTATTAGTGCCCGAACCCTCGCATCGGACATCCGATGCGACGCGAAGCGACGCGAGACGAAGCGGAGCGCTAGCGCCGCCCCATGGAGGGAAATTTTCCCATTCGCAAGTCGGAGAGCGGTGACGCTTCAGCACCGGCTCTTGAACCCTGACAGAAGGCAATACACTGTGCACGGAACCTATTTCCGCACTCTGGAATTTCACCTTTGTTAGCCCACGAGAATCGCGACCAAACATGAATCGGAAGCGTGTTCAGGCTCTCAACTCCGTCATGAACAGAATAGTACGTACCTTACTGTTGACCAATCCTTCCCGCGGAGGAAATCATGGATACCGGTGCTTGTAGATTTGCCCGTGGGAATTGCTCCAGAATGGCGGACCTCGCAGGGTCGATCTGTCGGTCCGTCTTCTCGGCATGCGGAGAGTCATGAGGTAAGGGCTAGTTAATGCTTCAAGTTGCGCCCAGTCTCTTCCTATCAATGTACCAAAGCTCCACGAACATGGTTTGCACTTGGACCTCGACTACTTGAAATAAAAATGAGCTTGAGCTTCTAAGTAGGCGCATTGTTTCTGATCGCCAACGTCTTTACCCCCTAGGATGCTCAGGCTTCAGCTTGCCACCTAGCTATCTGCATGATCTAAAGTACTGTCAAGACTCTAGTAGCGAGGGATTTTTTGACCTTATGCTGGTTATTCGCATCTCCTGGAACAAGCCCCAAACTTGGCAGAAACGAGTTTGCTGCCTTTGTTGGCAAATATCAGACTCGATGATTCTGTGAGGGCGGTTGGGTTGAAACCCTTGTGGCGGCGTGAGGAACTCAGGTCCAATTATCGCGAACAGAGTAGTAGCAAGGCTCTCATAAAACAGTCAAACACTTCGTGAAAGCATACTCCTCGGCTTTGGGGGCCGTCCGTCTCTTGCACACATTTCGATCTCGCTTCATGATGGACGTAGCTACTTCAGATCAAGCTGGGGAGTTGTGCTAGCGCCAAGCAGCGCTGCCAACAAGATGAGGAGCTCCTAGATCGGTGCTCGCAGTATGGCATGAAAGACTGCGGGAGTATCAGTATGCGACTGTTTGGATACTTGTTGGCCTGATGTAAAGTCGCGTGGCGAAGGAATTCGTGCCTTGTGTGCTCGGATGAGCATGTAGGGTTCGTGATAACGATCTCGTATTGTTCTAACGCGGGAAATGAAGGCAGATGGCGGCTTGCGAACAATCGTCATCGTGACGATCCTGCTCCTGCTTCAAACTTCAGCGCCTCCTCACCAGCAGGTGGTTAGGAGTCCGCCTTCCCCTTGTGCTGCGCACGCGTTCTCTTGTGCTGAGATCTCGTTGAGCCATGACGACCGAACTTCAGCGGCGTCAGCATCAGGCGCAATTGCCATTTGATGCCTACAATATACAAAATCGCATTAGAGTAAGATTCTTGTTAGAATTCAGAGGCTGCTGCCCTTACGTCCCCCGTCGGGAACTGTTCTGGGACAGAAGTCGAGGACATGGCAAGCTACCGCGAGATGTGGTTGGGACGAACAACGACGCAGTGATTCGCTGCTTGCTAGAAAGTTTCACTACACTCTTCGTTGCTGAATTCATCAATCTAGACGTGCTGTTAGCTGCCTAAGACTAAGTCACAGCATAGTCAACTTCGCTGGCTGTAATAGGGGCCAAGTTCGAGACATAGCGCCAGTCACCCCCCAAATTTTGTATCGCAAATCTACGAAAAGCACAAGGAGCCCTTTAGTAACCCTAGACTTCCTACGAACCAGTTTTGAGATGTCTCCAGCCTCGAAAATCAAAGGAATCCCACACACTTGCTTTCGTTGTCAGTGCTGTTCGACGCTCCGGCTTTGGGAGCCAGAGATTCATTTGTCTTCGTTCAGCTACGGGCAAGAGTCAGCCATTCCAGTCGCAAAAGAAAATCCATCTATTTGACATGTATACTCAAGTGAGCCAGGTCTGAGACAGAGGCGCTATCAACTCTTTGCGCCGACCCGTGAGCTTGAAATATTTGTAGTATTTGGGACTCGATCTCCGCGCGAGGGGCAGCGGGAGCTAGGCAAAGGGATATATCAATTATAGAACTCTTAGAGGGTCTTTCGCGAAAATATCTTTCTCTAGTTCTCTCGGACGTCTATCGAATGGACACCACGGTCGGTCTGTTGTAGGCGTCTTCGGCATGAGCTATGGTCGACGGGTCGTGAAAGTTCTAGCTCGAGGTACTTCATCCACTGCACGTGTTTTCGAAAGACTTCGGGGGCCCAGTGTGTTAGACAGTAGGCTGAGCCCCCAAGAATATCAAGTTCTGGCTCCCAGTTCCCAGGTCAGTGGTTTGCCCGAACGGCATGGTCAGCCAGGTGTACAGGAGAAACGAGTGATGCAACCAAAGTAGTATGAAAGCTGTGTACCTGGGGTATGCATTCAAGTGCCAGGTGTTCTTCCCAACAGGTGTCAGAAACAAGTTCAGCGTCTGTGCCAAGCCTCGTATTCATCCATTGATCTGGACCAATCCACGCGCCTTCCGCCAGAATTTCCGTACTCATTTCTTTTAATAACTCGAGAAAGACGACCTTCCTTGGTGCTAAAAGTTTTATGCCTGCATTTGTCGTTGACGCTGCCCACGTGCTGTCTGCATTTGAAAAGGGGCGAACTGTGGAAGCTGGCACGTTCGAGCTTGCAAGGCGCGCGCTTCACCAGCTATAATCATGGCATTTCTGTGAAACATAATGTACCTTGGCTTTCGTTACCTGTCTTCTGGATGTTTTCGATAGTGAATAACAAGACTGCGATGTTAGTTGATGTGGTGTTTCATCCTGAAGCAATCGTGATGTTGACTTTGACATGTCCATGTCATGGCGCCGGACCTCATGATAGCCAGGATCGTTAGTTAAACTACATATTATATAGTCCTCAAGCTTTAGTATTTAGATGGTTTACAGACACAAGCATTTCTAACCAATCCCGAACAATTTAGTGACCGCACAAATTCACAGCAAAAGGGGCTGTTGCTGCTGTAGGGTAGGCCCAAAGACACGAACCGACTAGTAAGCATTTGACGTCAGCATGCTGATTGCCTTGCGATAGCTTCGCGGATTTCGATCACTATCTACAGCGCACCACCAGCGATTCGTCATTCTCCTTCGCTTACATCTCTGCCATCGATACACATAATGAGCGGCGGCTGGAATACCAGTGAGTATTTACCCCCACCAGATTGCCAAAGTTTATACTCATATTGCTAGTCGAATCTGACGCGGGCGTCTTCACCTCGCTCGTGGAAAATCTAGGCGCGTCCAACGTGCAGTTCGAGGAGCTCTTGACTCTCGAGCCGTCCGAGCTCTCCTCCCTGCAGCCTCTGTACGGTGTCATCTTTCTCTTCAAATACCCCACCGACACCCCGTACACGTGTAGCGAGACCCCCCTCGACGGAACGTTTGATCACGATGCGGCCAGCCGCATTTTCTTCGCGGCGCAGACCATCCAGAACGCCTGCGCGACGCAGGCCCTCCTGAGCGTGGTGCTGAACAAGACAGACGAGGTTGATATTGGCGAGAAGCTGGGAGAGTTTCGGGAGTTTACCATCGAATTGCCCGCCGAGTTTCGCGGCGAGGCGCTGAGCAACTCGGATCTCATCCGCGAGACGCACAATTCGTTTGCGCGCAGCTCCCCCTTTGCGGACGAGACGGCACCCAAGGGCGGTGAGAGTGAGGATGTCTTCCACTTTATCGCCTATTCGGCCATCAACGGCAAACTCTACGAGCTGGACGGTCTGCAACCGGCGCCAATCTCACACGGCGAGTGTACAATGGAGAGTTTCCCCGAGAAAGTAGTGGATGTTCTGCAGAGGAGGATCGCACGCTATGAGGCTACAGAGATTCGCTTCAACCTGTTGGCCATGTGTCGTGATCTGCGGGTTCGGGCGCGCGAGTTTGGGGACATGGAACTTTTGGAGAGGGAGGAGCGCAAGAGGAAAGACTGGCTGTTCGAGAACGCGCTGCGCAGACACAACTTTGTGGGGTTCGCGGGCGAGGTCCTCAAGGGCGTGGTGGAGACCAAGATGAAGGACGGCAAAGTGGATGAGTGGGTGGTCGAGAGCCTGGAAAGGCGGAAAAAGGCAGAGCAAGCGAGGCGAGCAGGGCAGGATGTCGAGATGGGTGGCTGAAGCAAGATGCCCCAGGACGTCATCATGTCTAGCACAGACAAGGGCGCAGATGTACTGCGAGAATGCCATCTGGACACAGAGGGGGTCTTGTTGGTTGGCAGATACTAATCGTGGAGCCCGATGTGCTATCTCAACATAGGCTGGTCCTGGTAGTAGTCCACAGGATTGCCTGGGCTTGTCCTTGCGTCTCAACATGACTACCAGTATGGGTTGATGACTCGTTGAGTGCATAAGGAATCACTTTCCGCTCGCGGAGTATGCATTTGCTATCTCGCTTCGAGGGCGCACAGTCAGAACACAACCATGTGCACTATAAAAAGTTTACCTCCAGACGTGATACATACACAGGATTCGTGAACCCCAGAATTGACGACGCTGTGGCTGACGCTGCGGCTGGCCGTGCCAGGCAGTCAGATTGAATGCGAAGCGCTCGCGTAGGCAGAGGTCAATGAAGGAGGGTGATATATCTAGCAACACGATTGTAAACTTGGTAAACGAAGGTAAAGGCTCCTTGGGTTTGTTCCATTCATTCAAATGGAAAAGGCGAGACTCATGGATATCATACTCAAGCCAGCCTGGAGCAATATCTTGAGGCCACGCAGCTGGGGAACTGTTGGCTTTCATGCAGCGTGCACATCATCAAGTCGCTCACGGGACCATCTATCAATCCTGACGCGTAAGTGTAGCTCAGATCCAAATGCTTGAACGACTGTATTCCTTCGTATGACATCCCAGCACAGAACTACCCCTGCTACTACGTTGGTGAGACTTCGACGAGCTCAGTTAGACCTGTTGCTGTTGGCAGAAAGCAGAGGCAAGATCGCCATCACAGAAGCGACATCAAGACTGCGAAGAACCGAAGGAAATGATGGGCCAGAAAGTCTTAGAATCAAATTTCTATATGTGTTTATGTACTGCGAAAAGGACTCGAGTCCCTGATGTGTTACAGCGAGCATGTAGCAAGGCGCAGAGAGCCCCAGCCTAGGACTTGACTGGAGGTAGCAGCTCATACTATGGGAATCGAAACGTGTACTAAAAGGCAAAGACCCAAAATCTTCCCAATCCTTCTAGGCGACAATACATGAGAATTCGGTCTGCTGTTGCGCCGAAATGGACTCACATTACCACCCCCCCCTGTTGTTGACAGTGGGCCCAGCATACGCCTGTAGAATTGACATCCCGGAGATGAATGCTTGCGAGTACAGAGTTCCCTGTCCGGAATGGATGGTTTTTAATAGACTGACATCTGTAGTTGAGTAATTCTAGAAGCCCCTATAGTCTAAAATACGCTGGCTCAGTAATCATCAGAAAAGTGCGTATTGCGCGGGTATGTGGCAGGGATCTTGCTCGGATGTCTTTGTGTGTGGATACACTCATTTTACGGCGATACGATCGTAATGACGTGTATTAAAAGGGCATTTCGAGGTGTCACAAGATCGCTTGCCCATGGCGCCATGCATGGATATTCGTCCTTGATCTCTGCGTCCGTGGGGGCCGCACGAAGCTACTGGTCTATGCAGCGGCGACAAAGTGTCTGTTCCACTTGATAATCTTGGGTGGAATTCGTTGCTTTGAGTCGACCATCCACGTATGGATCTTATCTCTTGTATTTATGCTATACAACACGTATTCTAACGCTGGAAGAGCCAGACCGCTCATAGCCTGCAGAAGACAGACAATTCGATCCTGGTCAGTATTCAGCCTGAGGTCCACGTGTATTTTCACTCGATGCCTAAGTTCACTTCGAGACCGCGCCACCGAGTTCTGGAATAATTCAAGGCAGATGATACACAGTCGAAGGCAGTTTCATTGGCGGAACACTTCCCTCCGGTGCCCTTCTTCGGGGACCAAGGTTATGATGTCGGGGGGCGTAGCGTTAACGGGGCGGCAACCGCGAAAGCGCAGAAATTGCACGACAGCCACAAACATATTGGCATGTGAATGCCATATGAGGAGTTCAGCCCTACATTTCGTGTCTATCCTGGATTAGGCGGCGAGCTTCCTTGACACCGGTCCATGCGGCCAAGCTGGACAAGTTACCTGCCTCACAGATCGACAGGACAGGATCCATGGTTCCATACATGTATTAGATGGGTCAATACTACAACATTGATGCCCAACTCCTCAGTCTTGGCCCACGATGATGGCACCCGCGATGTGCGTTCTGTACCAGTCAAAGTGGATGCTGACCTGTCACGGGACACTACGCTTTGCATGATGCATGCATGTGCGTTGGCCGCTATGTACCTGTACTTGTGGAAGATGCATCTGGCCCGCTAGCGATAAGGCTGACGACTATTGCCGTTGCTGGCTGTGCGTCTAAGTCGTTGAGAAGGTTGTCGACGACTGACTGACGGGGACATTTCCCAGGATGCTGACATGAGGCCTCTCGGGTAAGTCATTGTAGGTAAGCCTGTTTGCAGGAAGCAGTGGTGGGAGTGAAGAGATTAGGCAGATGGCTCAAGAAATGAACATACCAAAAACCCGTCAGGGTATCCAGCCCTACCTGCATAGAGCTATATCCAGGGTCCCGCTCGCGCGGAGACGCTGTGAAGAAAAACAATAACAAACAGAAGCAATGTCTATGTATCCAGCATGTGCACTATCCCAAGCCCTCCATTTCAATGATGCAAGTTCTCACCACCTCAATCACTTTCCCGTTCATAAAAAGGTATGCTTCCCTTTCAAACCTCACCACCCCAAAGACCGTACCCGCGACCGGCGCGTTGCTCTACTTGATGGTACACGGCGTCGTGTCGGCTCCATCTCTTGCTTCCGTGGAGGAGATGTCGCTCCTTTATGAGAGGCGCGACGAGATGGTAACTGGACCGACTCATGCCTAGTTTGATAATACGCTGAGTAGCATGTCTCGGCCTCTTTCATGATCTTGTCCGTTCCATCGCGATGCCAATACTTTAGGACGTCATTCTGCCACTTCCCCGGATTGCGAACGACGAGGTGGTGCGAGAAGTTCACAAAGAGCTTATCTGCGTTGCGCCTGGATTCCCGGACCTGGTCGAGCATCCACTCGTTGATAAAGTGAGGGCCGTCCCCGCGAGCTCTGTTGAGCGAACAAGACTGGCCTGTCAGGAGCTGCGGATAGGACGTCTGTCCATGTCGTTCTTCTGAACGCATGTCTTGGCGGATGTCCTCCTTGCCCGACGCAGCCGTAGTAGGCAGACGATAGGCGGGCCAAAGGAGCTTAAGAAAATTAGGTATGATAATTTTGGGTTTTTCTTGCTGCTGTGTGCCACCGGTTTCGGCAGGCCTTGTCTTTGTGCTGTCGTCCCGATAGAGCACTGATGCTACTCTGCTTGTTGTTCTGGCGGATAAGACATCTCGTGCCATGGTTTCCTGCTTTAAATCGTTGATAGCTGCAAGCTTGCTGTCGACGAGCTTGAGGTATCGAGCTTCGTTTGACACAGTCTCACCCAGACCGTCTCTCGTCTCTTCGGATATGGGAGCACCGAGTGCATTCCGGCGGTCCACAATATCCTGCAGAATAGCCTTATTATCCCTGGCATCTTGCAAGTACATCATTATGCTTAGGTATTGCCCGATTGCGCTCTCTAGATTTTGGAAGAGCGGATGGTTATCGTCAGTCGACCGATCCATTGGTATACCTAGCAGGTCAGTGTCAGGTTCGCTGGCGTCAAGCGAGGCTTCTGATGATCCGTAAGCCGAGTCTGACGAGCTATCATCCATATTGTGGCCCAACAAACTGTATAGCTGCACTTCCGCCTTGGAGAACAATTTCTGCTCATTTGACAACTGCTGCCGTAAATCGTCAAGCGTCTCTTCAAGACTGGACGTCGCATCTTGTAATCTCTGCATTTGAGGCAATCCTGCCCATACGATGCGAACAAGATCATCAGGCGACAAGAGCTGCTTCTCGCGAGAAGTGGTACGCAGCTCGTTTATAAAGTTGTTTGCCGCAATCCGTGATTTAGGACGCATCTTGCTCAGCCTCTTGTTGACTTCCCCTAGCTGCTTGGAGAGTTTCTGAATCTGAGCTTGGTGGGTTTTCACCTTTTCCCAATAATATTGCACCCCCCGGTCGATTGATTCAGCATCATGACTGCTCACTGCAGACGATGACACTTCACTTGTCGTGGAAACAGCGTCGTGGGCTGAGTGCTCGTACTCGGATAGTTCAGTACTATGCAGTTGGAAGTTCGCTTTGTCATGCCTAGTGGTGCTCTGCTTGGACATCCAGCTCCTCACCCTGAGCGTTTTTGCCGTGCGAGTCTCGGCGTCCAGCGGCTTGGGATCCAAGGGTGTGCGAGGAGGGAACGACTTTTGGTTTTCTCTGGCTACGGAATCCATACCAATTGTCCCACTTCCAGAGACCCACGAAAACTGTGAATGGGAGCCTGTCGACGTGGTAGAAGGGGATCCTTCGTCATGGTTGCTATCGTTTGTCGTGGACCAGCTGTCCCGAGGTTGACCAGGCGATGCTGAACCGACATTGGTCCCACGAGGCTCGGGGGCGAATCCAACTGCAGAGCCCGGGCGCTGGGAAGAAGATCGCGGTACTGGTAGATTTGGATCTGGAGGGTCGTCGTCTTTTGTTTCTGGCGAGAAGGCCGAGGGTTTTATTGCACTATACCCAGTAGCCTCCCCGGCCTCCTCAGTACGCCTCGCCCAGCCCGAGGTACAAGAAGAAGTCTTGGATTTACATTTCCGCATTTCTTGACGTTGTGGGCACAAAAGACTCGGTCCTGTCATTTGCACGCTCCAAGTCGTCTGCTCAACATCTTGATGGAATTCCATGCTGGACCGGGGATGCTCCTCAATGTCCTGCGCGGGGGTACGTTTGCCACTTGTCTGGCGCTGTTCATGATCGGGGCCCAGTCGCCTGCTTTCAGAAGTATCGAGGTCTGTGGTGGTTCTTGCCGCCGCTGCTGCCTGGTGAGGAATGAGCGTAGGCTTCGACGCACCTGCAGTCATAGAAACAGTTGCGTCCTCGGGCATGGCGTGTCGGTTCAATATATCCCGAGCCCATATGTATATTGACGCGAAATAGCCCATGTTGACACACGGTGGGCGACACACCTGGGCGATGGGCTCTTAAGGCATTGACAATGGCGAGACGCGTTGAGCCTGGTGAAACAGTGAGGAATTTTAGTCGCGGCAGGGCGCTTGGGCTCTATGATGCCGTGGACATAGCATAGAAGCAGTTGGCCGAGTGGCCCGGGTGCAACAGCGTCGTATGCCTTATTGGGCGCTCTATGACCGGTAGTTGCTACGCTATAGTGTCGCGCCTCACTGTGAGTAGCTTCGTGTTGATGAAAGACCAGGATCAAGCATTCACATGAATAACAACAATTCACACGCCTCACCTCCGAATGAAGACTGACCCCCCACTGGGGCAGCTGGCAGCTGAACCTTTCTTCACCGCTACCGCCGCCACAGGCGGCCAGGCGACGTTTGGCTAGGCTGTTGGGCCTGTACATTGCTTATCAGGCTGAAAGTATGTAGGTGGCCGTGAAACCTGACGATTATGATTTGAATGTTTGCATCCCTCCCTGCCGGGATCCTTCAGGTTGCCAGTGACTCGAAGTGGCAAAACCTGTTGTGTGTGTGAACGAAAAGCAACGCGCGGCGCGGTCCGACGCGCTTGTCGGGCGGGCCTCTCTCTCTCTCCTCCAACTCACATGCATTCCAATCTCAGCCTGCATTTTCCTCCGCCATCGAACTATTGAAAATTGGCAAACCACCCGCGCGCCTCAGCAATCAGTTAGAAGATGAAACGTGCAGCCGGTGAGAATATCTCGGGAGGGCCGCCTCCGCGCATGTCGCAAGTTGCAACGTATACGACAAAGGAATGATGGTGTGGGTGTAACGGATCAACCTGCCTGGTGCGGCCATCCCGCACGACAAGGATGTCTCGAATCTGGGTGAGCGCCCTAATTACTGGGCAAACTGCGTAATAGGCTCGGGCTCTGGCATCCCTTGACGGGGAGCCACGTTGAGCTGCTGCTGGACGGGCGCGTATCGGGCCTGATACCATTTACCAGGCCTCCCTTGCCCCCCCGACCTGTCCAGTCTCCAAGCGAGGTGGTCCTATCGCGATGGGGTACAGCACACCACTGACAAAATTCATGGTCATGAGGGGCACTTGCGTCTAGGAGTCCGAAAGATCAGCGCAAGAATGAGAAGACGGTGTCTCACAGGCACAAGGCTCGCAGTCACACAATGTGACTCTGTTGGAGTGTCCTAGCTATTGGGTGCTCTCTCTCCAACCGACTGGATATTGGCCTCGTCGACTTGAGACGCTGTCTACGGTCTCGTGGGTGGTCGTTATGCTGTTGCACCAGCACCTCCAGCCCACGTTCGTCAAGTCTCCCAAATGATCACAAGCTGCCTCATTAAACATGGCAGGACTACCTTCAAGACGAGCCGCAGTAGCAATGCATCCAGCGCACCAATGATGCTGGATCTGGACAGCAATGCGCCGTTAGTGGGATGCATCTCGTGCGTGCCCCCCTTCATGCGCCGCGAAAAGCATTGCGTACCGGTACCAGAGGTCCCTGATGTAGCGCTACACTTTGTGTCGGTTTTGAGCCGCATTTCTATATGAGGATCACACGGAACCTGCAAGCTGGTGATGCTCAGAACGCCAATGGGCAGAGTCCAGTCGCAGACCCCACTGGCTACATACATTCTGTGCTACGATCGACCAAGTCCTATCATCTTCACGCCTGGTCCATGTAGGCGGTGATACGACACACTCCACCGACAGGTCATTATGAGCCATCAGCCGCCGTATCACGATGCCGAGGGCGAGTATGACAGCGCCGATGTCGACGAACTCGCTCAGACCGTGGCGCAGACGCATATATCGTACAGCAGTCATCCCGAAGTACCCCGTACCCTGGACGCTGAGGGAGCCGTTGGATATACTGATGAACACGCCGACCACTATGAGTCCGGCGATGCGGAAGGTTCGCACACGTTTGGCGAGCCTGTTGTGTATGGTGTTTCCGGCGAGGGGTACGATGACGAGGAGTACGATGGGGAGGAGTACGATGGGGAGGAGTACGATGGGGAGGAGTACGATGGGGAGGAGTACGATGGGGAGGAGTACGATGACGAGGAGTACGCACAAGCTGGCCAAGAAGAGGAGACCTTGTCAGGGGCATTCAATCCGGAAGCTTTTGACCCAAGGTTTCATCTTGATCCAGGTAGGTTGCCCTCGGTACTTGACTGCGTGTGCTCTACTCCTGACACGCACGCCGTAGCATATCAGGTTTGCCCTGACGAGGACTGGTTCGTTGGCTCGGTAAGAACTCAACTCCCACAAGCGGATGCGGAAGTGAATCAAAACACTGCTAACCACCCACCAGATCGTTATGGTCCCTTGGGCAGAGCCCAAAGGACAGTCTCCGCCCAAGGGAAAGCAAGGCGGCACTTCACTTTACACACTGAGGGAATTGGTCCACCAGTCCTTCCGGCGCATGGTTGTCGTGAAGCCGGAAAATGGCTCGTCTTTCTGCTGTCCTATCTCCACGTATGGAGCCCAAGGCTGCAAAAAGTCTAAGTGCAAGCCGGAGAAGCATGGTGTCATCTATGATGATAATTTGAACCCAGAGACATTGAAAGATGAGAAGAAGCTTGGTTTCAAACCAGTTGGGGCCACCATGTATGCCGGTCACACACTCGACCGGGCCTCTCGCCTCAACTATGGCAACGGCTTCTGGGTTCAACACAACATCCCAGTCATGTTCATCGGCCACATCCCCGCTGACGTTATGAAGCGAGTTAAGAGCGCTTACAAGCGCTTTATAACGGAGGGCTCTGAAGATGAGACGGAGCGGGCCGCGTCCTCGTCGAAATCTAAGTCCAAAAAGTCAAAGAAGGAGGCCATGCGCGGCGACTGGAACGAGACGAGGAAGAAGAAGAAGGATGGCGAGGGCAGCAATAGCAGATCCAAGCGACGCTGAAGCTGGGGATTCCCTCCTACCCTTCTTCCCACCAAAAGAACGTGTGGGACGACGATCATGATACGTTACGAAGTGAACTCGAGGGTTCTCTTTGACGGATTGGCGTACAGCCTTTCCTCCTGCTGGTTTATCAGTCCAGCGGCCAACAACAGCTAACAGAAACAGCCTTGTGTGCACTGTCCGAGGACCCTGGACACTTGTCCTCGGAAGCGTGCCCATTTTGAGAATTTTTCATGTCTTCCCTCCTCTTCCCTTGATCTTGTTTTTCTTCAGGTTTGGCAACTTGCAACGGTATTTCAACATATCGTAGTTGATGACTATTTGGCAAGATGACCCGTGATGGCGCAATGACTGTACACTGCCAGGCTTCAACAGCTGCGCAAGCAACTATGGGCGATTTCATCGTGTACGGGTGAGCAGGACCAGTATGCCATGTATTTACACACAGATTGAGAGAAACACGAAGCGCAATTGAGCTGCACGGCGATGGAATTGAATCCGGGTGCTCCGCAACTCCACGTGCCTCGGCACTTCCCCGCCAAATCCAGTTGGAGTCTGGACCCTGGCGAGTGATGTCAACCTCCACATCCAAATCCGAGGCAATCCCCATCCTCCAACTGTGGCCTCGGTCCCCGGGCCACCTGCATTCCGCTACTATTTGTGCCGTCCTCAATCTTCTTTACACTCTGATCAATTCCTTCCATTGGCGCCTCCGAGACTCTGAAAGCGTTGTCCTCCCATCTCGCACACCATCAACTCATCCTCCTCGCCTACTTTCTCCCGCAGCCATGGCCGCCGCCGACGTTCAGCTCCAGGACTTCTCGTCCCTCTTCTCGCTCAAGGGCAAAGTCGCCGTCGTGACAGGCGGATCGCGTGGTCTGGGCCTCAATGCCGCTTCTGCGTACGGATGCCCCCCCTCCCTTGTCCCAACAACGAAAATGAACCCACCCATCCACTGACGCACGCACAGCTTCCTCCAGGCCGGCGCCTCCAAGGTCTTCATCACATCCCGCAAGGCCGCCGCCTGCGACGAGGCCGTCGCCGCCCTCAACGCCCTCCCCAACCTCGCCCCCGGCGCCCGCGCCATCTCCGTCCCCGCCGACTCGAGCACCATGGCCGGCGTCGAGTCGCTCCTGGCCCAGGTCAAGAAGCACACGGACAATGTCGACATTCTCTTTGCTAACGCGGGCGCCACATGGGGCCAGGAGTTTGATAACCACCCCGACAGCGCCTTTGCCAAGGTCATGGACCTCAATGTCAAGGCCGTCTTCAACACGATCCGCGTCTTTGCGCCTCTCCTCGAGAAGGGCGCCAGCGTGCAGGACCCGGCCCGCGTCCTCATCACGGCTAGCGTCGCCGGACGAGGTGTCGGCACCCTTGGAAAGCAGGGCACATACGGGTACTCGGCGAGCAAGGCGGCCGTCATCCATCTGGGGCGGAACCTCGCCATCGAGCTGGGACCCCGCCATATCTCTGTCAACTCCATCTGCCCTGGGTTTTTCCCCAGCAAGATGTCCAACGGGCTGCTGAGCATGATTGGCGGCGCGGACAAGCTGGCCAAGAGCAACCCCATGGGCCGACTTGGTCAGGGGGAGGACATTGCCGGCATAGTCGTCTACCTCGCCAGCCGGGCGGGGAGCCACGTCAACGGAGAGGCTATTGCCATTGATGGCGGCTCCATGTGGCAGTCGGGTGAGGTCCTTCAAGCGGGCGAGTCGCAGGCAAAGTTGTAGAGTACTTTTTTTTTTTTTTCTCTTTCTTTTCTATAGAACACACCGGTCTATATCGCCTCATCGCTTTCGGGCCACCCATGCGCTGGAGCGGTACAGTGTCTGCAGCATGCTCTCCTGGTCTTGAATGTACGGTGTCTCCACGTTTTCCGTCTTCCACTCCACGTCAAAGCCCGTCTTGTCGAGAAGGACCATGATCTCATCCTCGGTCAGCTCAAAGCTGCCCGGGTCGGCGATGCCCGAGGAGTTATTCCAGTCGTGCTCGCCGTCCCCGTCGTCGTCGGTGCCGTGATTCCCCGGCGCATTGTTTTCAAAGTGCCAGAGCAGTGGTCCCACGTTGATCAGTATCCCGCCCGGACGCAGGCAGTGTCGTATCACCTCGAGGTATCGCAGCAGGTTTGGCGCCGTGTCGAGGAAGAAGACGCTGGCGACGACGTCGTAGGCCCCGTCGTGCTCCTCGTCGCTGTATCCGCAGAGGAAATCGGCGGCGCACATGGCCATGGTTCCCTGCGGCGCTGCTGGGTCCTGTGAACTCAGCGCCGTCGCTGGGTGGACATCTGGCACGGGGTACGAACGCAGGTGGTTCGATCTTGACCGGTGGTTCGAGAATGTATGCACCCACGGATAGATGGTGTGCTCGCCTGCCCTGGGACACTCATTCAGGATGTACTGCGAGGCAAGCAGCTGATGGTACGATATCTCGTTGCCTTCCGCGTGGTACCCGTGCCGGCAGAGTTCGAATACCAGCCGTCCCAGACCAGCCCCAGGCACTAACACCTTGAGCTGTTCCTCGGATTGCTTCTGCTCCGCCTCCATCGCGGCGAGCACGGGCCCAAAGCACGCCATGCGCTCTATCTCGCCGTCGCGCGTCCAGTCGCGGTAGAACTGGCGAACGGTGCTCCTGGCCTTGTCAATTTCTGTGTGCTTCGCCACTCCCTTCCAGGCCGTGGGGATCTCGTCCATGCCGAATGACTTGAGGCCCGCGTCGACAATGGCGCGCGCCAAGAGGGCGTTGCTGTCGATGGCATCGTCGGTCTTGTCCAGGGTCGATAAGTAGTTGAAGGGTGCGGCGGCCAGTAGCTGCCATTGCGACTGGGGGAGAGCGTAGAATGAGCGGCGACGGAGGTGTGTCACGTTGAAGTGAGCGACCTTTGCGTATTGGCTAGGCACTCGTCAGATCCCTGCTGTACTATACGTGTCTTGTGAGACGTGGTCGGGAGCATGGCATGAGGTGTCATTGGCATCCCCGCACAGTAAGAAAGGTAGGCAGGCTGCTTACGCAAATGAGTCCAGCGCGCCAAAGATCACTCGCGCTTCCTCCGGGTCCTGCGTCGTCTCCTCGATCCCGCCCCAGGCACTCTCCTCTGTTGACGCAAAAGGCGCAGGCTGCGGCATGTGGGCGGCGTCTGTCATCAGATGGCTCTCAGTAGGTCATGACGTGTGATGATGGCAACGTGCTAGCTTAGAAAGGTCCTGGCAGAGAGGATAATAGGACGACGCCTTCCTCCTTGTGTCACGTTGAGATGATGTTGGGACTTCATGGTCTGTGGCTTGTCGCGTGGTCTCATGGAAAATGAGACGCAGCTGCCGCCGAGTATGCGCCGAAACACTATGCGAGGTGACAATATTAGCAGTCATCGAGTGGTGTGATTGATGGTGGCAATTATCCTGTCACCCAGCGGTTTATCGTGATAAGATGCGAAGCTCCAATCAAAGAGCCCTTCGTCAACCCACTCACTCACTTGCTTCATCAAAGGAAACGTCTGAGCAAGTCACTAACAACACAACCCAGCTCTTGCGTCATACCTTGGTACTGAAACTGTCCTCGAAGCGAAGCAAAATGGAAGTCGCACCAGAGCCAGTGCAGTTCTCTCTGCCCCTGCCAAAGTCCCTCGACACCCGCATCTACATCCGACTATCGACCCAGACCAAGGCCATCATGCTCTCGCTCACCACTGCCTCGCAAGAAGAGCCTGCCTCGGTGGCGCCCATGGGGTCATTTGTCTACGGGTTGCCCAATGTATGCGCCCCCTTACCTCAGCACACGAGTGTCTCATAGTGTTGACGTGATCAAGAGGTTCAACAGCGGTGATCCCTTGGCCACCGTCCTGTTCCCCCACGAGCCCACCGTCGATTTCACCAAGCGGCTCGTCAAGCTGCTCGCCCGCAAGGCCGAGCTCCCCGTGTACGTGACCAACTCTGTGAGCTTCAAGAATGCCGGCATGGGCGGGACCGTGGAGGAGGAGATGGAGGCTTTCAGAGACGTGGCCGAGCAGGTGACCGCGAGGATCAAGCAGGCTGGCGTCGGGGCAATGGCTGTCAACGGCAACTGAGTACAGGCACACGCGTCAGTGCTGTGGCACCAAAAAGGCTTGCAACTCCGATCTCGCATGGGCTCAAGTCGATTGCATTTGACTTCCGGGGTGGCTCGAGACATGTACGTGTCAATGATGAATGGCAGGTCCAGGAGCTTATTAGGTGCGTTCACGTCTCAGAGAGATGGAGGCGAGCTTAGCGGGTAGCAAGGTCTGGCCCGGCATCTTCCTCTCGTCCTTCCATCAGTCGCTAGGGAGCCTGTTGGTGAGCCACTGTACAAGGGCCAAGCAGGAAAGCGACACTAGGATCAGTGTTGTTGGGCAGTTTGCCTGCGGGTCCCGGAGAGAGAACGCGACTGCAGCTAACCGGCTTTCGCGAGGCTTTGTGCAACAGGTTAATTAAATGGCGGTATCCCTCTGAGCGAGGCATTCGCGTAGCAAGGGCAACATTGTCATCCAAAGGGCCCTTGCACATTACTACCTATGAATAGTGTCAGCTCGCTTGCTGAGTTGGGAAGCCGCAGGTCCTCCTTGCACTCTGCTAATGCAACGAACGAGCTCGGCTTGGCATCTTCTGGATATGCACAGCAATAACAGTCATGCATTCAATGCTGTTGGGTTGGGCTTGCAGTTAGTGAAATATTACAGCAGGCTTGGTGAGCGCTTTGTCCTCAACTCTGGGGGACCCGAACGGCACATGCATCTACCGGGTTATCCTTATCGGTGACTGCCACCAAGAAAATTTGGCAGGTTCGACTGACTTTGCCTCCATCCATCGGTTGGTGATGCGCGTTGCCCCTCTTGCGCATGTGCCCGCTCCACCGCAGTCTTCACTGGCACTGGCACTGGCACTGGCCGCATTCACCAGCAGGGCTGCCCTCCCAGCTTGCATTTCTTCCCATCTCGAAAGAAGCGACCGGCTGGACCATGCATTTTTCCATCGTATACCGTTAATTGTCACACGCCGTTGTCTGGTCGTCTTTGGCAAGCCATCAGTGAGTAATTAACAACCCCCCAATTACTCTACTCTACCCCAGGCCTCCCTGCGATCCCCCTCCAGCAGCGAAAGGCCCGCCCAGGCCATCCGTCGTTGGAGGGGCAAATCCGTCGACTTTCTTAAGAGCTGCCCCCGAGCTCTGCTAACCTCGCCGTAGCTACCGCATCACCTTTTCAGAGTGCACGAATCGGCAAATTGACATCGACATACCCGCGCGACCGCACAGTCGCCAATCATGACGTCCTGGCAGCCGTCGCCCGAGTCCCTGGGCCAGCTGGCGACCTTCCTCAAGGACTCGCTCAGCGGCTTCGACAAGACCGCGCAGAAACATGCCGAGCTGGTGAGATAGATGTCATGCAAGTACGAGGCTGCTCAGAGGCTCACCACGTTGCTACAGATGCTCAAGCAGGCTAAGCAATCGCCCGACTTCAACAACTACCTCGCCTACGTCCTCTCCAGTCCCCAGCCGCCTGAGGGCATCTCCTACAATGAGCAGGAGTACCACTTGGTCCGGTCAGCAGCCGGCATTATGCTGAAGAACAATGTCAAGTCGGATTGGAAACAGATTCCCGAGTCAAGTCTGCAGCTCATCAAAATGGCCGTGCCCATGGCGCTGCAGGACAAGAACTCGCAGATCCGCAACTTCTCAGGCAACGTCGCGACCGAGATTGTGCACCGCGGCGGCTTGGTGGCCTGGCCCGAGTTGCTGCCCCAGCTAATGGACCTGATCAGCAACTCGAACGGGCAGGCCAGCGATGAGGCCCAGGAGGGCGCCATGTCGGCCATGGCCAAGATCTGCGAAGATAACGTTGGGATGTTGACCAAGGAAGTCAACGGGCAGAGGCCCCTCAACTTTGTACTACCGCAGTTCATTGCCGCCACAAAGAGCCACCTCCCCAAGGTGCGCGCGCTCGCGCTCACGGCCATCAACGTCTTCACACCCCGGCCCTCGCAGGCCATGTTGAACTCGATAGACGACCTACTCCAACATTTGTTTACCCTTGCGACAGACGATAATTCTGAAGTCCGTCGGCAGGTCTGTCGCGCCTTTGTCAACCTCGTCGAGACTCGAGCGGACAAGCTGCAACCGCACGTCGGTGGCTTGGTGGATTACATTCTGTCACAGCAAAAGTCGGATGACGAGGAGCTGGCCTGCGAAGCAGCCGAGTTTTGGTTGGCTGTTGGAGAGCACGAGAACCTGTGGGGCGCCCTCGAGCCCTACCTCAACAAGATCATTCCAGTCCTGCTGGAGTGCATGGTGTACAGCGGAGAGGATATTGCCCTTCTCGGCGGGTTATCAGACGACGAAGATGAGGAGGATCGCGAAGAGGACATTAAGCCTGCGTTTGCGCAGAGCAAAAAGGGAAGGATCGCCAACGAGTCCTCTGCAGACCCTGACAAGACCGGAAATGCGTACGAAAAGCTGGCCGCGATGGACGATGACCTGGAGGAAGGCGAGGTCGACGACTACGAGGACGGGGACGATGGCTCGCCAGACGAGAAGTGGACGGTACGCAAGTGTTCGGCCGCAGCCCTGGACGTTTTCGCTGGCGATTTCAAAGGCCCCGTATTTGAGGCGATCCTACCGTACCTGTCGCAGAACCTCAAGCATGAGGAGTGGCCTCAACGCGAGGCATCTGTTCTGGCACTCGGTGCTGTCGCCGATGGCTGCATGCCCGCAGTCGTTCCCCATCTGCCGCAGCTTGTTCCCTACCTCATCTCACTTCTAGAGGACCCAGAACCCGTTGTCCGCCAGATCACTTGCTGGACTTTGGGTCGATACTCAGGTTGGGCGGCCAATCTGGCGGATCCAGCTCAGAAGGAGGAGTTCTTCGTGCCGATCATGGATGGTATCCTGCGCAAGATGCTCGACAAGAACAAGAAGGTTCAGGAGGCCGGCGCCTCGGCTTTTGCGAATTTGGAAGAGAAAGCTGGCAGTCAGCTGGAGCCATACTGTGGTCCGATTGTGCAGCAATTTGTCCTGTGCTTCGGCAAGTACAAGGACCGGAACATGTACATTCTCTACGATTGCGTCCAGACCCTGGCAGAGCGAGTGGGACGTTTCCTTGCCAAGGAAGAGCTCGCGGGTCAGCTCATGCAGGCTTTGATCGCGCGGTACAATGCCGTATCTGACCAGTCACGCGAACTTTTCCCGCTGCTCGAGTGTCTGTCGTACGTTGCTCTCGCGCTCGACGACGCATTCTCGCCCTACGCACCGACAATATTCGCGCGATGCATCAACATCATTCATTCGACGCTTGAGCAGACCATGGCTGCGAGCAGCAGCGAGGCCGTGGACGTGCCAAACAAAGATTTCCTGATCACAAGTCTTGACCTCTTGAGTTCTATCATTCAGGCCTTGAACAAGGACAAGTCAAGAGAGCTGGTCAGTCAGTCGGGTCAAAACTTTTTTGAGCTGCTGACCCTGTGCATGGGGGATCCAATGGACGACGTGCGCCAATCTGCCTTTGCTCTTCTTGGAGATTGCGCGAAGTTTGCCTTTTCTCAATTACAACCACACCTTCCCAACATGATCCCCCTGCAAGTCAAGCAGCTGGAGCTGGACCATATTATGGACGAGCAGGCCGAGGCTGGCTTCGGCGTCGTGAACAATGCGTGCTGGTCTTGCGGCGAGGTCGCCGTGCTGTACGGGAAGGGCATGTCGCCTTTCATCCCCGAGCTCATGCAGCGCCTGGTTGACATCCTGTCTAACCCGCGGGTGCCCAGGGCTCTGCAGGAGAATGCTGCCATTGCGCTCGGGCGTCTCGGTCTCGCCGACCCCGACCAGCTCGCACCTCACCTGTCTATCTTCGCGGACGACCTTTTGGGTGCGATGAGTGAGATTGATCCATCAGATGAGAAGTCCTCGTCCCTGAGGGGCTTCTCCGCCGCTGTGGCGCAAAACCCGCAGGCCATGGAGAAGTCGTTGCTGGGTTACTTTGAAGCCATCGCCCAGTTTGACGATGCGCAGCTGGAGAGTGCCGAAAAGCAGAAACTGCACGAAGTGTTTCAAAACGTACGTATCTGACTGTATGATTCGGGCCCCCTACTAACCGCCATGGCAGATTCTCAACTCGTACAAGCAAATGATGCCACAATTCGGTGACTTTGTGGGGCGACTACACCCGCGGGAGCAGCAGGCTCTGCGAACGAAGTACTCAGTATAGAATAGGAGTGGTAACCCATCATCCGGGAATTTAGGGAGGACAAGGGTATTTGGGACGTTTGAACGAGCGCAACGTGCATATGACCATATGACGTGGAAAGACAGCAATATGATTTCCTTTGGGGTGCGGCTTCAGGAAAAATACTCGGGAGGACGAACCATGGATGATTGTGGGGAGGCTCGCGCCGTCCCAACCGCACAAAGATGAGAAGCACGGTTGCAACGTAGATAGTTAGCATCAGATAGATAGAGCTACTTCTCCCCGGCCAGTACGTAGTATTGCGTCAAACCAAAAGGGAACGAGCGGGCGTTGATTGGAGCGCATCGCATATCGACAAACAAGTTGTTTTTCTCTTTCTGCCTTCCCCTCGTTGCTATTCCATCTTTGCTCATCCATCTACTGTCTATGTACAAGGCTTGTGCCAAACTGGCCTAGTCCCCCTGATGTTGAAAAACAAAAAGGGGGGGCGGCAGTCTTGTGGTGAAGAAAGTGTAACCAAGGAAAATGCTGCCATAAGCTAAGTTGATATTGTGTTTCTTGTGCCGATGAACGCTCCAGACTCCATGCAAATAGACCATCATTTTCTCCTTCACTCAACTCGCGTCCTGTGTCGTTGGTGATCCGTCAAAGTTGATATTTATGTTCGCTTCACTTCATGTCGTGATTGGGTTCGCTTGGGTCGCTGGCTGCTGCTGATGTTCGGCGAATTCAGATCTCTCAGTACCGTACCCGTCTTCGCCTTCGCCTTGCGTGTCTGTGTTCACATCTGCAGCCTCTTCTGCTGCGGATGTCTGCTCTTCCAACTGCCTTCTGGCAGCTTCTGCTTCCGCCTCCAGCCTTTGGCGCTCTGCGCGGGCTTCAGCTTCCAGATTGGCAATGTGTCCCTCTGCCACACCGGGTGCAATGCTCGCCAGAAACAGCAGGCTGGCCCGCTCTATTTGCCGAAAGACGCTATCTCTGTCACGTTGCGCTACTAGTCGCGCAGCCATGTCCCGAGTGTTGGGGTCCTGCGCTTCGCCTTGCTGCCGCTGTTGCTGTCCCTGCGGACCACCTTGTGCGGCGTCTCTCCTCTCAATCCTGGGCAGCAGTCCCTCTAGATGCTGAGCAATAGGCCGCCACGCTGCCTGAGCAACGTTTGTCAAGGCGCCCGTGCTGAAAATGAAGATAGCGACGGCTGTCCCTACCACGGATAGCCAGCGCGACCAGCTGGTGGACGAGGACGTGAAGAAGAATACAAATACGCACAGGCGGAAGAGCAGCCACAGGTGGGGCACTAGCCATATGAGCCATGGTGGGATGCCAGGTTCTTGCGGGTTGTCCCTATCAGCCTGACCATCCTGAAGTTGCGGCGCTGCTTGCGGTTGAGGGGCCTGTTGCTGTTGGCCTTGGTCTGGAGCTTGCGTTGGTGTGGGCTGGGGCTGTCCCGGTGTTGGAGGCGCAGATCCAACTGGGTAAAACATGTTACGCAGCCCAGACTGGTTGGGCTGGTTCTCGAGGCGTGGTGTATAGTACGTCTCAGATGTGTGGTTGTTGACGAGGATCCCTCGAGGCCCTTCAGGCGACGATAGGATGTACACATCGACGTTCGGCCTCCCCTGTCCCCCGGGGTTGCTGCTGCTCCCACTCACCGACCGCGCTGTCGGGTCTGGCGTTGCACGCCCGCTTGGAGTCGTACCGGCCGGGTTCAAGGGTCGGTTGTACAATTGGTGCAGCGAGGGGCCCGAAGCTGGTCTACGCATGGCACTGTGCAAGGTGGCCGTGGCTTGCGACATGTCGACCCTGCGAAGGACGTTCTGGACGTCCGCCGGGGTGAGTCCTGCGTCCGCCGGACCTCGCACAATAGTCTCGACCTGGTATGTCTGGCCATTGTGGCCGACACTCTCGCGAAAGTGACCAAGCGGCGCTGGACTATCACGGCCACCTGCAGGAGGCCTTGACGCCTGTCTCTGGAGAGCACGGTATTGGGCCTGGATGACTCGCTCGTGTTCGGTGCGCCAGCGTGCTGGTTCGGGTCCAGGAGTCGGGCCCAGGGCGGGCTGCACGGGGTTCCTCCTGGGGAAGGTCGGCGTGGGCTGTATTGGTATGGTCGCTCTCGGAATCGGCGCAGGGTTTTGGGGCGGGAGATTCGTCGTTGTGACCGGTGCAGGCGGGACTTGTGTATGGTTCATGTCTCTGACCACCAAGTGCATCGTTTGCTGTTCATTGGAACGAATCTGAGCGGACGTCAGCCAGGTTAGCATTCTTGTGGGAAATAGACGTACAGTGTCCTCGCCGAATATCTCCAAGAGGGTTTCTGTGTCTCGGACGAGTGCCCTTCCACGATGGATCAGGCGCTGATACTCGTCGGGGGGTTGTAGCGGCAGGGCATCGCGAATCTTGGCTTTGAGCGCCTTCACCGTAGTGGAAGCCGCGAGGTCAGGGAAGAGCAGTGGGCGGTTGACGCCGACAGAAGGCGAGATCACTTGGAGCTTAACGGCGAGCTCGCTTGCCGGGATCGCGGCCGCGTCGTGAGATATGTCTGAGGCCATGTTGAGCGCATCGATGGCTTCAAGTGCTCCAGCTTGTTATGTCAATGCAGGGCCTTGGCGAGTCTCTCTGGGCTGGAAGGTAGGTAAGGAAAGTGAGGCGGTGAAGTGAGGAGGACGGAATGAAGAAGAGGCGAAAAGAGTGGACGGAAGGCAAGTCAGCACATGTTGAACAGTGTCCAAGCACGCAGAGCCATTGAGCGAAGTGAAGCTGATGTTGGTGCTGGCGAGATGAGAAGATGGACATGCGACAGCCTGGCAGCTTCTCAATGGGGCCGGATCGGTCTCGTCGCCCGTTCGGCCTGGTGCACGGCCGGTACGGTTGATGACAAACACTTGCATTATTGGCTACCCTGTGTTATGGACCTGGGCCCTGTCTCAACTTCAGCCCCTTTCACAATCTGTGCACAAAGCCCGAGTCAATGACAGGCTCGTGGCATAATTGAAGTCAATGGGCGCCATTGAGACAGCAGACTGAAATAGAAGCGGCTGTGTCAGAGGTTCATGATAGGGCAAACACGAAAACCCCATAACGAGACTAACTTAACTGTGTCTGAACTTCTGAAACCCCCAAGTTCCATTGATCTACCCTGGAACTGGTTTCTGACCACGTACCTACATATAGGGACGTAAACGTCATTCCACGTTTCTTCGCCGCATCCCCGTTCTCCACACGAAGACCCTCAGTCCCTCGCTTTCGTCTCTCTTCAGCCCCCGGCCTAGCCTAGTCCAGTCCACGCGACGACAAGCGTCCCAGAGCCTCGACGAAAATGGCGTCCTTTGGTATTGGCCTCGGCCAGGCCACGCGGCGCACAGCAGTGTCCCGATCCTGCACCCACTGCGCGCGATCCACGACACGGTCCTCGACAGCGACTCGCCGTGCGTTCTCCTCGAACAACGGGCCCAGGCGACCTCGCTTCTCGCAGCGTCTCGGCGAGGCCTTGCGAAACAGCAAGGTCACATGGTATCCCATACCCGTGGGACTGGGCGTGGGGTTCCTGGGCCTGGTGCAGTTCTACAAGGTCCAGACGCGCGAGAAACAGAAGCAAGACGAGATTGAAAATGGGGAGCGCCCACAGAAACGGCCGAGGGTCAAGCTGGAGGGACCGTGGCAGGTGCAGGTCATGTCGACGTTGCCATTGAAGGCCATCTCCAGACTCTGGGGCCGCTTCAACGAGTTGAACATTCCGTACTACCTGCGCGTACCGGGTTTCAAGCTATACAGTTTCGTATTTGGCGTCGAGTAAGTGGTTCTCTCTCTCTCTCTAGATATGACAAGAAAGGAAAGGGAGCAAACCGCTGACGCTATAGACAGCCTCAACGAGGTTGCTGAGCCGGATCTACACACATACCCCAACCTCGCTGCCTTCTTCTTCCGCAAGCTCAAGCCCGGCTCTCGTCCTCTCCACCCGGATCCGCATATGGTTCTCTCGCCCGCCGATGGGCGCGTTCTCCAATTCGGCCAGATTGAAGGTGGAGACATTGAGCAAGTCAAGGGCATGACATACAGCATCGACGCGCTTTTGGGCAAGCGGACACCCACCCCGAGCATCAATGGCGAGGCCAACGGCGTCACACCAGAGGATGCCGCTAGGGCTTCCCGTGAGGCTTCTGCGCAAGAAGAGGTCATCAAGCGCGACGAAAAGTTTGCCGAGATCAACGGTATTCCCTACAAGCTGCCTGACCTGCTGAGTGGTTCCGGCCAGGGCCAGACTGTGGAGGACATGTCTCTCGGAACCAAGCCAAGCACTGTATCTGAAGTCGGCGCTGAGCTGGCTCTCGGAGAGCGGCCGTGGTACGATATGCTGTCCCCGGACAAGACCACATCTCTCTACTACGCCGTCGTATATCTCGCACCGGGTGACTACCACCGCTTCCACAGCCCCACCAACTGGGTCGTCGAGCGTCGCCGACACTTTGCCGGCGAACTGTATAGCGTGTCACCGTACCTCCAGCGCACACTGCCCGGCCTCTTCACGCTGAACGAGCGTGTCGTCTTGCTCGGACGCTGGCGTTGGGGTTTCTTCTCGTACATTCCCGTGGGCGCCACCAATGTGGGTTCCATTGTGATCAACTTTGATCGCGAGCTGCGGACCAACAGTCTCCTGACAGACACGGCAGCCGACCGCGCGGCAGAAGAGGCTGCGAAGCGCGGCGAACCGTACCTTGGCTTTGCCGAGGCCTCGTACGAGGGCGCGAGCCGCGTCCTAGGCGGACACGCGCTAGGACGAGGCGACGAGATGGGCGGTTTCCAGCTGGGGAGCACCATTGTCCTCGTGTTTGAGGCGCCGTCAGAGGGGGCTGCGGGCAGCAGGAAGGGCTGGGAGTGGATGGTGCAGAAGGGGCAGAAGGTGAAGATGGGCCAGGCCCTTGGCAAGGTGTTGGAGGAGTGACAGCTCTCCCTGCAAGTGTTCTAATATAGCTGTATGCGTTTCAAAGAAGTACCTCACTACGTGCACGTACATATATTAGGTCTGGGTCTTTTAACAACTTTGTTTGTTCATTCGTCTAATCGTGATAGGTCTAGGATCCATGTGTATCATATTGCCGTGCTATGCTCAGGGAGAGAAAAATCAAGGTTTCGAGTCATGCCATTGAGGATCTGAATTAGGCGCCAAAGACCTTGACGCGCTCCTCGACAGGCTTAAAGTCCTTCTCGCCAGCCTCGCCACCCTTGCCGCCAAAGACGAGCTGGGCGTCAAGGATCCAGTCGGCGGGAACGTTCCACTCGTTCTGGACGTCGCCGTCGATGAGGGGGTTGTAGTGCTGCAGGTTGGCACCGGCGCCCTCGAGCTCGAGGGCGGTCCAGGTGAGGTACTGCTGCATGGCGAGGCTCTGGGAGGCCCAGATGGGGAACTTGTCGGAGAAGGGCGGGAACTTGCCCTTGTACTCGTTGACGGTGGTGTTGTCGCTGAAGAAGAGGACGGTGCCGGCGGCGGCGCGGAACATGGCCATCTTGTCGCCGGTGGGCTTCCAGTTCTCCTCGGGGACAATGGCCTTGAGGCGCTGGGTGGCAAAGTCCCAGAGCTTCTCGTGCTCGGCGCCAAAGAGGACGACGACGCGGTTGGACTGGGAGTTGAAGGAGGAGGGCGTGTGCAGGGTCAGCTCGTGGACAATCTCCTGGACGCGGGCGGTGGAGATGGGCAGGTCCTTGGTGAGAGGGTAGATGGAGCGTCGCTGCTTGGCGAGCTGGATGAGGGCGTCGGCGGAGACCTTGGACATGGTGACGGTTTGCTGCGCGAGTGGATGTGGATTTGGCAGAGAGAGATGGGCGAGTTGATGGGGAAGCCTGGATATGGTGGTGGTGGCAGACCAGAGCTCTCTTATATGTTCCCTCGGTATAATCGAAAAGTGTCCATCCCACTTCCATCTCGCTTCCACGCCCCGCTATCACGTTGCTTAGACAGAGATGATGAATCCTCATGAAAGCTCCACAGGAGGTCGCAATTGGCCCCCCCGTGTGGAGCCTCGACTCCAGTCGTCTAAGAAGACCATGATGATGGTGAGTACTTGTGCAGGTACCCACGCGTAACTTGGTAAGATCCAACCAGCTACACAGCAGTGCCTCACCAGACTATACCTTTCTCTTCGCTGTTCTATCACACAGCCGTTTCAGTCCTCGGACAAGACTCATCTTTCCCAGCTACTTGCGTGATGAAGGCGAAGCTGTCATTGATGTACATGTATGTGTGGACTAATTAATATGCAGTGAGAAATCTGATAGCTTCAATTCACTGAATTGAGTGGATTCAGCGACTAGACCAAGCTGGTGGACCAATCAGGCTAACCGTCCAAGGCCAATCCAGCCGTATCCAGCAGTCTCTGATTTCTTTTCGTTTCGCATCTTTCTCTTCTGGGTAGCCGCGCGCGACGATGACAAAGCTGGCCAAGGGCCCAACAGCGCGACGACGCGAGCCAGACTGACCAAGGATGATCAATCCAGTCGGTCTAATTAGTCTGCTTTGAGGTAGCAGTTGTCTTGTGTGCTGTATAGTACATGTGTAGGGTAGTGTGCATGAATATGAACATTGCAAGTAGCGACTGTGATAGCAGTGCCAGGCACCCGGCTGATTCCGCTGTTCAACATTCAGCACGAGACTGCAAGACAATAGATGCACTATGATACAATGGGTTACATATATTTGTAACTGATCTCATCCGGATCCCCATGGTAATGACCACGCCAGACGCCCCATCCAATGATGTGATTTGCTCCCGACGTATGCTTGCGCCGCTATAGTATTCTAATGCTGGGACTTGTGAAGGAAATGATGCGAGACAGGAGAAGAAAAACAGAGACAAACTACCAGGTCTCAGCAATGTACTGCCCAGCCTCCTTCTTCAGCGCCCAGAAGTTGCGCGCCTCCTCGCGCTCGAGGTTGCCCTTGCGCATAGCCACGTCGACGAGGGCATCCTCGACCCCCTCGCCCATGCCCTTGCTGGAGCCGCAGACAAAGACGCGGCCGTCGACGGCGTTGACAATGTACCAGACCAAGTCGGCCTGGTTCAGCACCTCCTCCTGCACGTACCGCCCCTCGCCGCGCCGGGACTGGACGACGCGCTTCACCTCGTCCTCGTGCACGCCCCACTCGCCGCTGTAGATCTCGTCCACGAGGGAGTCGCGGATCCCCTGCAGCACCCAGACCTTGTTGGCGCAGTTGGCCTGCTTGAGGCGCCGCTGCACGAACCCGCGGAAGGGCGCGATGCCCACGCCCGCGCCGATGAGCAGCATCGGTCCGTCCGCGTTGAACTGCTTGGCCAGCGGGTTCGCCATGAGGCCCTTGAACATGGGTATGTACACCTCGGGCTCCTTGACGCCGGCCGCGCGTGCCTTGAGCCACTTGCGGGCCTGGCGCTCAAAAAAGCCGGACCCGACGCCCGTCCGGCTGCCGTGCTGCCAGTCCGTCGTCTCGTGAACCGTCACGGCAATCTCGACGAGGCGGTGCTGCCTGTTGTCGCGCGTCTGATAGGCGTCGTGGGGGTCGTTGGAGAGCGAGTAGAAGCGAGGCATGAGAGGCTGGAGGACGGATAAGAAGTCGCCCAGAGGGGGGTGCGAGCTGGGGAAGGCGTGCAGGAGCTGCGAGACGGTGATGTGAGGACCGGTGCGGAGGTCGCAGAAGGCGCCCTGTCCTTGCGCCGAGCAGAGGTAGGTGAGGATCTTCTTCTCATTGTCGGCCGACGCGTGCTCGGCAAGAAGACGCAGCAGGGGCTTGGTGGGCGGGTAGGACTGCAGGTCGACGCACCAGGTGAAGAGGTCGCGGCGGGTCGTCACCAGCTCGCGGGCCTGGTCGTCGCCCCAGACCGTGGGCCAGCGACCCTTTGTGGTCTTGATGAGCACCGGCTTGTCACGCTGGAACTTGGGCACCATGAGGGCGTCGAGGACCTCCTCGACGATGGCGTCGTCGTTGGGGGCCGAGACGCCAATAGCGCCCCCGACCTTGAAGTCGGTGCCGTCCTCGTCCGGGTAATCGGTGATGTCGAGGTCAAAATGGTATGTGCGCTTCTCGGCGCCGGCACGCGTCAGCTCGCGCGCATTATGGATCTTGACAGGGACCACGTGGTGTGGAGGATGCGGTTGCACGAAGCGAGGAGGCTCGACGGATGTGTCGACAGACTGGGTGGGCTGCTCGCCCAAGGAGATGGCCGAGTCTGGTGATGCCGCGGGGTCCTTGCGGATGGGGCTGAAGGAGACAATCTTCTCCGGCAGCTCTGTCACCTTTGTCATCTTTGTGGGGACCTGGCTGATCTTGAGCTGCAAGGAGCGGAAGGCCTCGTTGTCGGGCAAGGGCACATCCTCGTAGTCGAAGCCAACGGCTCGGCCGCCAGTCAGGCAGCAACCGCCACCGCAGCACCTCTGCACAAACTCGGCCGTCGTCTCGCCTGTGATGCGTTGGATGTCGCGTGCGCTCTGGGCAATGAGTCGTGTGGACGCCCGGCGCTGGCGCGTGCGCTCTTCTGGGGCCTGGACCAGTTCATCTTGGTCGTCGGACTCGTCCGAGTATGTGAGAGAAGGAGCGATGGAGGGCAAGGAAGGCTCCTGCGGTATGCAATCGCTCGTGGACGACACGACGTCCTGAATTGGGACCGCCTGGGCCATGATGGGTGTGTAGATGGTGGTAGAGGGTGCTGCTTGGGATATCTTTGGTGGCACCAGAGGCAGCGGGTGGAATCGGGAGAGGCGAACCGTCTGCTGGTGGTAAACTTGGAGCGTAGTTCGGAGCGTGACAGAGAGAGAATTGAGAGGTGCTCTGTGGGATGGGAGCATCCAGGTGTTCAGTTTCTCAAGAGTATAAGTAGCGAATGCGTTGGTGGTGTCTTGAAAAAGGAAAATCGACGCGGTCGAGGAAACGTGGGCGCACATATTCGATGAGCCTTGGAAAAGTACGTGGAGCCTGCGAGGTGGGAGCCGACTGGAGCCCGGGGTGATGAGTGCGCACTGTGTTGGATACCCTCGGCCTCAGTGGCATCTTTTGGGGCGGGGGGCGGCGTCAACGATGATCTGATCATAATTTCATCTTGTGGGCTAACTTTCATGGTCCAAACGCTCGGCTTCGCCCAAGCCGAGCCACGCAACTCAGAATCAACTCACAGCGCCCTCCGTCTGTCTGTCTGGAGTTTAATTGCCTTTTGATTATTGTTGAGGCTTTGTTGGCATGCTCCGATAATTTTTCCTGATCCAAGTGTACGCGAGCGAGGCGAGTTCCAGGCGATAGGAAACGCCACCTGGTTGGCGCACTGTAGCTGAGATGACGCCTTGAGGGTCCACGCGCTATGGTGCATTGCCAGTGCTTGCCACAGTGCAGTGTCTGTCGTCTTACACACGCAGCGTGGCCCGTTATCAATCAGGGCGCCCTGCCGCTCATCGATTGGGGGCATGGAGCTTGGCACTGTGCGCTTCGATGCGAGACGCTGCCAATCATTAGCCAAGCATGACACCACCGTCACGAAGACTTATTACAACATCAACATCACGGTTGCAAATCAATATGCACCCACCGCTCTCCGTCGTGTGATCATGGCAATCGTTGATTACCCTCACAAGGGCTCTCTTCCATTTGCCTCGTTTCGTATCACCGGTACGTGCATATGTACAACCCCGCCTCCGTTGTCGCTGCTGCAGACGCTAGCGGCGGCCGGGTGTCTGCGGACACACAGTCGGATGAAATCACGAAAGCCTCCTGTACCGGAGCTTCCCAAGATGCACGTGCCAGCTCATCACTGCGCATCATCATCATGCGCCCCCAAAGTAATTAAATGATTCAGATTCCAGATTCCCGGAATGGGGATCTTTGGCCCCAGGCTCCAGCAGACTCTACGCAGCACGCACCGTGCACGGTGCAGCGCGAGAGACTGAGACAAGGGCCTGCAGATTTTTTTCCAACCCCCTAATCTTATCAGATCAACAACCCGAGCGGCGACCGCGGAGATGTGGAGACTTGGGATCATTGTGAATTTGTGCCTGCCCAGTTTCGCGATTGGCGTCAATGATTGATTGGTCTTACGGCTCACCGTGGCTCGAACGGTCGCGCCATTTTCCTGAGCAAAGATTGATCTGATTAGATCCTTTTCGTTGGGATGGTCCAATTGATTGAGGCCCATGCCTGGCGTCAGGACCATGCAACGCTTCGCCGAGCTCACAGTCTCACCCCACCGACTGAGTCAGCGGAAGATGTCATCTCCGACGCGCGGTTCGATCTGATAAGATTGGGGTCACACAGTGGAATCAATGCATTCGTTTCCACCCCGATTCCAGACCCAGAGACGACGGTCAGAAGGCATGCAGAGCGCGGTGCTATTGGCGCACTGGCAGCGTACCTGCGTCTGAAGTGGAAGTGCTTGCGTACGTAGTAGTATCCGTAGCGGCAGGAAGAGCAGCATTGTGCATCGTGCAACGAAGTCCCTAGTGTCCCCGTATGTAAGATAATCATTTTCCATGTTCAGTAAAAGTGTTTCTATCTCTTCGGCCATAAAGACCATATCTTGTCCAGTGCTTTCCGCTTCCCCTCAGGCTTGGCTTGGCCAAAGGATGGTTTTCGTGGATTGATATAGTACTGATCTGCCTCCCGCACTGAGTAGTCCACGCTGGGATCCAGCGGTGACGGCTCACAATGCGACTCGCTGCTCTCTTCGCCGTGTTTGCCACTGCTGTTGTCATCACTGCCACTATCCGTACTGCGTATCAAACTTGGGCTTGCTCTACTCCCGAAGACATAGCGTCTACTAGATGATCTCGACGATTCACTGCTAGTCGCGGGTTCGTGCTGCCAGGTCGACGAAGACAAGCGGGAGGGCAGCACGGCTGATGGAGTGCGCGGTGGTCGGAAGAACGACTGCTGGTTCGCATCTGACAAGAGCGAGCCAGCTCGGTAGGATGCTGGCGATGCCAGGCGGGGAAGAGACGTAGAGAACTGGCCGTGCGTCACATCAGATTGTTCATCCAATGCAGGCAGTCGGGGGCTCGAAGGATTAGTTGGACGTTGTCTTAGCTGACGGAGACCATACACCTGGGGCCGGCCTCCTCCGTACTCATGTGCTTCCGTGTTGACTCCGCTGAGGCAGGCGCCTCGTACTAGAGCACCAAGATCAAGCACTGCGGGGATAAACAAGAGCACCACAATCACCACTGCATGTATGGCCAGGATAACATAGCCAACAGCCATACGTGGCCCATGCGCAGTTGCGTATGGCAGGAAGGCACTTTGAAGAGCCAGGATCGCCAGTCGAAGAAGTGGCATTGCACCCGAGCGACTCGAGAGCGGTGTTGTCCTCAAGATGATCGCCTGCAAGGCCAATTGGCAGACTTCTGACCCCAAAAGTATGAATAGCTGCGCCGTACCGTGTAATTCCAAACCACCGTGGGTGATGCCTCGGAGAACAAGCATGACATAGACGCCAGTTGAGTAGTAGCTCCGCATGCGCGAGGGACTTGCCGCGTCACCGTGGTTCTTCGAATCATCGACCAGCAGATAGCCCATGTTGCGCGGGTCTCCATAGGATGTTGCCCACCAAACGAGGAGGATCAAGGCGCAGACAATAGCAGAGGCGGCCACAGAGTAGTAGATGGGGATGTTCCCGACGTGAACCAGCTGATACGTTGTCCACGCCACCAGCGGAACAAGTAGGTACGCACAGAACAGGCGAACTGCGGTCCACAGAACAGCCGTGAGGTCGGCTCGCTGGTCGCCGCCGTGACGGAAACTCAACGAGTGGGTCGATCGAAACCAGTCTCTCGACCAGGTCAGCTTGACGCCCAGGTACACAAGCACGACCAAAGCAAAGAAGATCAAGGCAGCTAGGGAGACAATGTTCAGCCAATTGTCAACGGTGACGGCGCCGCCGACCACCTGGGTCATGACCTCCAAGCCAGCGGACCCCGTCATGGTTCCATTGCTCTCGTAGATGCCGTCCGAGACGCCTGGATACCAGCTCTTTCTCTGCACCATCCCGGCGGGAAACATGAGCGTGGACCAACTGGTGCGACTGGCGACAGGCTGCAAGAATCCTGGATAGTGCAGACTCAGCGCGGCCGAGAAGAAGATGAATTGGAGGTAGGAGAGATAGTCAGCGACGCGTGTGACGTGGCCATGAGAAGATTCCCTTGTCGAAGGACCCAAGTCTTCACTACAGTCGTGTGACAGGTTTGCAGTCTCCCGCCACAGGGCCACGAGGACAATGAGCGCGAAGATGCAGATGGGCGCCCATGTGATGGCCCGGACAAAGGGCCCAGGGAGCTCTGGCGTCAAGTGCGCGTCGATACAGCCCTGCACCACGTTGGCGGAGTTGCGCAGCTCGACACGGAGCAGGTATGTGTTGATGAGATGAGGCTGAACAACGTTCAGGTCGAACTCATAGTACCCCCAGATACCGCCCAGGCATGTGTAGTTGGATGAGACTGCGTCGTAGACGTGGACACTGCCCAGAGTCGACATCTTCAGGTTCGCTGTCGCATTGTTCCCCTGGCGCTCTGTCTCGCACTGGTCGTTCCGCCCCAAGTTGTCGGCAATGTCGAGTTGAAGCTGCATGTGGCCATCCTCGTACCCGTGAATGAAGGCTTTCATTCCTCGGTCGGTGTGGCCGCCAGCGCAATCATGGGTTTGGACGTACGCCCCTGACACGGCAGCCACCGCGCCCCAAGCTGCCAGGAGCAGATGGCTGCGCATACTTGCAGCAACGACACGGGAGCAGTTCGTTCAATCGTGCTCGAGATGAAAGAGAATGGGCAGCATCTGCGCTCATGGGATGTTCCCCAGATCTCGAATGCCGAAAAAAATTCGTGTCGGGATCCAAGAGGCGGCGATCGCATAAATCACAGGGTCCACTAAGCGTTTGGGCTAGGAGCCAATTTAGCGTGACAGCGTTACTGATATCAATTTTCAGAGATATTTTACAAAACGACGCAATGATCGTAGTTTGTATTGTATCATATATACATGTGCTCTGGCTGGCGTGTTGTCCATTGAGATAGAATCATAATGCCTGGCCGGAGGGTGCGCATGCTGTCACAGGCTGCGAAGGATCGCTGATGAAATGCCCTCTCATTATCCGTATACATAACCCATATTAATTCCGAATAATGAAGCCCTCTGAATCGCTCAAAAGAAAGCAAACGCTTGCTGAAAGATAAAGACAGAACCAAACAACATAGATCTCTCCCCCCTTCCCCAAGAGTGAGGCTCACATACAGTGACTCTGGACTAATGTGCCAGACCATTACACCCTCCCAAAGCTGAACAAGAGCCGTGGTGTCAACCATGAGAACCACCAGTTGTGCTTCTTTACGCTTCTCTGCACGCCGTGGCTGCGTGACGCCTCGGCCTCGGCATCAACAAAGATCTTCCAGCTTCGAAGGCACCACAAGGTCAGGGAGCCGAGCAAGAACATGAAACTCACAAAGAGCTGCGCAGACGTGAACGACGAGGTCTCCCCGGCCATTGCGAACGCAATAGGCTCAGCAAAGGTCGCTGGTGCTACCATGGCGATCATGACAACGCCAATGGTGCTGGTCAGCTTGCGAATGCCAACAACCTCAGCAAGCACCGGTGTAACCGCCGCCCAAAAGGTACCGCAGAGCGAGCCTGCCAAGAGGGCGAAGGCAAGAAGCGACGCGTAGGATGTAGAGGGCATCCACAGCGCGAAGCAGAAGATGGAGGTCAGCAAGGCCGTCAACCCCGCCACGTTGATGCGACCAAAGACGTCGCTGAACCATCCCAGGAAAGGTCGGCCGACGGCCAGGCCGACGTTGAAGAGGGCGTTGGCGACAGTGCCCTGCTGGGCGCTGAGACCGATGGAGTTGGCGTACACTGGCAACGAGTAGAGCAGGATGATATACCCCAGCTCGGTCGAAACGCCCCAGAGAATGATGAGGAGGAGCTCGACGCGTCCAAAATCCCTAGGGTTGAACTTGAACTCCTCCGGAAAAGTGCGCGACCGCCCTCCCCATTCCCTCATGAGCAGGGCAGCAACGCCGTTCCCGGCAAGGGAGCAAAAGGCGAGGATGCGCCACGTCCACTCTATGCCCAACCGTTCCAGGATACTGTGCGCAGCCAGACTGTATATGAGACCGCCAATGCCTGTTCCTGAGGTAGCCAGGCCGACCGCAAGACTCCTGTTCCTGGTGAACCAAGGTGGCAGGAGCTGCGAGGCGGTGACATAGCAGAGACCCATGCCCCAGCCGAAGCAGAACCCTTGGGTGAGGAACAGTTGCCATACCTTGGTCGCAAAGGATGATGTGAGCAACGCCACAAAGATCAAGACAGATCCCACAAGTGATGTCGGCCGTGAACCGAGGTACTTTCGCACCGTGCCCACGAGCGGGGAGACCATGAGGGCCTGCGAGATGGCAAGGCCGCCTATGATGCCAAACTCAAGATGGGAGCCCTCGATCTGGTGGGTGCGGAGATAATAGGCCATAATAATGGCCCAGGCCTGTAGGGATGGTCAGTCAGTCAAATGGTCCACAAGTCTGCGAGCATAGCACTCACAGATGCGATGCCCCATGTGTGCGTGTTCACCAGGAACAAGCCGACAGCGACAACCCAGCCATAGCCACCGTCCGGAGGCGTCGGCTCGACACTCACGACGTTTGTCAGGTTTTCCTCGCCTGACGGGTCGTCATCACACCATGACGAACGTCGTGAGGTCGTTGCGCGCGAGACAGGCTCTGGCGTCGGGAGCACATCCATCTGTGTGTCATTGTCGTTCGCTCGTTGGGCGATGCTGAGCGCCATGTCTCTCAGCCAACAGGTGTTGATAGATATAGATGAGGGGTTGCCTGGTGTCTTGAATCCATCAAAAATCGGGGCATACTTGGTGTTTTTATAAGGAAGATATCCTTCATCGTCCGATCTCGGCTGTGGCTGCTCTGTTGGGGGGGCGTTATTGAAAAGTCGTGTTGTCACCTGGAGGGCGTGATCGGGAGTTGGTGGTGATTGTCTTCCTCCAGGTGTCCCGCCTGCCCGATAAAAAGCTTAAAACAGGCATTGGTGCATGGGAAATCCACTCGATCGGTGTCTGCGGGCCAATATGCATCGGATGCCTAGACACCCATTCCTCGCGGACCCCGTAGGAACGTGGAGAACAAGGCGCGAAAGCTCCCTGAACGAAAACTGCTCCTCTTGGCATGAGGAGCCGAGAATTCTGGAGAACATGTCATGCAGCCGTCACCGACAGAGTCTCGCGGTGGTCTTGCACAGAATTATCTGGGACAAGGCACGCACTACATCAGTGACATCAGGTTCGAACGGAGATGGAGTAAAACATCATAGGGTGATGTCCAGGACGCCATAGATACCTGTAGATACACATCAAAAAGACAGGAAATGCCCAAATCCGTAAAACGCCCAGCGCGCCCCAGTCGAAAGCAATTGTCATCAATGGCCCGTTTGCTGAGCCAACAATAGTCTTATACTTCCTCCAACATGGTATCAAAGAAAATCTAAGCCGACTTTTGTGTGCGGTTGAAGATGCCAGCGACAAGACAGTGATCACGCTCAAAAGGTTCTTGGTTTTGTTAGCATCGCTCTTGATGCAAGGATTGATGTGTGAAGAGACTTACCCAGAGTAAGCTGGAACTTGGGCTTGATGCCGTCTGCGCGCATCTTCTGGACCTCGGCGGCAAAGACCTCGGCAGCAGGCGCCGTCGAGTCGATACAGTTGGCCTTGATGGAGATCAGCACGCCACCGCCGGCCTTGAGGAACCAGTTGGCGTTCATAGCAACGATACGGGCTTGGTCAGGCTGGGCCACATCGGCAAAGATGACATCAACCATGGGCACCACCATGCGGTAGCGGGCGGGCTGACGGGCGTCCTCGACGATGGGGACGACGTTGGTGCGCTTCGAGGCCATGCTGACGAGATCACGCCCGGAGCGCGAGGAGAACTCGACGGCGTAGACGAACCCAGTAGGGCCGACAAGATCGGCTACGTGGGACACGGAGGTACCAGAGGCACCACCGAGGTACAGCACGCGCGAGCCAGGCTTCATGTAGATGTCGTCGGCACCACCAGCAATCGCAGCGCAGAGCTTGCTACGGAAGGGGTTCCAGGTGCGGTACTCGACCTTTGTGGTCGTTTGGCTGCCATCCTCGTTGGTCTGAACCTCGTCGACGGACACGCGCTTCTCGCCGTACACCGACTCGCCAGGGGTGATGTTGCGGGTCGCGATACCATCTTCCTTGCCGCCGCGGACAACAAAGACACCAGGGTGACGGTGAGGCTCGACAATGACCTTGGCACCGCCCCTCTGGCCAGCACCGCCGCCGCGGCCACCGCGAGCGCCGCCGCGACCTCCTCCACGGCCGCCCATGGGCTTGCCAACGCCTGGAAGTCACGATTAGTTTTCATTTCTCTTGCATCAGTCTGCCCAACAGGGCCGTCATTGCGTACCACGACCACGGCCACCACCAAAGCCACCGCGACCTCCACGGTCACCGAAGCCTCCGCGACCTCCACGGGCACCGCCGCGACCGCCGCGGTCACCAAATCCTCCGCGACCACCTCGGCCGCCGGCACCACCGCGAGGAGCACCACGTCCGAAAGGAGGCATTGTCAAGGACCGGTTGTCAAGAGACGAATGGAAATAGTATAATAGCGAGATTCAGGCGTCTCGCTTTTCGATGCGATCGATCGGTTCGCACGAATGGACTCGGCTTGACGTTGAATTGGGAGGGGGGGACCGAAAGATTAATATTGTAGCCTCGCAGAACGGAAGAAATTTTTAGAGCTTCAAAATTTTGGTCGCAGGCGGATGGCTGGCTGTCCGTCTCCACATCATTTGGAGCCGATAAGAGCTTATCAGACCGAACCTTTTCCGGTTGCCAAGGATGGAGATTGTTAGTCAGCAGTCCGACAGACGCACGTGATTCTGCCCACCGTCTGAGTGCGATTGAGAATCAGCACAACAGCATCTTTCAGGAACGAGAAGATCAATTGAATCGAGGAAAAATTTCAATCTGACACTGTTCTGGTCTTCTCTCCCCTTTTTGCCTCGCTTGGTCACTTTTGTCTTCGTTGTCGTCCAGTGCACCTTGGACAGTCGCAGGGCACTCAAACCCTAACAAATCACCAGAGTGGATCTGCAGTGCGCGCCTGCCTGGCATCCCCTCCACTATTGGGCAAAAGTTGCAATTTCTCAAACCTCAGCCAGCCGAAGACGACTCGTTGATTCTCATCTCCCCACTAACCTCACAGCAGTCACAATGGTGAGTACCGACGCCCCTGCGGATGTTACGGTCGATCGAATTGCTGTCGTACTACGTCCATCGAAAAAAAAAAAACCCTCAAAAAGATTTCATCACAAGGACGAATCTTTGTTGTCGCCGCCAGCTGTTCGATCGACCGACCACAACACGCCGCGACCGAACAGGTCCCCTTTTCTCGAGACGAGAACATCTCCCAGCTAACCATCGTCACCCACATAGGTCCGCTACGCCGCCACCGAGATCGAGCCCGCCAAGTCGGCCCGCGCCCGCGGTGCCTACCTCCGCGTCTCCTTCAAGAACACCCGCGAGACCGCCCAGGCCATCAACGGCTGGAAGCTCCAGCGCGCCGTCACCTTCCTCGAGAACGTCCAGGAGCACAAGGAGGCTGTTCCTATGCGCCGCTACGCCGGTTCGACTGGCCGCACCGCCCAAGGTACGGAATACATATGAGACAAGGGCCTGTAGAGGAGTCTTCCCCCACCCCTTCACACGGGGAGAGGGAGGCTTCGAGGATCTATCTTTGAATAGGAGGACTAACGTCCCGCGCACAGGCAAGCAGTTTGGTGTCTCCAAGGCCCGCTGGCCCGTCAAGAGCGCCGAGTTCATCCTCGGTCTGCTCAAGAACGCCGAGGCCAACGCCGACGCCAAGGGTCTCGACACAGGCAACCTGATTGTCAAGCACATCCAGGTCAACCAGGCCCCCAAGCAGCGCCGTCGCACATACCGTGCCCACGGTCGTGTATGTTCTCCCTGGGATGTGTATCCCATTGTCCTTTACTAACGCTCCCAGATTAACCCGTACATGTCCTGCCCCTGCCACATTGAGCTCATCCTCACCGAGGGCGAGGAGGTCGTCCACAAGTCGGACCAGGTTGTCGGCCGCGAGGAGATCCGCCTCAACTCGAGGCAGCGTGGTGTCCGCACCCGCAAGGCCATTACCGCCGCTTAGATGCTGAATAAACAAAACACCCCAAACTTCTTCTGCATTCATCCATCTCACGAAATTCTGGACGGCGTTTGACACGAGATAAAAACAAAACAACCAACGGGTGGAACAGGAAGCTCCTTTGTTTTCTTTGGTGTACACGGTGGCATTCCCAGGGACAGCAGCACATGGCGAGGCTTTCTTTGACGAGGTTAGATCAATGGAAAGACCTCACAAGAGAAAACTTTACGTGAATGGCGTTCCGCTTGTCCTGTCCTGTCATATGGTGTATGCGAACGGGGGTATCATAATTCTAACGCTCTCTACGACGTGACCATGCTTTTCGCCGTAAATCCTGCAAGTAGCCCAAAATCAAAGGCCATCGGATCATTCACTGCCCAGGCGAATTGACAGAGCCTGTGAATCGAGCCGCGCCGGGCGCGTCCACGCCATCCAGTATCGCATCCGCAATGATGCTGCCGTCGTACACGTCGCTCCACCCAAACCTCATACCGTACATGTTTTCCAAATTGTCCTTGTCCACCTCGCGAACATAGGGCAAGATGCGGGCGGCCAGTTCATCCTTGCAGCTCTGCATGGCTGGGACCAGCCGCGCTGGCCCAGCTGGCAACGCCGGCGTACGGGCGACGTCGGCAATGTCAGGGGGCATGAGGACCCTGGTATCGACCTTGGGATGCTTGACCCAGATGTAGCCGCACGATTTGAAAGAGGCGCATCGTATCTTATAGAGACCTTCGTCCTCGAACAGCCGGATCGCGTCAGGCACGTACTTGCTCAGTGCGGACACGGCCAGGTCCCGTTGTTCAGCAAGCTCGAGACGGTCGAGACTCTCGTCCCGAGAAGCCCTGTTGCTGCAAAAGTGCCCTACCATGTGAGACCACGTGAACCACCGAGGTTCGCCCCCCATGTCTATTTCTTCCGCGGCGTCCTCATTGTTCTGAGCGGGGTGGTGGACGGGTAGGGGATGGTTGTGGGCCCAGAGACCAGCTGGCACCGCCATATGAGCGGCATGGTGCTGTGGTGCCTGGTCAGCCGGTGCCACGGGCCCGGAGAGTGACACGGACTCGAGCTCGAGCTTCTCCAAGGAGGCGAGGCCCATGCGGCGGATCGTTTGCAGGAATGCGTCGGGTGTGAACCAGCAATTCTTGAGGGAGAGATGCTTGATGTGCGGCAGGAACAGCAACGCCCCTTGGTCCTCCTTGACGAACCCATGGATCATCAGGTTGCGAGGGCGGTCGACGATGGGGGCCGGCAGCACGTACTGGTTGCGCTGGGCAAAGCTCGGGGCGAACTCGCCGCCACATATCCACTCAAAGTGCAGGCTTTCAATGTTGGACTGAGGGCCGATGCAGTTGTTGATCAGATTGTACACCTTGCCTACCGCTTGCACGGGGGATACTGGTAGATCGTCTATGCATCCGGGGGATCGTTTGACGATGCGGCGCCAGTCGGCAATGACACCGAGGGACACTTGAGATACCTGGGGCAAGTTCAGCCAGATCCTCGGGTCGTTGAGGATTTGGACCTGACAGCTAGGGATGCTGGCGAATGTGAGGGTCGTCAGGTTCTGGAGGAAATTCGGTGGTCCTCGGTCCGCGATGGCCAGAATGTAGGATTGGATCATGGCTCGGTGCGCCCACTCCAACTCCAACAGCAGCTCCTTTTGAGCCAAAGTCAGATCAGTAGGCATAAGGGGAGGCCGTGGATGATTTCGGTGAGCGTGGTAGTCGTCGACGCGTACGTCTTCGGTGCTTATGGATTCAGGCCCAGCCATGGTGTCGAAGATGGTTCTGTATCGTGGGCGTGGTGTTGCGTTGCCAGTTTCAGCGCCCACGTCGACCACCGGCACTGCAGGGTCATCGCCCAGTTCAAGGCTCTCGAGATCCCGATGCTCTGTTGCGAGGAGGATCTGGATGGCCTCGTCGACTTCTTGGCCTCTGTAGCCCACGTCCTCCATCATCCGCTCGAGAATGCGCTCTTTGTGATTCATCGAGTCAGATGTCAGCTTGCTGCGGGAGCGCGTCAGGCCATTGAAGTCGGTCAGCGTGACAATATCACCGTCTGCATCGCTGTCGGTAGACTGTCTAGATCCCCGACGCCAATTCTGGTTGGTGAAGACTGGCCGTGAAATCGCACGGCCCCGCGCCTCGGTGTCAGGACGCAGGAGGAAGCCCAAGCCGGCATCACAGCACAAGCCCAAATTCGTGACTTTTGTGAGACACCACAAGGCATGCTTCAGGCTTTGAGTTTCATCGGCTGTCTGCTCGATGCTCTGCAGGTGGGTGTAGCGGTTGTACGACTGGTGAGGCCATCGGTAGATTCCCCAGAACGCGGGCAAGGCTTCCTGTACAGCCTTGATCGGTGGATACGCCAGCGCGTCTTCGTTCAGCTCCAATGAAAGAGCAAACCGAAGTATGTGGTGGCCAAAAGTCTTGAAGATGCTGCCGCCGTTGCTAAAGAGAGCCGACGAAGGATGCTGGCGCACGCCTGTCTCGTCGGGTGGTAGAGTGCCGTACAGCTCGGAGCGGAAGGGCACTACGACATTTCTGAAGTAGTACGACGACACCTTGTCCTCAAATTCCCGGCAAACAAGTCGTAAGGATCTGATCTCGGAGCGATTGAGGTGGGCCACGATGATCTCGAATATCTCCACGGGGATCTCGCCAGCAGGCCACTGCGGCTGGGCCGGTGTGCCGTGCGCTAGCTTGCAGCGCTTTCTCGGTGATGGCATCGCATCGGAAGGAAACGGCAACATGTTGTCCTCATCGGGCGCATTTTCGTAGGATGAAGCTTCGGGCGTGGTGGACATGATGGCTGCTTGATGGGGGGTCGCCCCACCAGCAGCTCCGTGTGGTAGAGGGTTCAATCTGCGCTCCGCTGGCCCATTGTCCATTGTCTCTTGGTCGCGCTGTCTCTTCATTCGGTCGGGAGGCAAAAGCTAGGGGTCATGCTCAAAGTGCACCGTGGCAGAAGAAACCGAAAGTCGGGGTGGGAGGTCGAATTGCTCGGGAGGCCGATGATGCAGTCAGTGATGGTGATGGTGGGGCGGGCTGCGACTCGGCGACGTCTGTCACCCCAGCTAGCGGAAAAGTGTGGTGCAACAACCGGCAGAAAGACCGAAAGACCAGTTGTCAAACGATGGTTTTGTATGCTTCGGTGATGGAGAAACGTGCGCGCACAAGGTTCACGTCAGCGAGCGAGGTGGTAACAGGAGATTGTGGTGGACCAGTCGTCGTGGTTGGCGGTGGCGCAAACTTCGCTTGGTCACTGGCGCGGCATCCCACGGCCCATTCACCACCACGGGCTCAATGCCTACCCGAGGGGCTATTGTAAACTTTGGGATGAAAGCGAGCGCATTGGACGGATGGCGCGCGCGGTGATACAAGGCGATATAGATGAATGCGTGAGGAGTGGGAGAGAAACGCATAGGAAAGCGCTTTCCTATAGTTGTGCGACCAACAAATCCTGGGGGTCAAGTGATCGATCCGCGGAGTTTTGCCCAACGTGATCATTCACGAGGGGCTCCACGAAAAAGTAACACCACACGATGGCTTGCGCATTTCGTTGTGCGTTCATGTCTTCAACTGACAAGGGTATTGTATTTTATACGAATGCTGGCTGCCGTTGCAAGCACAGCGAAACAGACAGAAGTAAAAGAGCCCGCGATAATGAATCCACCTTTTGCTTAGGTACCCTACTCGCTGTCCTTGTCAACCTCATCGCCGTCGAAGAACCAGTAGCTATTCGGGGTCAGTATGCCCAGTGCCATACATTCAGAATCAGAGAAACACTTACGAGGTTGCGTATTGCACTTCAAATGTCTTGCCCATGCCCTCGCAGGTAGCAGGAGGGCTGCCTCCCGCCGTGTCCACACGGTACACCTCCCTGATCCTGCTGGAATCCCCCGGGACAGCGTCGAGCTTCAGCCAGGCCACAGCCTTTTCGCCTTTCTGGCCAACTGCCGCGGTGCTTGGGGCGGCCGTGTCGTCGGTCTTCTTGCAGTGCACCTCCTCCCCGCCGAGGTCGAAGTACGGCGTCGTCGCGTCGGTGAAGTAGTGGATGCCGGTGGACGTGAGAGGCGAGGCGCCGAGCTCTGTCGAGTTGAAGCGCACAGCCATGGAGGGGAGGCGTTCAAGAAGATCAGGGTAGAGCGCTGCGATGCAGCCCACGTCGAAGAGTTGTGCCAGTGCGCCAGCGGCCTTGGGCGCTTCCGAGGGGTCCTCTCCACAGGTGTAGTTCTGTGTGCCGCGGCCGACGAATACGTGCGATACCGTGAGGCCTTCGCTTGGGCTTGGAAGAGGCTCAGGTGCTATCTGTGTCAAGGTCTGTTCCGTTGGCTGGGTAGTAGGTGATGAGTGAACCTACCAGTAGGAATCTTGGCTTTGGAAACGTCGCATGTCGGGGGATCCGCTAGGACCTTGGCCAGCTGCACCCTCGTGGCCAGTGTGTTGAAGTAATCTGACAGGGCCTCGAGTGTGTTGTCCGGGTTGAGGATGCTCTTCAAGTTGAAGTCGGGAAACGTGGGAGCCGCAGAGGCCACGCCGACCAGCGAGCAGACCAACACGGAGAAACGCATCTTGGAGACTGTGCAGGTGCGTAATCGAAGATGGAACAACAGTAACAGCAAGAGAAGACGTTTCAAAGCAGAGTCAAGAGAGAACAGGGAAAGATCAGAGTAGGAAAGACAAAGAAAAGACAAGAAAAGGGAAAAGACTCTTTCTCGAGTTTGTCAGGATGACAGTGGCGACGACAATCAATTCTGGCCGGAGGACAGGATCTGAGATATAGACTCCAAGCGCCAAGTTCACGAGCCGCCCAGCGAGCTGCGTTGATCGGTTCATTGGGCGAGAAGCTGTCTGCGTGTAGATCTGGCAGATGCTAGCCGCCGATCAACAAGGGTGTGCCATGATTGGTCGCCGTGTAAGCGCCGGGATGGATATCCTCGAGATAGAGCCTCGAGACGGGGTGAAAGACTTCGGAGGACATTGGGATAATGGATAGTCGTGGGCAGATGGATGAGTCTCTGTGTCAATGTTGAGATCACTTCGTTGGGCTTCGAATGAGCCGAGAACCTACTCAGTTAGCTAAGTGATGGTGGACATCCCGGCCATGCCAAACCCCTATCATACAATCCCAGCACACGTGTAGCACGACTGACTGCCCGCATTGAATGCTCGCTGTCCAACGCGTCATGCTATGCATCCGCCATGCTCCCTACAAGAGGCTGCCACACGGCGCCTAGCAGACACCCCCCAAACACGCAGATACTCAGCTGGATCTTGGAAGCTGGGAGCCGGGGTCTGCGAGCCAGCCAGCTGCCAGCCCGACTGCCATCCTAATTCCCGAGACGCTCCCGGGTCCCAAAATAGATTCATCTTACATGTACAAGTTAGACTGAACCCGCTGATTGGCTGATGTAACGCGGTCGCCTAGGCGGCCGGCGCGTGGACCGACCCACCGCATTGGCATACAGATCACCGACAGAAACGACCACGCGTGGACAAATGTCATGATATGCATTCAGCAAGCCGCCAAAAGATCAATCGTACACATGGCGATTCCTATCGCCCTTGGAATCCATCCTGCTTCCAGTCACCATGCTGGACCGGCGCATCCCCTACCCTGCCGCCCGCACCAGCGCCAGCGCCAGCGGCCGCGCCAGCAACCGCAGCGGTATTGCCTAGCTGGGTCGCGTGCTGCTCGAAGTCCGCCGAGCCAAGCCAGTAGAGGGTGAGGAAAACGAGCAAGTGCAGGGCCACGCAGTACGCTGCAAACACATTCCTGCTGGTCCGCGATGCTAGCACCATCCTTGTGACTGAGTAGACGGCTCGCTCAGGGATGCTCATCCGACGATATGCCCTCGCCGACTCCCGCCCTCTAAACTGAGCAAAGGGGGAAAGATTTGACTCATAGGCCTTGCGGTATCGATCCATCTCTGGACCTGGACTGGTCGAGCCTATCGATACCGTGGAGGGGTTGGGGTTGGATGCGTATGTGGACGAGGAGGAGGCCGTCGCGCCGCCACGGTTATAGGTTGACACGTACCGCGTCTTCTCGTATAGGTTGAGATTGTCCTTTTGCAAGGCAGCAATCTCCTGCCGCAGCTGCTGCACTGAGCGATGCGTCTCCGACAGCTCCTTCTCAAGCTCCGCGTTCCTCTTCTTGAAGCGATCGCGCTGCGCCGTGACCATGGGCAGGATCCCTGACCCGCCGCCGACAGGCTCCCGGTCTCCGGGCCCAGATCTGGGATCAAGGCCGCTGATAATGGATGAAGTGGGCGAGGATCGTCCTCCCCGGCGTGTTGTCGTAGGGGGCGCGCGCGAGATGTAGGTTCCTGCGACGGACGCTCCCGAGGGGAAGGCGTTGGCGCCCTCGGCGTGCATGTTCTCCAAGTCCGACTCCAGCTTCTCATTCAGGTTTCGCGCCTTTTCCAACTCGGCATTTGTCCGTGATAGATCCTCTTGAAGCGTCGCGAGCTGAGTCTCAAGCTCTTGGTATGACACGCGCAGCAGGGTCATGTCGTCGCTCAGCTTCTTGTTGCGGCCGAGCAGCATTGTCTCGAGCGTGTCGCCCTTGGCACCAGCCTCGGCCTTCTCCGTTGCCTCGTCGTCATCGCCTGTAGCAAACTCGATGCTCTTTAGGACCTCGAGCTCCTGCTTGACCTCGTCATAGTCGCTCCACTTTTCGACCTTGACCTTGAGCGCCTCCTTTTCATCCCGAAGTCGGGCAGCTTCCCTTTCAATGGATCGCAACTTGGCGTCGAGCTCCCTCTTGACCCCTTCCCGCTCCACGCGTGCATTGTCCAGCTTCCTGATCAACGAAGAGTTCTCGGAGCGCATGCGCATGTATCCAGGGTCGTCTTCCAGCGATGTTTCGGCGTGCTGTGTCGATGCAGATGATTTGGCCTGCGCGAGCTCGAGGCGCATCTGTTCGTTGCGTGCCTCGACTTCCGCTAGCCTCGCGCTGGTTCTCTCGAGGTCAGAGTGAAGCATTTCGACTTCCGCACTTGACACATGGTTGCGCTGCGCATCCTGCTCGCCCGCAGACTTGCCCAATCGTTGGTTGACCTCGTAGCTGGCGCGCATTTCGTTCAACAGACGCTCCTGGTTCTCGGCCTTCTCCTCCAGGCTCTTTTCCTTGGCCTCCCAATTGTCCTTCTTCTCTTCTAGCACAGCCGACCATGACGACTCGACCTCCTTGACGCGCATGTCTAGATTGTCTTCGATTTCCTTGCGAGCGGTGCGCTCGCTCTGCAGCTTGGTCTCCGTCTCCTCAAGCTGCGAGGTGACTTTGGCCAGGTTCTCCTGCAGATGTTTGTTTTCCTCAGTAAGCTTGGGCATCGTGTCTTCGGAAATGAGCATAGCATCCACCGAGGCTTCGAGCAAGGGGTATGGGTCGGTCACTTCAGACAGCGAAGTGTACGTCTGTAGGAAGGCCGAGTTGACGGATTTCGAGTGGTTCGTAAGCACATCGATGAAGCCCTGGTACGCTGGTCGAGGGTTAGTTTGGCTGGTGCTGGGAGATTGAGAGCTACCTACCTTTGAGCAGCCCCTTGACTTCCGAGAGTTTGGACTCATCGTCAAGCTTGCGAAAGTCCTTGGTCTTTTGCGCGAGTTCCTTTCGTTGCACGGTTGAGTCGCGTTGGTAGGTGACGATTTCGGAGGCCGTGTTGTCGAGCTTCGAGGTAAGACTGGTCAGGTCAAGATCTACTGGCGTCAACACTGATCAAGCGTGGAGCGCAATGAACATACTCCTCCACATGGAAATAGCATGTTGAAACTTGTTCTCGCCCTCAAAGGTTGGTGTCGTTTGGTCTGTGGTGGGCGCAGCCGCTACCGCCGCCTCAGCAGCAGCCTGCTCAGCAAAGATGACTGGGTCCGCCATGCTGCTCTCGGTTGGCTATCCGCACGAGCATCGAGTGGTGGTTACGGCGCAGCGTCGTCAGGCAATGTTGGGTGCTAGATGAGCGAGGTCAAATACTAGTAGGTTAGATGCAACGTGTTGGAGAGCGTGCCTGGCCAGACACGCAAAGTTCCCGCCCAGAGTCAGTCCCCTGGACGGATTTGGAGCTGCGCCCACTCCACTCGGTGTCAGCCGCCGCCTACTGACTTAAGTACCTGCGTGTAGTCCAGGCACTGCGCATCACCAAACATCGCCAAAAGCTTCCCGTCCATCTACCTGCCTTTCCTCGCCCATCTCCTTAGCTCAGGGACCACTTCCACCATCGTCTGGGCACTCTTGGAACACCCGAGGTCAAGCTCTTCCGCAGATCGAATCGACCGCGAATCTATCATGCCTGCAGCCTCTCGATGAGCTCGTTCTCAGCGCGCCGTGATGACGTCGAGTGCCCTGGGCCAAGGGCAGCTACACCAGCGCGATGATGGGCCGTTCGTTCTAAAATCACTATTGGACGATGTCCCCTTGTCAGCCGACGGATCGCAATCCGACGTTAAGATCAATTGCGTCGACTACTACGACCACAACCTCTACGTTGGCACGAGCGCATCCGAGCTCTTGCACTTTGTCCAAATACCACCCGATCCCAACGAACGTAGCGCGCGACCTGTATATATCCTCGCCTCACGCCTCGGACCCTACTATGCCGAACCATCAGGTGGCTTCTCTGGCACGTTGCCCGGTGTGCAGCAGATCCTCATACTCCCTCGTGCCGGCAAGGCTTGCATACGATGCAATTGGACGGTCACATTCTACTCGTTGCCTGAGCTCAGTCCCGCCTACGGGAACAAGAAGCTGAAGAACTGTAATCACATCGGTGGGGTCGACTTGAACGAGCCCTTGGACGCGGGCCATGGGGAACCTGCGGCGCAAACTGTCTTGGTCTCCATGAACAAGATGATCCAGGCCATTCGTATCGGGGAGGCACCGCGTATTGCGCACGACATACCGCTGCCCGGAAGCACCCTGTCTGTCCGTCGAGACTCCATTGCTTGCGTCGCCGACTCCAAGTCGTACTCGCTGCTCGATGTTGAGCGCCAGCTACGCATCCCGCTGATGAGCATATCATCGCAAGATGAATCGCCCCCACCCGGGGAGATTGGCCATGCGCAGACGCTCCCCGTGGCGGCAGCTGGAGGCGTTACTAGGAGTAACTCGTCGGTCCACGCCCGACCCTCGTCTTCTGCCCATGGCCATGGTCGGAGCACAAGTCTCGGTGGTGCGATTCTCAAATCCGTTCGCCCCGATCGACCTGCTGAAACGGAAGAGGCCGAGATGCCGGATCCTGGACTGTCCATGCCTTCACCGTCTCCGTCAGATACCGTCGCGTCTCCGTCAGTTGACAAGCCACTACCGCAGCCTCCATCACGCACAGGCACGCCTAGCCAGACAACATCACCTCGGCCTGAGCCGAAACAGGTCTTCTTGAAACCACACATTGCCTCCCCGACGCCGGAGGAGTTCCTCATCATCAGGGGAACCAGTCCCATCGAGCCCTGCATTGGCATGTTTGTAAATCTGGACGGCGATCCGACTAGGGCACCTATCAGCTTTTCGCGATATCCCAAGGACGTTGTGGTGGATGGAGGTCAAGTGTGCATGACAGAAGCGACCTCTGCACTACAAGAGGACGACGACGGGTTCGTTATTGCATCGTTAGCTAAGGAAACCCCTGATGGATTGCGACATGGCCTCGACATTCAGTCACTCGATGCCGACCGACCCGAGAGCGACCGTCACTGGCTCGAGGCGGAGGGGGTTGAGCGCGGCACTGTCTATGGAATCAAATCATTGACCGGAAGTGAGGAGACGGAGCTGGAGGACATCGTCCTTAGGCTGTGTCAGAAGAGGTATACGCCTTTCTCAAAAAGCCCAGCTGCGTCCACGTTGTCGCTCAAAAGTGCAGACTCGCGGACAGACGCATCGATGGAGCGATTGTCCAAAGAAAGGGAGCTGTTTGAGAGAGACGACTCACAGGACCGCGACTCGCTACCCGAAGGCTGGGAATCGAGTCACAAGACCGAAGCCGAGGATTTTGCGCGACGCTTAGCCAAGGCAGAAACAAAGCTTGCTGTGTGGGCGGGCCGCCGTATCTGGTGGGCGATGCGCAACCCCTTGGTCGTAAGGTACGACTCGGTACTCGAGGCCGCGTGCCCCGGAGGCTATGCGCATCCCCAAAAGCTCGACCGCAGGGCAGTAGTCAATGTTCTTGGAGCTGTGCGGCGACGTGACGCGCGCTCTGAGCTCGAATTCTTGACCTTTGGCTATCTGCGCCAAAAGGTCAGCTTGCTGCTACTCACGAGCTTGCTCAGGACGCCCACGGGAGAGGAGTTCACCGACACCGAGATGAATGCCTTGGAGGAGGTTCTGATTGAAGGCAGCCTTGATCCAAGGGTGGTCCTCTCGCTTATTCCTGGAGTACGCAACGAGATCATCGAAGGTCGACGTGGCATCTGGATCTATGGGGGCGTGAAACAAGCAGCCGACACTTTCCGACACACGAGCGAGTTTGAGCGGACTGTGAAGGATGCTGTTAGCACGCTGGGTCCCCGTGTTTTACATTTCCTACGACGCTTCCTCACCTCGTGGCGTGGGATGAAGGGGCTGCCCAGTATATCCGATGAAAGTGAGGTATTCAGGACTGTCGACGCAGCACTGTTGCTAGTATTACTCGAGCTGGACAGGTCTGCTCCGCCGTCGCTGGGCGCCAGGAGCGCGGTCAGGAGAGAGCTCTACGAGGTCGTCGACAAGGGGGTGGAATGCTTCGACAGAGCGGTTGACTTGCTTGAGTCATACCACCGCCTTTACGTGCTCAGCCGTTTGTATCAGAGCCGCAGGATGGCGGCTGAAGTGCTCGGCACATGGAAGCGCATCATCGAGGGTGAGCGAGACGACGGAAACGAATTCGAAGATGGAGAGCAGACCGTGCGAAAGCACCTGGCTAGGATTCGCAACCAGTCCCTCATCCAGGAATACGGCGTATGGCTAGCGAACCGCAACCCGAAACTGGGCGTCCAGGTCTTCACTGAAGACAATGGCAAGACGGCGCGGTTCGAACCCAACCAAGTCGTCGAGCTCCTAAAGGCGGAAGCCCCCAATGCCGTCAAGTACTACCTTGAACACCTCGTTCTTGATAAAGGGCACACTGCCTATGTCAACGACCTGATATCGTACTACCTGGATGTCGTGGTCGACGGCCTTGGAGAGTCACGGGAATCTAGAGACGCTGTCATGGCCACATATGACGCGTACCGCGCGTTGAGCGCACCGAAGCCAACCTATCGACACTTCCTAACAGACAATGCGCCGCCAGAGGATGAGGTTTATCACAGCCGACTTCGACTCTTGCAGTTGCTCAGTGGCGCGCACGACTACGACGCAGGCGCCATTCGCAAGCGCATTGCTGGCCTTTCCGCAGATCTCCTTGTGCCGGAAACCATCATCCTCTCCGGTCGGGAGCGCAACCACAAGGAAGCATTGCGTCTGCTCGTTCACCAGCTGGGCGATTACGACACGGCCGTCGCGTACTGTCTGCGTGGCGGGACCAGCATCGACAGTTTCTCAACACCAGCGGGCCGGGGGCGAGCGCAGTCACTGCCCTCTGTCGCCGAGCAAAGGAGACTCTTCCACGCCGTGCTTCATGAGTTCCTCGCCATAGCAGATGTCAGCGATCGCGTGGAGCAGACGGGCGGGCTTTTGGAACGGTTCGGCGGCTGGTTTGAAATTGACGATGTCTTGGATTTGATACCCGACAACTGGTCCGTGGACGTCGTCGCCGGCTTCCTCGTTGGCGCGCTGCGCAGACTCGTTACACAAAGGAGAGAGGTAGCCCTCACACGAGCCCTCAGCGGCGCAGAAAATCTACGGATAAGCTACGACCTCGTCTGCAAGACGGAGGAGAAAGGGCCCAGTATAGAAGCGCAGAATTAAGAGCGTCTCATGATAATATTTCTTTTTTGCTCATTCGGTGCTGAACCTTTTTTATGACAGCTACCACAAGCCACCGCTCCCTAACATGCTGTTCCTCCTCTTCCCGCTCTGGATCCCAACTTGTCTCCACGCCATCGCAGTCCCTCTCCCAGATGCGTTTCACCACCAGTCCTTCCTCTTTGAGCGTCTCCGCGTCAAAGAAGCCTTTCATCTGGTCGCGGCCCGTGTGGACACCCCCGACAACCCACGCACGCCTCCACGCCGTCCGCGGCCAACAGGTGCGCGCTATCGACTGCATGAGCGATACGTGCTGCCACGGCATCCACAGACAGTCACAGACCAGCACGCGGCATTACAGGCCCTTGTGCGTCTCTAGCTCATCGAGTTGGCCCCATTCATGCCCTATGGCCTACACATCTTTGGTGATCTTGGCCACTGCACCCTCTCCATCCTCTTTTCTGAACGACGGCGCATTCTCCTGCTTCAGATTGCGCGTCACATTCTCCTTTAGCTTCTGTATGACACCGAGCGAACGGGTAATCTGTGACGAGAAGGGTCTGCGCACCAAAGAGTCCGGCCATGATACTCGGCAGTCCCGTGCCGGCGCCAACCTCGGCCACCGTCTTGCCCTGTACGTCTCATGGCCGGCGGCGCCGCGACTCCTTCTTCTCCTCTTCGCGCTCCTCTTCGTCTCCGACCTCCTCCTCCTCAGTGAGCTCGGCGAGAAGCAGGCTGGCGTCCCAGAGGTAGTGGCTGGACAGCTTCCTCTCCTCCCACTTGTCCGGCTCGGTGAAGGAGAACTCGAGATCGTGCGGGAGATGCGGCGATGTGTAGAGCAGGTTGCCCTCGGAGGAGTTCTGGCACGTGACGTCGTCGGGGAAGATGCCGCCGAGGGAGTGGGCGAGGATGTCTTCGGGGGACAGACTGCTGTCGGCCTGCTTGCTCGAAGGAGAGGCGAAAGGTGAGAGACATGGCGGGCTTTGTGTCGCTTCTCCCTTCTTCTGCTTGGTGGGTTGTACCTAGTTGTGTTGCTGGATGAGTCAATTTGACGTGGATCACACTGCCAAATAGATCAGCTCTGAGATCACAGCCAGTACACCTGGACCAGATCACGAGAAGCTAATGTCTTATGTGTGGAAATAATAATGGTTATGCGTCAGAGTACCCAGCGTGGCCTGGCCTCCGTGGGACATGAGTTGTCTGTCTGCATAAGGTGCCCACGGGCGACAAAAATCTCGCCGCCCTCACACTGTGGAGGATGGCCTGTCCCATTTGATCGGCGCGACAAACAAGAGCTCGAACAGGACTTGTTCATTCTTCTGATCAGGAAAACATAGTTAGCACTCGAAATGACAGAAGGGGCTTTGTCGCAGTATTTATCTGCACACGGTAAACCATTAGGTCGACTCGTCGAGTCTATGTACGTTCGCTTCCGCGCAGCAGAAAAATAGCCATGGTATAAGTCGTTCCCAACAACAGCAGGTCCTGTCCCTTTGTTTTCCTGTGATATATAGTCGTCATAATAATAATTGTATAACATATTTGGGGGGTATCACTCAAGATGCGCATCTGCCCCGTCCAAGGGGGGGCCGCCTGCCATCGCCAATCGTTCCATGTCGTAAATGTTCCCATCGCTTATCCCAGAGACGCCATGCTATGCTTCATGACTCCAATTTCACCGCGTGGTTCGTGTTCCCATGTGGCCCTTCTCATGCGTGTATGGAGAAAGCGGGCGGGCTGATTGTGAGTCGGACGACGAGTCTTCAGAGTTTGAGCATCTGCTCGATTTGCTCGTCGGTGGGATCATCCGCAATCCACGGTCCCCTCTCCTCGTCTGTGGCACCGAGGAATCCTTCGGCGCGCTTGAGCGTTTGCATGTCCAAGTCGGTCACGTAGTGCTTCCCATCTGCCAGCTTCAGACGGACCTCGTGCTCCACAGAGAGAAGCATATCATCCTTGACCAATCGTCGCGGACCGTCAAAGCAAGCCATGACGCGCTTCTTCATGTTCTGGGCACGAGCGGAGTTGTCGCCCCACGATGTCGGGTAGCGCTTGGGCTTGCGGTCCTTGGACTTGACCTTGGCCGGCACACCGCCACGCGAATGTGTGAGACCGCGCGACTTGCGCACGCCAGCGTCAGAGCGGTGCTCGCCAAAGACCTTGGCGTCATCCTCTGCGGTCTGGGCGTCCGTATCGAGTTCGCCCTCGCCGTCCTGTTCAGACTCGCCGTCTTCGTGCATGGGGTCCGAAGCATCGCTGACCTTGTTTTTGGCCAGGGTTTTCAGTACGTCCTTGTCGTTGAGGACCTCCCCGAGAAGCTGGGCGTTCACAGCCTCGGCCGGGTCCTCCTGCTGCACGATGCGCAGCACGCAGTCGTCCAGATGCTCATAAAAGTCCTGAGCATTCGAGAACGTGGAGGAACATGTGCTACATTTGCCCGTGGCATCGGCGGCATAGCCGGTAAGCTTCTTCCCACTATTGTTGCCGACCGGTGTCTTCTTGCGGCTGTTTGGCGGGGTTTGCTCCACGCCGTGCACGGCCGTCAGATGCCTTTTGAAGACATCGGCGCGGTTAAAGGACTTTTCGGCGGGAGATCCAGAGCCAGGACAGAAGCCGCACACCATGGTTCCCTTGTAGTGCGTCAAGGTGTGCCGGTTCTTGTCGTACTTGCGCGCGAATCCCTTGGAGTGGTACTCACACGTCTGGATGGGGCACTTCTCAGGGCGCTCCGTCTGGTGTGTGAGCATGTGCGCCTTGATGTCCTTGAACACCTTGCCGCAGTCAGAGTAGGTGCATCGCTGCTTCTCCTTGGCCTCGTCGCCGCTGTTCTCGGCGGTTGGTGACACGAAGCTGGCCATGCTTGGGCGACGCGCCAGGGGGTCGACTGTGGATGTGGCGTAGGGACTGTGGGCGAACGGAGCTTGGTGGAAAGGAACGGTTGACTGCAGTAGAGAAGGGGAGGCACTGCTGTTGCGGGCCATGGGAGAAGACCCCGAGAGTGATGGCGACACCGGGTAGGCAGAGTGTGGTTGCTGATGTTGCGGGTGATGCGGGTGGTACGAGTGGGTGTGATATTGATGGTGTGGGTGAGGCTGGTAATGAGGGGCCAAGGGCGCGCCCGAGTCGGTGGGTTGGATCATGGCGGGATCTGCCACAGGTGTTTCGTCAGCACACGTACGTTGTTGTCGATTTTGTTGTTGGTGGAAGAGGTGAGAGACGCGATGGATGTGAGAGAAGGACAGGCAGAGCCTGAGAGCCCAGGAGTGGAGCCGCCGCCGTATCTGCCGCTGCTGGGGAATTGTGCTTCTGAACAAGACATGGCAACTGGAGGGAGACCGATATTACGGCTCATCACGCTTGTGGCTCAGGCACGCAAATGTCTCGGATGCAGCTTGACGTGGGGCGTCTGGGACACAGTGTGGCGGAGCAGTGCAGATCGCGGGCACGGCATCGGAAACTGCCGATGTTCTGACAGACAGAGAGAGCAAACAAGCCAAACTCACCTACAAAGCCCTTGGTGGCTTGTGTGTAATCAAAGAGCTGCATGTCCTCCATTTGCGCGCCGGCATAGCCGTTGTGTCCAACGTCCATGTACTCGCCGTAGTCGTTGCCGACAATACTGGGCTGAGCCATGCCCATTGTGTGCGATGGCAGGTGGCGCCAGTCGTTGTGGATGGGGGAACCGGCGTTGGACGAGCTGGCTGAAGCGGTCGACAAGCTGGATCCAGGCATTCGAATCTCACTGTCTTCGTACATGCTGGCGTAGAGGAAGGGCTCGAACGCTGCTGTCGTGTTCGCCGGGGGCATGGTGTACATGGGCGAGTTGCTGCCACTGCTGGCGCTGTGTGGAGGCTCCGGATATCGGGGAAACATTGTGTTGTTGTTGATGTGAATGTTGAACGGCTGATCTGCCAAGGCTGCCACGGAGTCGATGCGAGAAGGTGTTGTCACCTCGTTGGTAACGTGTCAGGCTTGTCTTGCGTCCGAATGAATAGAGGCCCGCCTCGTAGCCAGGGTAGGCTACGGTTGGCTACTTGGTGAGGGTGCTCGTACCGTGAGCAGCTGTGTTCATCCCCAGAGGTTGAGTCCAAAGTTTGGTGGAGATGTTGCCAAAGTGCATGGGAAATCCTTAGTTGTACAGCCCGTGGGAAGCCTCGAGCCACCAGGTTTGGGGGCCTGGAAAGAAGATATAACAAAGAGATGATGTCTGAGTCGGCCGGTACGATGGCAGGCTGTTGGGGGCGGGTGTTCTAGTGTGGGCTTTACAAGGGGAAGAAGAAGAGCTTTGCTTTCCCGGCTAGAGTAATAAGGCAGAGCAGACAACCAGGAACAAGGGTCAAGAGGCAGGGGAGGGGGCCAGGGGAGTAAGGGACGAGGGGGTGTAGCGCGCGAAGCCTCGTGAACAACTGGAGATGGAGGAATGCCACGAGGCAGGTGAATGGGCTTAAGAGACGGCCGCCAAGAAGGCTTCTGCCTCGCCAGAGAAGCTATTGCTGCCAGGCATTGGATGCCATTTGTTGTCTCCCCGTTTTTGAGACGCGCACTGCATGCTCGACGCCAAAAACAGATTCACCACCAAAGCGCAGCAAGCTGCGTGGCGTGAGGTGCGAATGCGACCTGCGACCTGCGTGGTGGTGGGTGAACAGCTCACCGTGCCGACCTCATCTCGCAGGGGGGTGTCGGCAGCACGGCGATCCCTTGGTGGTGGGCTGATGTAGAGGAGACTTGCACAAGCGATGATTGAGGAACCGTTCCGCGCCGTGGTCTGGGCGGTTCACCCGCCAAGTTGGGCGCCTTGTTGCAAGGTCCCCCGCCCCGCCCTTCCAGTCCTGTCCGAGAACTCAGCGGCGGAAGATCAACTCGTGTACTGTCTACATCCACCTGCTAGCTTCGCCTAAGGTACGTACCGCAGTGAGGAGGATCAGTCACTGGAACGTTATTCTGACTGAGCCTTGTTCACATCCCATCACCGTGTCTGCGCTGACCCCCGGGTCCCTAGGCAAAGGTGAAAAGCCGCTCTCAACTGTGTGTCTCTGTGAGAGTCAGATCAATAAATGGCAGATACACGAGAGATAATACTACGTAAGTAGACCAGTCGCGACGTGGGCTTCATCGTCCGTACGCACTAAGACGATTGTCGTTGCAGTGTTGCACTCGTAGCCTGGTCAAGGTCAAGGAAGGATCTGAAACCCGTGTCCGTGGGCAGCGCAGGCGATCAGTGATCACCACCCTCGTCCACACCGTCTTAACAGAACGATCTTATGGACATGGGGCTTTTTAAGGTACTAACTATGTAGTCCCACGTACGGTTGTCAATTAGTCAATTCCTCCAGTAGTCCATGGTGAGCATTCAACATACGTACTATCCATCACAAGCTAGGATCCAGAGGGCCCAGAGCCTGGGCTAAATCTTCGATCTGATGGACGTCTCGAAGACAAGCTGCTCCCAGCCCTAGCCGTCGCCCTCATCGTCCTCAATCCCACGGGCGCAGCGGCCAGCTCCTTCGACGTCTGTCTGTGACGACCTTTCCTTGGTTTTGTAACCATCACCATCACCGGCACACTTGGGCCAACCAAGACAGGGGTCTTGCCGCAATCGGACCCCATGATGAATTGATGATACACAACCTCATCAGATCGGGTTTGCTCCATCTTGTGACGCGAGATGGATCCTAGTCTGTCTGTCTCGTGGAAAACTGGAGCCGAGAATGCCTCGCGATCTCCATAAATTGCCCCGGTTATGTTTGCTCAAGCAGTCCCTCACCCGTTCAATACGGAGAAAATGATAACCTACGTTTGCAGATACTGAACGCCAGGCATATGCTGGTCATTGCATTACGAATCAATGCAGCGCATAGCAGAGGACCTTGACCGATTGACGTGCCCGCATATCTGCCCGGCAGAATCGTGAGCCGGTGGAAAGTCGTATTGGCCTTTCTTTTCCCATCATTTCTTCTCAACCGTATCTGCTCAGTTGGGATACTAATTAGTCCAGAAGTCCAGTCCAATTCAGCAAAAACCCGACATCCATCCACCCACATCCACTAGCCCCACCTGAACCTCACTGGAGCAGTGGACCCCGACTAGAGGGCCCCTGCGCCGGACCCGGACCCCATCTAGACGCCTGACGCCATCCCCTTTTCGGGAATTCGTGTACTATTCGCATACAGCGCAAAAGGCACGTATTTTACGTCGCACTGCCGCTGCAGCCTGTCGCTTTCTATTCAGTGGCCTCGTTGTCAACTCGTCATTGCTTGTTGGTGAACACGGTAGCTCGGGACATTTCCTAAAAAGCACGACAGCAAAAGTAGCTGCACGAAGTGGGTATCGCGGATTGAAGGCTTCCGGAGCTCGAGCTCCTGTCACTGGCAACCGGAGGAGGAATAGGCTAATTAGTCGTAATCAGTGAGTACTCAGTAATTGAATTGGTTGGTAGGAGATTGACCAAAATTCGAAAGGGAACATGGTACTGATAGTGATTACGTAGTGTCAAGTGTAAGGCTGCTTCTTGGCCTGTATAACTCGCACCTCGCCTCGAACCAGGATGCGTTGCCAGACGCCCTGCTAGTAATTCAATAGGCTCAACTTCCTCGGACTTGTTATATAATCATTGTCTCGAATTTCTGTAACGTCACGGCGGGCGGCCGCGGCGGACCTGGACCTGCAGCCAGGCAATGTGCGCAAGCCTCGCAGAGCTGGTACAAATCAAGTCGATATTCACTGTGCAGTCATCATTCATCATCTCATCTGTTGGGTGAAGCAGCAGCAGGGGTCTGCCCCAGCAACTTGAAGTCTGTCGACCTGGGAGTCGGACCAAGCCTTGACATGCAGCTGCGTATCTCTTTCTGCGCGGACAGGTCCCAGATCCTGACTAACAATCCGAGCAACTCACGGGGCGGACTGACCCGAGTACCATTTGATCGCGGCTTAGATTTGATTTTTCAATTCCAAAGCCCCGAGGAACAGAACCTTTTGGTTGAACCGTCGAACAAGGCGCGTGTGGCATTTCCGCCCAATCGAGTGACTGTGGACCCCATTGAGCTTGCGGATGGCGTCGGGAACCGCTGCCAGGCCCAGAGTGCCTTGTGACGCTTGGCAAGGTTGACTGGTCACGGCTCGAATTCCCCAGAATTCCAAAGCGGGAAACTAAAACAAGCCGTTTGTTGGTGATCACCTCATGGAACAATTCACTAACTAATTACCTTACGGACGTATATCCATACTTTCGTAATGATATGTCCAATGGTCAAATTTGTAAGTACTTGGGCTTCGGCAGTGGGTAGGTAGTAAACATCAACTCAACTTGCTATCTGTTGCCTCGTGACCATTGTATCCATTCCCGTGAGATGACAACACTATTGCCAGGCCCGATTGTGGTGCCGTGCCTGCATGATGATAGAATTGTTGTGGAGCAATAATTCAATTATTAGTCCAGTCTATTACTGGACTAATAGCTACGTACCAGGTAATGAAGAGGTGAGCCCTGCTATTAGCCTACGTGCTCCGCACAGGATCATAAACCATATTTCCCAGGACGGCAGCCTCCAGGGTCCATGTCCGTTGACCGCTGCTGCGGCAGCGCCTGCATTCACCAAGTGCCATCTGCTGAAAACATCCAATCAGCGCATATTACAGGCTAAGACTACCTTAAGTACAACACGCTACGGGTCATCGTAGCGCGGCGCGCACGTGCGTGCAGTGCAGTGAAGCACACAGCCAGCACGAAGGGATAAAGATAGCATCATTGCATGTACCTACAGCACCGTCGGAGGGCGGTGCAACCTCATGACCAATTGCTCATTCGCATCAGTGTGGCATCTGCAATTAATTGGCAACTCGAACACTACTCATCAATACAATCATAGTCCAAAGTTCACTACATCGTCATCAGTACTACCATTGGTCACAAGAGCAGTTCATCCCTCAGCCCTGTGATTTAACGGAATTATGCGTACGTGCAGACTGCATTTGTCTCCTGTGTTATGCGCGGAAGCACAGCGTATCGCACAGGTCCCAACCTTGAGCGCAGAAGAGTAGTTGGTGTCACGATCGTATTTGGGGACATTGGCGGACACACAACAGTGTCGATGATGGGACGACCCAACCCTAGGGACTCTCCCGGCCTCACAGATCTCGGTTGCCCTTTCGGATCCCGTCTCTTGGGTAGGGGCCGCACGTAGCTTGAGCATCGGGACGGCGAGTCGGCGACCACCTTCACAATGTGACAGGTCACTCCTCCCGACTCAGACCACAGCCAGCTTGCCAATCGCCCAACATCTTTCTTTGATATTGAGTCACGTCCGTCGAGTCTAGGCAGTACAGTCATATCGGTCGGCTCTGCCTCAATGGAATACAAGGCCGGACGGTAAGTTCTTTGCGTCGTTCTGACGCATGCAGGGTTGGTGTCTCGTACGCACGGGGAAGGATTCGTCACATCAGTCAGTTCCCGGCAACGACTGGAGCCATAGGGCTGAGCACAAGAGTCTGGTCACATCTCACAAGACACAACCAGCAGGGCTCCCGACTTTTACCCACACCCTCCCTCCAAATGCCAGGCATCCATGTCCCTTCTAGGCTCCCAAGCTCCTACAGCCAATGTGGTCGCAGACTCGCAGATGCATCATGCATGTTCTTGTCCCTAGCACCCCTGAGGGTCGCAGGCGGTATCTGCCGCTGAGACCCCATGTCCAAACCGTTTTGGGCATTGAGTGCGATGACGGGTTTCCCCAATCCACATACCCTCCTCTTCGACCTCTTCCGCGTCGGCCGCCTGGCGCTACAGGATCATTCCGGTCGTTGACAACGGTAAATTGGTAAATCGTACTCAATCATCCAGCCTGTCTGCGTATTCCTCGCTAAATCAGCGGGCCTCTGCGCTGCTCGAACCTCCTGGCTCCAGCCTCCATGATCGATTCAGAATGATCGTCGCTCTATGCCTGCCTGCACCGGGTGAGGCGTAGTTGATGTAGAACGGGCCGCGGAGATTTATCAATGTATTTATGCTACTGCCCTGTCTCTACGTAATGCTGTGGCTGCTGGTTAGCAACATGCTCAGCGTGATGAGAGAACAGTCTCCCTCCTCTGGTTTCGACAAGTCGCCATGGACCCAGGCACCTGGGCACACTTGTTATCAGCACATCAGATGATTGGCACTCAGATCCGCCATGCAGACGGATGCATCTTCGGCCATGGACCCTGTCCCACTGCCCGATTGGCTAGCTCGGGATCGCCGCTGTGACTATCCACCGCCTATCATGTCCAGTCGCTGCTCGATATTCCGGATAGTGTTGCTCCCGTGGAGGGTGTCGTGGAAATGTCGCAAGGTGTCTTGTCTCGTCCTTGTCCTGCTCTACATGGACCCGTGTGAAACTGTCATCACTGTCAGATCGTGACGCTACTTGCTAGCCTTTGAGGGCGTGTCTCATTGTGCTTGTAGTAGCAGGTTGCGCATACTGCACATGTATCTTACGTACTTACTTCGCCTTGGGCAATTGTGTCCGGTCCATTCAAGTCGGCTCGATCGATCTCCAAAATTTCAGAGCGCGTCGGATAATCTTGACAGTCCAGGTTTCCATGCCGGATCTGATCTCGCCGGTCATTTCTTTCGTTCTAGCTTGAGCTTTGAGCTCTGTTACACACGTTTGAAAGCCGAAAGCCGAGCACTGTGACCCCTGGAGTCTGGAGTCTGGACAATGACAGCTTTTGATGTCTCACTAGTCGTCCACGTAAATAAAACTATGTACCGTATCGACATTTAAAATCAAGTGTCGGGAGCTTGAAAGTCGCGCTAAGTCGACGAACCATTTTGGCAGTTAGGCGGCGGCCTTGGCGCTTAACTAAAGTCCATACACGTACGTAGCTATCAGTACTTCCGAGGCTTTTTTGATTTGTTCCGACGGTCCCTTTCAAAGCGTCACTGAGTCTCGCATGCTTTGATTAGTTGGTTCGTACCAGAGTGCTCTTACAAAGGTTGTGTTGTAGGAGTGTAGCTAGGAGAGCCCGCTCTACTTTCTGATCTAGGTGTTCATGTCGTATTGGACTAGATGGAAGAACACTTGTATCGTCCAGTGTTGAAGCTCTACGGGGATATCAAGGCAAGGACGGTGTGCCATTGGAGCCTTCAGACCACACCCACAATGTCTCACATAGTCCTGGTTCCATTGGCCGCCCACGAGCTTGCCGCATTCCAATTGAGTTATGTCGGCGACCTCAAGAGCAATAGGCGCCAAAGCATGCGAGCCTGGCGCGAAACTACCGCAGCTTTTGCTTTACGCATGTAGCCATAGCCTGGGCCCAGAACGCCACCCGTGCCGAATCAAGTCCTGTCTGTGTTTGAACATCACTGGCACATGCATGGCCTTGACGTTGGGCTGGATCCGGAAGCCGTCTGTTCCCCAATCCAGACAAGGTTTGAACCTGACACCAATTCAGTGATCCACGTGCGCGCGCAAAGCACAACCATCTGAGCAACACCGGATCTGAGATAGATCAGGGGCTCGCCTTTGGATCTCGGCGCAAGGTTTACATAGCGTTGCAAATGCTATCGAAACGTTCCACCACTTGTCTTTGGGAACCTCCCGTCTCTGCAGACAATTCGCACAACACCTCGATGCTGCAAACGCTCGTGTGTACATTGTAGTTGAGGTAAGACATACGTGCACGTACCATGAATATGGAGAAGTGATCCCATCTCCTAGACTGTTGTAATGTCTCAGGGTCGCCACTTCCACACATGCCCCTGTCAGCTAAACAGACACGTGTTCGCTATCAGCTGTAGTGATGGACTGAGCGCGGATGTGTTAGTGCGCGCTGGCTTGGCTATCTGTGCGGTACATCAGGAGTCTGATAAAGTAGGTGAATGCAAATGTACTGCGCAAATAAGTAACGTCTACTGGTCACAATCCTTGTCAAAAGTGGCTGAGCATTGCAATGGTCTATGATATGGAACAGTGAGTTATCCGGCAGAGTCACTGGTAGTTGAGGTTTCGGCACTGCACGTCCCCTCTTGGGCGTCTTTGCTTCATGCTTATCACAGGCCAAGTGGGGGACGTCTCAGGTGAGACCTGTCTGTCTTTCGTTCTCGACTGGCCCCGGGCGCCACTTCCAGACTCCTGGTTTGCTCGACATGGCTCGAACCGCTCGGTGCTGTCGGCAAGCCGCTAGGCGAAGCCACTGCTCAAAGCTAGCGTTGACAATCTGGACAGAAGCGTCTGGGGGATTGAGTGGCGCCCTGCCGTCCCGGTAGACTCGAGCGAGTCTAGTCGCCAAGTCTCCCCAGGATACCCTCGTCTTAGCGTGATGCGCATTCGCTTGTTGGCGGAAACGCTTTCCGCCAACAGTGAGGTGATTCAACGCCAATTTAATACCGCGATTGATTTTGTCGTCGATTGTCCACGAGACGAGTCGCTACATCTCCCAGTGTCTTGGCCTTTTTCTGACAAGTCGAGACCTATTCATTAATGAAGTTGCACAGTGGCTTGCAGCTTGTGCACCTTCCTGACGCCATGAGGACCCTGAGACCGTCCCTGAAAATGAGGCAGCGTGACCGATTGCTCTATGTAGTTTTAGCATTGGCAAAGCCATCTTTGAGATATATATCAAAGCCCTGCCGCAAAACACTACTGAACCACTTGCCTCTGGCAAAATAATCGCTGCGCTTGTCAAGCGAAGAGAGAGAGAAAAAAAAAGGGCCTACAAATTCCCTGAATTGAAACCTTCACCGATTCTGGTCAACGCTCAAAGGGCCTGATCAGTCAAGTTTGTGATAGGTGCAGGGTAGGCATGCGCCAACCAAGCAACACCGGTACAAGGTGAGCAGCTAGCATATCTCGACTAAGGTACTAGTACTAAACCTCAATTGACCTGTAGGTAATCGCCGCTTGGAAATCGCCCTCAGTCTCCGAGCGAGAGAAAGGACAATCTGCATTCGAATCAATGGCACTGGGCTTGTGTAAGGCTCCGAGACAAGTTTCGACTGTGATGCACTCTGCTCTTCTCTCACGACACCATGGCCCGGATAATCAGCGGCACGAGCCTGCTGTGCGCCAAATGCCGTCACGTGCCAATCTCCGACCTTGCGGCACGTCATCCTGGAATAAGCGGATCCACTGACAACGTGTAGCGTGGCTTCACCAAGAGATCCTTTAATTGCGCCGGCCACAGCATCGCGACTCATTGCACACGACAGCAACGCAGCGTATCCAGAGTTCGAAGATGGACATGCAGCCTTAGTTGTGCTGTCGATACATTACCCTTCGAGACACCGTTGCTACCCATGCCGAAGATGCGATTGGGCTGGTACGCCGGGGTGTCGACTGCCCTGGCGGGCTCAGTCGTGCTCTCAGCATTTCTCCAGCGGCCGAACTTCTACTCGGCCATGGTATACCTTGCGCAGAGCAACTTCTGCTTGATTGTATGTATTGCTGAGACTCCTCCGCGACTGTGCGCTGACTTGGAAAGGTCCTGGTCAACTTTACACTACTGCTGTACAGCAGCTTCCTATACAGCCTAACCCGAGTATGCTTTGGGCGCCTCCGCGCCGTCGAAGTCGAGCAACTCACCGAACGCGCCTGGTTTGCAATCACAGAGACGTGCCTTGCCATGACGATATTCCGGGAGGAGATTGGGCCGTGGTTCTTGGTCATGTTTGCCGCGCTCGTCAGCGGAAAGATGTGGGGTTGGATTGGGGACGGTCGCGTAGAGGTGTTGGAGCAGCAACCGCCAGCAAACCCTCGACTCTTCCACACACGACTCAGCTTCTCGCTCGCGCTAAGCTTCGCTTACGACGGTGCCATGCTGTGGTATATCCTTAAGACGGTAATTCAACAGGCCCGGCCCAACATGATGGTCATGTTTCTCTTCGAGTTCGCGGTCTTGTTGACCACGTCTTGGCGGACCGGTGTACGATACCTGCTATCATTGTTCGAGCAGTGGATTATCCAGGACCAGACCAAGAAGCGGTTGGCAGAGCGCAAGCGGGAGGTTCGTGAGCAGAGAGAAGCCACGACGAGGCAGAGAGAGCAGGCCGCCGCTGCAGGAGTGGAGGCACCTGTCGATCAGGAGCCTCTACCTCACGAAGACGATGTCGACGAGATGGACATTGAGGTCCCCGGATGGGCCGCCAAGGGCGAGTGGGTGCTTTGGCTCGATTTGATCACTGGTAAGTGCAAGACCCGCACGTAGACAGTATCTTCCTGCTCATACGTACAGACTTTGTCAAACTGGCCATCTACGCCTCCTTCTTTATCATGCTCCTCATGTTCTACGGCCTACCCATACACATCATTCGAGACTTGTTCTTGACGTCGAGAGACTTCTTGAAGAGACTCAATGCGCTACTGCGGTACCGCAAGGCCATCCAAGAGATGAATAAATACCCCGATGCTACGGCTGCTGAGCTTGCCGAGGAGAACACGTGCATTATATGCCGTGAAGAAATGCGCCCATGGGATCCAACAAACGCTCCAGGCGCAGTGGACCGATCTCGTCCCAAAAAGCTCCCCTGTGGCCATACGCTGCATCTTGGCTGTCTGAAGAGCTGGCTTGAGAGACAGCAGGTCTGCCCCACATGTAGAAGCCCAGTTACTTCTGATCGTGGTAGAGCACCTCGGAGGGACCATGGTGGTCGTCGTGCTCTCAGGATACAGATCGGTGGCGATGCAGCGCCGGCAGCAGGACAGGCTGGCGCAGACGGCGTCAATCCGCAGGTAGACGCCCAAGGACAACAAGTGGACCGACAAGCAGGACAGCAGCAACAACAACGACAAGAACAGCAACCAGCTGCCAACCGGCCCCGGGTGTTCAATCTAGGCCCTCTACGTCTAGGTTTCGGGGCCAACAATGCCCAAGTGGAGGAGTTGGCTCGACAGTTTGGCATGGCACAGCCAGCCCCAGTACCAGCCGCGAATGGCGCTCCAGCCCAAGCTACCGCTCCTGCTGGTATGGCACACTCGCAGCCAACCACTGGCGATAACCTCCAGAACGCCGCGAGCCTGTTGCAGCAGGCTGAACAAGCGCTTCTCGCAGAGCTGAACGTCTTGCGCCATAGGCAACAGGAGCTACAGACCAGCCAACTCCTGATGGCAGAACTCCAGCGGTTACGCCTGCGACAACAGGCAGATCATATCGCGCCGAGGCCTGCGACCTTTCCACATGTGCCGTTTGGGGCCATGCCGGCGATGCCCCCGTCGATGCCCGCGGCTCCCCCAGGCTATCCAGGTATCCCGACGCGCCTGAACAGCCCGATCTTGGGCCGTCACGGGACATCGGAGTATCATACGTCCATCCCCTCCGGCAGCCCCGAGCTTCCCGAAGGTGTCACTATCCCTCCGGGCTGGTCACTGATGCCGTTGCAGAGGTTGGAGAACGGGTTGTTTGCAAGGCAGCCGTCCCCCCAGCCAGGCTCGATGCCGACGCAAAGCGATTCTCTCCTGTCAGAAGTAGCGCCTCAGCGCTCCGTTTCGGAAGGCGCATCGAGGCATCACGAGTCTCCTGCCACCAACGGCCACGCTTCTGTACCCGGTTCGAATGAGCCTGAGCCCGATGGCACACCGAGCAACAACCATCTCAATGCACAACCAACACCAGTCGTCGTGAGCCCGAGCCCCGTAGCACCGAGCTGGGACTTTGGCAACCGCGCAAGGTTAGATCCGGAGACGACCTCCGAGGCGGGATCGACATCGACAAGTCACGAAACACCAGCACCGAATGGCGACGCATCGTCGGAAGATAAGGGCAAAGGCAAGGCTGTCACAGTGGAGGAGACGTCAGATGATGACGACAATGGAGAGCCCAAGACCAAGGATACATGATGTATTAATAGGCGTGTCGCGCACATGGTATGATGACAGCAAGCAAGCGAGCGATGAAATGACACGAGATGTCTTGACTAGATTCCTCAAGCCGTCTTTATATTTATTTTGCGTATCCTCCTAAATTTGATCTTGACTATCCCAGTACCTGCTCTAACCACTGTACTATCGCCTGGAACGCTGTGATATGCTGCCGCCCAGAATCAAGATTACAAAAAAAGAAAAAAAAGAAAGAAAGAAAAGAGTAAGGCAAAGCAACACGCACAAGAAGCCAATACTATACAAGGGCACCTCGTCTGCTGGCTACTGACAGCAGGACTCAAGACTTGCCCCTCCTCGACAGCGGCGAGTCCATGAGTCCTAATGTCAACGCCGGCCCTGGCGTTGGTGCCCTTCCGGCGACCGGCTTCCCCATGTACGTCGACCTATCTTCCCGCTCCTCCTCCTCCTCCTTCTTGGGTGGATGCCGCGGCTTATACGTCGGCGACAACACGTCCTCCGAACCAAACGGCAAGCTGCGGTTGGGTATAGTCATCTTCTGCTTCTTAGCCCCTCCCCCCTCCCCTCCCTTGTCGGTTGCCAGCTTCTGGAGCACGTGCTCGTACTGCTGCTGCGCCAGCTTCCGTAATTGCGTCTCGGGGTCCTTCATAGTCGAAGCGTTAGTAAGACCTAGTGATGGGAGAATGGTACAAATGCAATCAGAGGGAAGCCACCGTCTCCCATGTACACATACCCATTCCGACTGCCCGGGCACGCCCTCGGCCATGGGGAGGGCCGTGGCGTCGCCCGCGTCGTGTGCTCCCTCGGTCCGCTTTGGTTGCTCCTCCGTGCCCCAGAATGAGGGTCGGGCGATAGGCGCCGGTGTGACCGGTAGCGAAGGTCGCTCGACTTCCGAGGGAAAGTCTGTGAGCTTGAAGCCGCGTAATTCCTTCTGTTTGGGTATGGTGGGTCCTGTCGGCGAGCTGACTGAAGCCAAGGTCTTGCCGCGACGATGTTGCTGCAAAGAATCAACGTAGCGGTTGATCTGAGGAATCTCGTCCCAGGCATTCGAGAGCTGGAAAGTGCCCCACGATTCTGCCGGCGGCCTGTGCACCCGGATGGTAGGCGTAACAGGCGTGGCAGGCGCCGAAGCATTCTCGGTTTCTGTACAAAGAAAGAGTCAGTACTTCCCCACGGGGACCATGAAGCTACATTTGCACATACCCTTGGGCTCGACTGCGGTGGTTTGCGTACTGAGATCGGGTAGAGGCGTGGCGTTGGTGAAGGTGCGGGAGGGCTTAGGCTGGTGACTCTCCCAAGGGAAAACTTGTTTTGGTGGCTGGGCTGCCGGCGCTGGCGGCTCCTTGGGAACCTCATACCACATGTTCTTGGGCGGACTTGGGTATCTGTCTGGTGGGACAAAAGGCGTGGGATCCTGAGACATGGTGTAGACAGTGGACGGGAAGTTGACAGCTTCAGGCTTGGAGTCGGACGGAGGAGGATGCCACTGCGCATCCCAGCTTGCTGTTGGCAGTGGCCCCGGCTCAGGAATTGACTTCTGTTCTTCCTTGGGTGGATCACTGGAGGAGTGCCCTGAGGTTGCTTCCTGTTGCTGACCGTGAGGATGCTCGTGCTCATGCTCATGCTCATGCGGCTGCTGCTGATACTGGTGGTGGTGGTGGTGGTGGTGGTGTGCTTGCTGCTGCCGTTGTCCTGAGCTATCGCCAGGCGGCTGTGGACTGTCTTGCATCTGCGCATGAATTTCGCCACCACCCTGCTGAGGAGACTCCCGTTGTCCGTGTGAGTGGTCATGGTGAGTGTCTTGTTGAGAGCTCTCGCGGTGGTTGTCGCGCGGTCCAGCAGACTCAGCGGTTGACCCCTTTGCGATCCCATAATTAACTTGCGGCCGCCACTCACCGCTCGTGTAGTAATGGACCAAACTGTCGCCAGGCCCCTCCCTGAAGTGCCTGTCCCACACTGCCCACCATCGTCCCACCATCTCCCCATAGGGGCCGCCCTCCTGCCCCCTGCCTGCAAACCAGGGCTTGTTGTTACCAATGAAGTGCACCATGTTGATCGTCGAGGAAAGGTGCCTGTAAGCTGGGACATATTGATAGTGACCGCTGGGCGTGACATTGTACGCAAAGCTCAGTCTATGCCAAGAGTCCTTGAAGCGCATGTTTAGGAGACCTTGGTCGGCTCCATCGAAAGATATGCTGCGCGAGGCCATGGCGCTGAGGGCGTGGTACTCGCCCAGGTCAGGACAGAGGACCATGACGCCCGAGTTGAAGAGATCAGGCCATCCAATGTCGGGTGCTGCAGCAAAAGAGGCACCGAGCGTGAACAGCTCGTCCGGAGCGCGATAGGCCACGACGTCGGCGTCAATGTATACAATCTTCTCCCACTGGACCAGCTTCCAAAGATTGATCTTTGTAAAGGCCGAATGCAGGTCTGCGCGATTCATGAGGTACAGGTTCCCCGGATCGGGGTTGCGTATCCTGGGCACGGAGATGACATGGTCGTAGACAGTTTTGAGCTGGGTGACCGCGTCGGCAGAGACCGAATCGAGAGTGACGAGGCAGACGAGCGGTTTGCTGGTGCGCGCATCGCGTAGCGAGTGTGCGAGGACGAGTGCGCCGGGCAGGTAGCCGTCGTTGAGGAGGAGGGTCGCGTAGGCGTGGCGTGGTGCTGCCGGCTCCCCAGCCATTGTCGCGATTGATGGGGAGGAAGAAAAGCTGGGGAGCGCTATAAGAGACGAGAAACCAAGGCCATGGAAAGGGAGGCCCGTGGGATGATGTTGACGCACGGCAGCGCGCGTTGTGAGAAGGTACCTCAAGAAGGACGGACTCGAACGGGTCAAGGTGGGGAGCTGGACCTGGAACTGGCCGCCTTGGTCTGGGCCTGAGTGACATATTTAAGGTGTGAGACAACGACGAGAATGGCTTGCAGAATGCAGGGTCAGGAATGATCTCGTCCCCTGCAAACTCAACAAGATGCCTGCCACTGGACTGCACGCTCGTATCCGTCCCAACATGAGAGTAACACTGCGCATCAATACCACACGAACATGCAGTCACCCAATTGACCCGCCTCAATTACGATTCACGTCAATACCGCGGTGCTCGGTGCTGCTGTCCGTTGGTCAGTCAGTCCATTTCCAAGTAAGGTAGGCAGATCTCCAATGACGTCTGTCGGCTACCAGCGTACGGAGTACCCCGAGCTACGAACTCATCCAGCGCGCGAGTGTGATCCATCCATCCACCCATCCGTCATGCAGGGCCGGCGGGCGCCTCGTGCCGCGTTTGGCCCGTCAAGTTGCCTTTTCATCAGAGGCTCTGCAGAATGTGGACAATTTACCAACACGTACATCCGCCCGTCCCTCTGCAAACACGTATCACCGTGCACAACAAGCCTAACCCGAGACTTAGGGCACGTCCATCGTCACACAAAGCTGCACCTCAGTCTAGTTGATGCCAATCCTTGTGCACTGCGCATACTGCGCATACTGCGGACTCATGTCGATTGGTCGAACATGCATACATGATAGCCCCAGGCATGCACTCCGCACCCTGATTCAATCCCCACTGGCACCATGTCATCAATAGCGCATCTCCATGAGCAGGTAAGCAAGTGAGTGGAGGGGTTCAAAGTCGGTTGGAGCATCTGCTCACGCCTCCAGGGTTGAACGTAACGTCATGTTTTCTTCGGGTATTAAAGCACTACGAAGCACAGGGGCCTGCCTATACAATGACCACCAAATCGCCAGCCAACGACGAAAACAAAGCGCACTACAAGTCCTTCTTGAGCGCGCGCTCTGGCTTGTGCGTCGTCTCGTAGTCAATGTGGACGTAGGCCCTCTCCACGTCGGGCAGACCCTCCAGCTTGAACTGCAGCTCCTCGGCCACGTCGTGTGCCTCGCGCATGGTTCCCTCAGGATCCATCACTATGTCCACCTCGGCAATCAAACGAGGACCCGAGTGATACACTCTGACCGTGTCGATACCCAGCACCGAATCCGAGTGCGTGAGGCACACGTACGTGATCAGCTGCTGCATCTCGGTGTCGGCCGACACGCCAACAAGCAGCAAAAACTCGGCAAAGGCAGTGCGCAGCCATATCGCTGAGATGACCACAGAGAGGATGATGGCGCCTGCCGGGTCGAGCCACCACATCAGCTTGGAACCACCAACGGACGTCAAAATACCAAAGGCGTTGACGAATAGGTCGTTGCGGTGGTCCTGCCACAAGATTCGGACCTGGCTGTACTTGTTCTTGAGAGACCAGCAGTACATGAACAGACAGAATTTGGTCGCGAATGCCACGGCCACCGCAAGAACGGCGGGCAGATGGAATGCTTTACCCTCATCTGCCTGGCTCAACTCCTGACATGAAAAGGCAATGATGATCAACGACACGCTCACCATGATGAAGCTGAACGTGATGTTTCCCACCGTCTCCAAGCGAGCCTTGCCAGCCGGGAAGCGACGCTCATCCACGTGGGCCACCGCGCGCGAAGAGACAATGAGGATCAAGTTGCTGAGCGGGTCAAATACACTGTCGGCTGCCGTGGTGAAGAGGGACAGGGACCCCGATGAGATGGCACCGTATAGCTGGAGGATGGACAAGCAGATGTTGGCAATGAACGAGCCCCAGACAGCGATCCTGAGCTTGAGCTGCTCCTCGCCCGCCTCCTGCTTGGAATCGGCGAGGTGGTCCTCCACGGGTTTCAGCATCCGCTCAATCGCAGCGTTTTGATCTTCGTAGAAGCGTTGGATCTTGCGTTTCCTGACCTTGGGACCCTTGTGCCCGGTGGCGCCCACATCTCTCTTGCGCGAGGTGTTGGCTTTGATTTTGGCGAGGTCTGACTCGGTCTTGTAGGCCAGGGACAGGCCGTAAGGGTCATTCTCCAAGCTGACGCCGTTGAGTGGCAAGGCAGCACGACCAGCGGTCAGTTGACTCTCCACGTCTGTTAATGTGGGCTGGGAGTTGTGGCGGGCGACGGGATCGTGCTCCTCGTCCGGGGCACTGTGCTCGATACCGGTGCTGTGCGAGGCGTTCCGGGCCGAAGCCCTTGACTGGCTGCGTTGACGTTCGCGGTCCACGTAGTGCATTTGGATCGCCGAAGGATGATGGGTGATAGAGTGGTGGACGTCGGACTTCATAATGGCGACTTGAGGAAGTGGCCAATGAAAGTGGGTGAAGTAGGATTGTTGAGCTGGAATTCTTTGGCTGGAGGCGTACCTGAGCTGCCGGCGAGGTGCAACTCAAGGCGTCTTGAGCCGGTGTCTGGCAAGCTCAGAGCTTCAGATGGTCCTCAGGAGCTTCGCTATCGATTGTTGAATGGTCTTCAAGACCGCCTGGAGAGGTTAAAGCAAAGAAGAAGACACAATTCCCGGAGCACTAGGGAAAAGAAACAGAGCAAGTGATATGCGACGTTGACGCACAACACCTTCCCGAGCACTTAATTCCCTGCCTTAGCCATGATCCATCGGAGGCTATAAGTGACTGGCGCGGGTCTGTGATTTGGTAAGCGGAATCGGAAGTCTCCAGCGCCTAGCGCCGTCCAGCGATGGCGGCCATCCCAGTGATCCCACCCAACGTGGACCCCTGATCGGAAGTCCGTCGGAGAGTGGCTAATCCAGCTCACGGGTCGAGCACTCCATCTTCATGTTGGTCTCACCGCACCAGCAGCATTCAAGCGTCCACCCATTCATTGGTCAGGCAAACGGAGCTCGAAGAATTGTGCGGCAACGGCGAATTGCGAGATGGCTGCGGCCTGATCAGCGAAATTCCCCTGCGCTCACTCGAGCAATAGTGTGCGAGAGAGAGAGGGAACAGACAACCTGCACGTGAGGACTGAGGTGGCCAACGCATCGTTCCGCGCCATGAAGTTAGGCGGAGGAGTCCTTCTCTTCTGTTATCGCCGAGGTCTCATGTCGGGGTCTGGATTAGTCCACAGCGTGCAGTCCACTGGAGGGAACGAAGCGGTGTCATGCCGAAGACAAAATGGGCAAACGCAAAGTTGGTTAGAGCGCAGGCGCAAAACATATATAACGCTATAAACATGTATAAATCTAGCTCCAGCGGACGTTCCCCACAAACAGCCAATCTACGACCTATCTATGTGTCGAAACCTGGGGCTACTCGGGCGTACCCGGGACTGGGTGCCAAGGACAGATGGTGATTGGCCCGTCCCTCCTTCTTTAACCAGCGGACAAGTCCCGTCGACCTCGCGAGAGGCATGTGAAGAAGGGTTTCTCCTTTTCTTACTTAAGCAATGGAAAGTACATTGTCCATTGTTCATTGTCCGACACTTGGCAATGGCCCAAAGGCGTAGTGAAGATGGCTGTGCCTGGCTCAGGTCGACAAGATGGCGCACAATGGTGTCTGGAAATGCCTTTGGTGACACTTGGGATCTCTGTTATTGCCCAATGCCGGAGTCATCTGTATACTAAGCAGGTCACAAAATCAGATTGAGAGAACTTCAATATTCAGGAGTTCACGGCAGCCTCAAAGCCTAGCCTCCACTGCCCTACCACCGCCCTCACTCCTTTCAAGGATCCACGCTACGAGATCCTGACCAAACTCTTCTTTGCACAGATCACTGTGCAACTGATGATAGCCTCCCTCATAGGGCTTTGCCACCTTGTCATCCACATCGGTCTGTTGCTCCAGCCATGTCATGGCCGCGTCGAAACTGCAAGTCAAGTCTCCCGTGCCGTGCTGCAACAGGATGCTTTTGACATTCTTACTCACTTTGACCGTGCCCGACGACAGATGCGCGGTACGGTCCAAGAGGGAGGCCAGACCTTCCAGCGTACCTGTGTTGTGGCAGAGAGGGTCGTTGCGAATCGATTCCACGACGGCCTGGTCGCGGGAGAGATCCTCTGGCGGCACCACGTGCTGGAGCTGATGACGCGGGAGCACCATGCCAGCCAGGCGACCCAGCATGATCTTGATAGTGCTGGGCTCGGCATTCTTTGTGAATCCGATAAAGGGGCATTCCAAGATCCAGCCACGCACACTCCTGACCACGTCGGTGTACTTCTCGTCGGCCATGAGGGTACAGATCTCGCCTCCGCCCATGCTATGACCCATGACGAAGACGGGTACCTCCTCGGTGGTGTTGTGCTTGATAAAGGCAGCCACGTCCGCCACGACGCGAGCCGTGGGCCCAGTCAGACCCCAGTCTGACTTGTCCTTGGCTGATCGGCCCCAGCCGCGCTGGTCGAAGCCGAATACCTGGATGCCGGCCGCAGCGAGCGTCGGGAAAAAGTCATTGTAGCGATTGATGTGCTCGCTGAAGCCGTGGATGAAGATGAGCCTGGCTTTGGTCGGGCCACTAGGCGTCCAGGTCTTGGTGTAAAGCGACACACCGTCTACCTCAAAGGTGCCCTCGGCTTGGGAAGACATGGTTGCGCGCTTGCTTCAAAGTGATGGACAGTACTATGATGGTGTCGTTGGTTGCTGACAGTGAGGCTGAGATGAGCTTGAAGTGGGAGAAGCTGACGGCCACGCTAGTAACGGCTATGACGCTGCCTTGGCGGTGGAGAAACGGCATGTGATTCCTGCTTATCTCACTTTTGAAAGCCATGTCCTATCTTGCGGCTAATCAATTAGAACTTCAACTGGAGACGCGTCCAGTGAGTAACATAATTGCATGCTAGAATTCCTTTCATTGTCCAAGGGGAGATTGATGTAAACATAGGCCAATATGTATTTCTATGTTTGAGCATGCCATACCTAATATACATCGACACAAACCAACGCCTCGAGCTGTGCGCTCTGGATATCAAGAGATTTTTGTGAGAATGCGAAGTGATCATCGCCGAGTCTCCTCTTTAACTCCTTCCTTCTCGGAAGTATTCTCTTCTTCAAGCGCTTCTTGTGCCTCTTCCTCGATCTCCATCTCCTCGGCCTCAGTGATATGCGATTTTGCGTCGTTGTTTCTCGGCTCGGGAATGTCGCCTCCGCTCATCTGCCACTCCATCAACTTGCTAAAGGCGCTCTTGGGATCGGCGGCGAGGTGGGAGTAGTTGCCAATCTCGGCGACAGTGCCCTCGCTGTTCAGGACGATGATCTGGTCAGATCTCTTGATGGTGGAGAGACGATGCGCGATGGAGATGGTGGTGTTGTGCCCGCGGAGCAGGCGAGCGAGGGCTTCGTTGACGAGTGTCTCCGATTCAGCATCAAGTGCCGATGTGGCCTCGTCAAGGATCAGGATATCCGGATCCTTCAACAGGGCGCGCGCAATAGCAATGCGCTGCTTCTGTCCACCAGACAGCTGGGAGCCCCTGGCACCGACTTGAGTCTCCAGACCATCGGGAAGATCACTGATAAAGTTGCAGTTTGCCCTCCGCGCGGCCGCTACGATCTCCGAGCGGCTCGCTTCGGGCTTACCGTAGCCGATGTTCTCGGCAATCGTGCCCGAAAAGAGCACGGGCTCTTGCGAGACCATTCCGATCCTCCTTCGAAGTGACTTGACATTCATGGTTGAAATGTCCCTGCCGTTGATAGTAATCGTACCAGATGTCGGGTTGTAGAACCGCAAGAGCAGCGACGCGACGGTCGACTTGCCACCGCCTGAGGGGCCGACCACGCAAACATTGCTGCCCGAGGGGATCTCAAAGTCCAGGCCATTGAAGATATTAACGGCAGGGCGCGTTGGGTATGCAAAGGAAACGTTCGAGAATTTGATCGGCCCTTGCGCAGACTTGACAGGCATGCCTATGGTCTGAGGGATCCCTGGTCTCCGGTCTTGCAGTTCGAACAGGCGGCTGGCGGCACCCACACCCTTCATCAACTCGGAGTAGAAGCCGGACAGCCCAAACAAACTTGATCCCGCAAAGGCCGTGTACATCATGAAGGAGGTTAGATCACCGAGAGACATACTGCCAGTCCGGACGAAGCTACCTCCAACCACCAGCATAGCTAGAATAGTCATGTTGCCCGCCCAACCAGTGGTAGCGAAGAAGGTGGCCGCGACGAGGGACTCGCGGCGACCGAGCGCAAAGATTTTGCGAATCTGGTGGTTGTAGCGACCGATCTCTTGTCGTTCTCCCACAAAAGCCTGGCTCGTCTTGACGTTACCCAGTCGCTCCTCGGCAATCTTAGTGAGCGTACCCAAGTTCTTCTGGATAGAGCGGCTGATGTTTCGGATGGCCCTTCCATAGAAGAATGCACCAATCGCAACAGGCGGGAACATGAGCAGCAGAAGACCCGTCAGCTTCGGGCTCGTCCAGACCATGATGGCGAAGCCGGCGCCGCCGCTGAATAGGGCGCGCAGACCGTCACTGAGGTTCTGCGTAACGGACTTGCCCACAATTACGGTGTCGGAGCTCAGTCGCGAAATGAGGTCTCCGACACGGTTGGCGTCGAAGAACTCGGCATCTTGCACGTAGGTCCTTCTGTAGAGCTGGGAGCGAAGCCTCGCAACGACGCGCTCGCCCACGATGCGCAGCAGCACGACACGCCCGTAGTTAGCCATGGCGCCCAAAGTCAAGATCGAGCCGAGACCAAAAAAGAACTGATTCAGGGTCAACCCGAAGAGTCGGATGTCCTCCACGTCGCCCTTCGTAGAAATGTCCAGGATGCGGCCGACAGAGAAAGGGATAGACATGGTCACGCTGGACGAGATGACCAGGAAAACAAAGGCGATTCCCAACCATCGAATCTCTGGCTTGGCAACCTTGATCAGGCGCCAGATCTCGCCGAGTCCTGCTTTGCTTTGCCCCTTGCCTTCTCTTGACAGCTTCGCGCGCAGATTGACCTGCGCCGCCTTGCTCGCCTTCTCGCTCTTCTGGAAATCGAACTCCTCCTCCGCCTCCTCTTCAGCTTTTCGTTGGGACTGCTCCTCTACCTTGCGCTGAAGCTCTTGCTTCCTCCGCGGAGCATTCGAGAACGCGCGAGAAGCTGCGCTGACGCGCCATATCACGGAGCCCGACGTGTATCTCGTTCGTGGGGTGAAAATGCCCACTGTGAAGCTGCGTGAAGGAGTCGATGACGAATAGATCGACCGCGTGGAGATTTCCGGTCTTGACAGCGCAGGCGAGACGATTGGAGAGCAGGATATTCTGATAGGAGCAACAGAACTTTCCATAGCGCGAGACAGCAACGTCCTTCGAATCGTTCCGGACATCATCATGGCGGCCGAGTTGCGTGACGGACGCTCAGCTGCGCATGATTCGCTCGAAGTGGTTCGAAGCCGAGGGACACTGAACAAACTCTTGCCTGCCGTAAATAGAGGGACGCAGACGTTAAGTTTTCCAAATGTTATAGAGTGGTGCGCAATGCCGTCATCATCGCGGCATTTCTGGTGGTGTCTGAGGCATGGAGAGTAGCCGCTGATGCGGATACTTAACAGCGCCAAAATTCGGGTGGATACTCCTCCCATCGCAGGGTAGCCATGGTACCTCATTACTCGGAGGGATTCCCTGGATGACCCGAGAACCCTCGGTCGCAATCGGAGTTATCGACGACTGGAGTTACGGCCTGGATACCAGTTCGACGCCTTCCAGCCGATGCTAGCAGATTTCTGTCAACCTTGAAAGAACTCAGTATGTCAAGTCATTTAGAGGTACGCGCAGTGTCGCGAACGAAGTATAAGCACAGCGACGTTAGATGCTGATACAGCGCTAAATAGTAGTATACAAGCCAAACCACCAACTGGCGCGAAGTCCTTGTTTGACCATCCACGCGCACCTCACGCTTGAGATCCTTCTTGCAGCATGGCCGCAACATCCGCATCAATGGCATCGTCTCCTCCAACATCTGGTATATCTTCGCCTTCGTCCACGCGGCGCCTCTTATTCGAGCCATTGGTGGAGATGGGGAGGGTCTGGTACGAGGATGCTGCGTTGGAGAGCACCTCTGCTCCGGAGCTGCCCACAAACTGTTCTTCAGTTGTTGTTGGGGGAAGCGCTTCCATTGGCGGAACGTCGCCCGAAGGAGGAGTGAACGCCTCCATTTCTGGTGTCAACGCCTCCATCTGGGGCCTCTCCTCGTCCTGCTTGTGGTGCCCAGAGTCCTCTGCGCCCGCGCCGTTCTGATCAACTGATCCCAGAGCCTGCATAATGCCGAACTCGACCTGCCGCTTCTTCTCTTCAGTCTCGCGTTTTCGCTTGCCGAACTTATCAGCGCACTGGCGGTCGCTCTCTAGTGCCGCGCGGTGAGACTCCAAGAGCTTCTCCAGTCCGGATACTAAGCTCTCTCTCGCTTTGACGCAGTCGGCCACAGCGTTCTCAGCGTTGGCCAAAGTCCTCAAGAGACCGTTCAGACGAGCCGCATAGACTGGTGCAGAGGGTGCCGGTGTTGATGTGTCAGTCTGCTTCTCGTATTCCTGATCAGCCGAGGCGATCGTGCTCTTCAGCGGAGTAGAGAGCTTTGAAACGGATTGATGTGCAGAGATGAGAGGCGTGAACTCTGAGGGGATGTTGGCGGCAGCAGACCCGAAAGGACTACCACCGAACCCAATTTTCGAACCCCCTCTAGCCTTGTCGAGCTCTTCGAGGCGTGAGTCCATGGCCTTCTGAATTGAAGATTCAAAAATGTTTCGATCCCTCCAGACATCTACCACACGACGGATTTTCGACTGAATCTCTGTCGGAGCTCCTTTGTAAGCGACTGACACAGCCTCCGCAATGGCCGGGGAGAATGCGATAATGAAGTCCTCTTTGTGGCGGATGCGCGACTGTTGAGCAACCTCTGTAAAGTGTCAGCGGCATCACTGCCCCGGTGGATTCGAGAAAGAAGCACGTACCATTCGCAAGATATATGAGCATGAGCCGTTTTGTGGACGACGAGTCCTTCAAACGCTGCATCCAGAGCTGTACCGTGCGGTCGGCGTGACGCCGATGGAACATGATCCATTGAGCCGCAGTCGCGATACTGTCGTGGCTCTCATTGAGCGCTGACAACCGCGCCAGGACAGCATCATCGTTGTACGCCATGGCGTTGATGGGCAATTATGTTACGGTTGACTTCAGCGGTTGTCACGGTGTTTCAGTGGCCTCGCGGTACTATTGACTACAGCTACACGGTAGGTACCTGCAGCTCAAGCGAAAGAAGCTCGGGACAGTGATATCAATGGCAACGGCAAATCAACCCAACAAGGTCGCAAGACGTAGGTTCTTCAATGAAGACGTCAGTCTGAATGGGTGAGGAGCTTGTGTTTGCACAATTGCAGTTGAAGTGAGGAATGAGATGCGCGCGCCAGTAATTCGAGCAACCAGGGTTAATGTCCAGTTGATGCAAACCCTATTTAGATCAACCTCGCTGCATCAATATTCATATAGAGGATATACCGGCTAATGCAATAAGTGACGCAGTACTGTCGAGCATCAGCAGGGCGTCGGCTGATGTGATTGGTTGTTCACCCCAATAGCTCCACCCCGTCAGGATCATGGCAACGTCGACTTCATTGCTTGCTCGTTGTCTACGTACCGCTGGCATATAGCTGTCGCGTATTCTCCATACTACCAGCTCGATTCTGTACATCGTATCCGATCGCATTGAGCGCACGATCCTGATTCGAAACATCCACACTCACAACCGAATATGGCCGACCGATTCCCGTCCTTGGAGGACTTTGATGCCGGGGGTGAGCTGGCCTCTGAACCGATGAAGACTTGCCAGTGCGACTAACGCGTGCCCCCAGCCCAGACAGATATCAAGAACGCTGCCGAGGACCCGACGGCCGATGATTTCCTAGCCCGCGAGAAGGCTGTCCTTGGAGATGATGCGAACCAGTTTGCGACAGCCCAGGATGCTTCGGCACTTGGTGGCTCAGATGGCGACCTACTAGGCGAGGCCGAGCAGCCCCAGGCTACTTTCGACTCTCAATTTCCCGATCTTGCTAGCCCTTCAGCGGTAAGTCACCCACCACGCGGCTGGAGCTCTCGAGGGCTAACAACTCGCAGGGCATGGTCCCTGGCAGCAACACAATCACTGGGCCTTCGGTCAGCTACAACTCCGGATACCAGGCGCGCGCCGACGAGGAAGAAGAACCCGAAGTGATCAGAGAGTGGCGCGAATCCCGTGACGCACAGCTTGCCAAGCGTGCTGAGCAGTTCGCCGCCCAGCGCGAAGAGACCATTAAGGAGGCTCAAGCCAATATTGACGACTTCTACAACAACTACAATGCGAAGAAGGAAAAGGAAATTGAGAAGACGCGCAAGGAGGCAGAGCAATTTCTAGCGAACCGAGATGACACCGTGTCAGGTGGTACCAGCTGGGATCGCATCGCCAAACTGGTAGACGTCAGCGGCAAGGGCGCGAAAGGCGGCTCCGCCGGCTCGGGCAAGGAGCGCTTCCGCGAGATGTTGATGAGCTTGCGGAAGGATGAGAAGGCACCGGGAGCTACAGGCTACTAGACGGGGGAGCGTGTGGAATTTGACATCCATTGATGAGCATGCATGTAGTATGGAGGCGCATACGGCGTGTGGATTCTTCCAGACCCAGCACTTGGCGCAATGTATTATAGAAGTACGGATCACATGCGACCGGCTCATAACGAAGTACCATGGAACTTGACAAAGGGGAAGTGTTGAGCATTTGGTTACATACTGAGCAGATGCCTGCGCACTGCGATGCCAGTCTATAGTTCTTGCACCGTATCGAGCTCTCGCAGGGACACGCCGATCCAGGTTGTTTGCTTAATCCTTGGTGAACCAGGTGTTGTAGCCCATGATCTTGCGTCCGCTGCACCACAGAGTAGCTATGGAGTTCAGTAAAGGCTTTGTTCCAGAAGACGCTGATTGACCTACCGCCAAGGGAGCCCCAGAGGAGGATAGTGTAGGGGGTCATCATCCAGCGGCTACGGCTGCCCTGTCGTCATGTCAGTCATCCATCGTCGGCGGGTTCGTTCGGAAGGGCTGCTATTCGTACAATCTGCCAAAGGCGGGTGTGAGCCTTGTAGGCCTGCTGGTAGAAGCGCTGGTTCTGAGGAACCTTGTTGGGAGCGTCGACGAGACTAATGCCCTAGATTAGCGACCGGCAAATATCGGATGTGAGGCTTTCCGCAGGCCATTGCCGTCGCGCAGACGGCCCAGGCCATCGAGAAATAACCGAATCTGGAGAATGCAACTTACCCCATCTTGGCGATTAGTTGTGAAGCTTTGGTAGAGCTAAAGTGTACGTTGAGTGGGTTTCGAAGTAATGGGAAGACAATTGATGAAGGTTCGGCAATCTGATGAGGCCATATTGTGATTGGCACGTCTGGGTCGATGATTACTCAGCATAAAATTCCCCATGCGGTGGAGCCAAGATGGTGCAGCTCCAATTCCTGTCTCTTGTTGAGGTAGCTTGTTTATCCCAGTGCCTCATTTTTATGACGACGCAAAAAAAGTCGGGAGCGTTGTGTTTTCTTTCAACAGGGAAGCACCAAGCGCTCAGGCGCAACAACCCAAATGCCAACACGGCGACTCCACGCTTGCCAGGATTCCATGCCGGTGATATCTCCGTGTCGCGAGTCGAAGGCATTTAGGGATGAAAGCGACCCTTCGATACACGCGGTCTTGTAAAGCTCCCCGACATGGCTTGAGGGATCCCGTCCAGTCTGCTGCTCGATTTCCAGCACAATGCACGAAACGAACCGAGCGATGTTCCTCCAGCCGATCAAACCCGACTTCCAGTCTAGCTACAATATGTCCGAGTATATGCAGATCCTGGCGCAACAGTGGGACTACGCGATGGTTGTCATCAGTGTCTCGGCAAACGAACCGCTCGACTTTGCAAGCGATAATAATATCCGATCTCATTGCTGAGTTTTGTGAGTTGCAGCCATCTTCTTATGGCGACTGGTTACACCTTCTCGACCTAATGGGCGATCGCCATGGCTCAGCAGGCGTCTGGGCTTGCTTTCAACGCCTGGTGGATGAAGGACAGGCTGGACTTGCTATATCGAACACCAGGAACAGAATTCGTGAAGAAACTGTTACGGTCGCATGCGAAGACGACAGAAGAGTGGAATACCTACTGGGCTTGTTCGTGCGCCTTCGCACGCTGAAGAGAACATGGCCGAATTTCTACGTCGACATAATCCAGAATCTGATCTTGCGAGGGGAATACACCCGGGCCACGCATTGGCATTCCAGGATCTGGTATACTATTTCGCCATCCCGTGAAGCTTTGGCGGAATTAATATCGAGGCTCGCGCATGAGAACGACCCAGAGCTCCAGCAATGCCTTGTCTCGATATACCACTCAAGCGACGAGCGCGGCATATTCGACTTGGTTATCCCTTCCTTGTATGCGTCAGGCAAAGAAAAGCTCGCCCGAACATGGCGGGCTGAGTTCACGAAAGCTGGGGATTTCCCCCAGTCGAAGAACTCCCTACCTTTCCTGAGATTCCTCTCTTGCTACTATTCCCGAGTGTATCTCTATCCCCAGGAGCTCGAGCTGTTGGGTGATGGCATTTGGTGGGTGGCGCGCGATGAGCCAGCTACTGAGTCTCTTGAAGATGGAGCCAACTCCCAGGGGGCTTTCCGTCGTGAGCTTGTCGCAAAGACATTTGCAAGCCGTTGGATATCGGTGGATTTTGCCATCAATCTTGTCACCCAATTCGGCATCCCAAACATAGGGCCCAGGGAGCTGCAAGCATTGGCCCTCCGCGAAGAGAATGCACAGGGAGTCCTCGAGCGCATCAAGCGGCTGGAAAGCCTTGGTATCCGTTTGAGTAAGCATCCATACTGCAAAGTCGTCGCCGTCATGGCAAGGAAGGATGATGATTATCATCTGAACCTATTGCTGCATGCCACCATGCACTATGAGACATTGGTAGACCCTCAACAGCGTGGCGATCTACTGGCAAAGGCCAACCAAGATGGCAACAAGGACAAAATTTCTCTCCTACTCCGGATTCAAGAGATTTTGGACAATAAGGGCGAAGTCTGGGAACTCAACAATATGTTACGTACCTTTCTCAAGGAGGGCAACCTTGCACGCAGTTCTCTTGTTCTGGATCGAATGCGCGCAGTTGGAGTCGTGCCTCGGCAAGACAATGTGACAGAATTGTTACGGCAGCTCTGCTCGACATTGCCATGGCACACGCCAACTCCTGACGGTCTCCGGACTTTCCGAAATCAGAGCTCCCGCAAACGTCCAGCCGCAGCATCTCCACTCGATGATGTGGTCCGGATCCTGCGCACTTGCGCCCAATATGATATCGCCATCCCAATCCGCTGCTGGAGCCATGCCTTGCATCGATTAGGTCGCGACGGCCGCATGCAAGAGCTGCTTCAGCTGTGTCTGGAGTTTATAAGCCGATGCCAACCTGTCAAGCCTTGTCTTCTCCCAGTTTACCGCGACGATGTGCCAAAACATCAGCTTCCAGAGCGGAGAAAGGACGCTTTGCCTGAAAACCATGAACTCAGGATTTGGGAAACTGGACAAACGGTCTCTACACAGGTCTTTGGCGTTGTGGAAAGACAGTGGATCCCTTCGGAACTTCCATTGAACCATCCTCATCACCCAGTGACAAAGCTCGTCACTCCTGAACTACAGCGACGCATCGTGAGATGGGGGTTCCAAGCCGCTATTGGCCGAAAAAGGTCTTCAGTTATTGGACGTAGCAGAGGGTCAAAGGTCACCGATCTAGCTGTAGATGGCATCATGTCCTACGATCTCGCACAAGGTGTGCGAACTTTGGCGATTCTGCGAGACCGAGGGGTGGCTATCGAAGAGGCTCTCATCGCGAAAGCGATTTGCCGTCGTATGGCCCTAGCCGAGTCATCAAGCTACCGACACAAACAGCGAAGCCAGCAAGAAATATCACCAGAACATGTTAAAGCTGCAGTGGACTCTGCTTGGGGTACCGAACTTCTGCCTTCACCATCTCAGTTCAGCCGACTAGTCGATCAACACAAACTGATCGTCTGGAACCAGTTCCCAACGTTGTTCAGGCGACAATATGATGGGCTCAGGCCAGTCGAGGCCCAGGACAAGCCACTACGTCGAAGCAAGCTGAGCAAGCCTGAATTAACCCTTTGGCAGAAGAAACGGCAGAGGAACTTAGTCCGGCGTTAGCTAGAAAGTCGTGCGCTCATGTATAAAGTCCTATAATGTATATACTTTAATGTATCAGAATATGTACATAAACACCAAAGACTCCGGTTGCCCCATGCTTTGCTCATGCGAAGTCACCCCAAGACGTTGTGCCATACAGAATCTTTGCAGGCTAGCCACAATCAATGCCGTTTGGGCTTGATGAGGAGCAGAATGAAGAGACCCGCGACTAACAGGAAGAGAAGTAGAATGATCTTCCTCTTTGTTGTTCTTCGCTGGTACCCGGAGGCAACCTTGATCTCCTTATCTGCCTCTTTCACATCTGTGTGCATGCGCTCCACGTTGTAGTCGATTCTGTCCAGCATGGTGCCTTGATCGATGACCATAGTTTGTAGATCTCGGAAGAGATCTGATAACTCAATAATGCCTTGCGCAATCTCTTCTATCTCACGCTCTCGCTGGGCAATTACAGCATCGTTTGAATGCAGCATCTTTTGCTGCTGTGCTTGCAATGTTGACTGTGAAAATACTCGATCGGCGTCAGACTCTTGCATCGAAGGATCCAGGTAGGAGCCGCCAGGCTGCGGTGTCGAGGCACGTTCTCCAGGTGAGAGAGGCCCCATGCCGCCCATGCCGCGTAGTTCTATGGATCATCAGTATAGGTACCTAGGTGTGAGATGAGACTGGGACACTCACTTTTGAGGTAAGCGCTCTGTCTTTTCCGAAATCTCGAGCTAGCGTCCTGCACCCTTGTGGCCAAAGATATCTGAATGTTCTTTGCCATGGTTTCCTCGGCGTTACTGATCGTACCAGCCTGTCTGGACTCGCGCACCATCTGTTCAATGCGCTGTATGCAGCGATGACATTCGTGGAACCCCTTTGTTATCTCGTGTGTGAGCTTTTCGATTTTCTGCTCTTCTGCCTTTTTGGCATCGTCATCATTGAATCCTGGCAGTACATGCTTCTGGTGAAGCTTGTCGAGGCTATGCCCCTTGGTCGCAATCTCAGAGAGCAAGTCGGTAATCTCAGCTGATATATCTGCCCATCGAGGGGGGAGGAGGTCCATTTCGATCACCGCGTCGCCATCGTCATCGAGTGCACCCCCTGATAGGAGGCCGCGGCTGTCCTCGGGCGCATAATCGGAATATGGAGTGCTTCCAGGGCCTAATCCGCCGACAGCGTATCGGTTCCTCGAGATCGGGTGATGCGCATACGACTGACGGTAGGAGATGTAGCTATACCACGAAATCAGCCAACGCCGACAAGTGACAGTCTGGGGTCCAACAGGTTCGTGCGGTCGCGCCACATGGCGGACGCAGAGCACAGCCCAAGCGAGCGCTCAACGTGTGGTCCTGGGTTGCACTTCGTTTGTAATGTCAATTCGTGCACAGAAGAATTGGTCGTAAGCCGTGATCGTAAGTCATGAAGAGGCTCCGTATCGCAGATCGCATGTCAATGCTGTATTGTAGGTCCCTAGCTCCCGACGCGCTGGCCCTTTGACATTACGACATCAGGCCAAGGTGTCGGAAACAGAGCGCACTGTGCACATCAACTAAATTGCCGCTATGCTGGCCGCCAATACTGTGAGCACACTGTGCACTGAACTGTACCCCTGTCAATGCCGTCCCGAGTCGTCACCTCAGGCCCGGAACTCAACTGGAGCTTTCAGGGTGGGAGGACCCCGCCAACTCGCTCGCCTCCTGTTTGCCTTGCCCCAAAATCACAACTATTGCTACAACCTACATAACGCACTCATCGCTTTACCGACACACAAAGAACCCCTACAAATTGATTATCACAATGGTGGGTCATTTGCTTGCATCCCAACCACCAACGCTCAGCCCGCAGCATACAGCCATTAGCTTGAGAGGCTCTGCGCTGACAGAAATGGCACTGTTGCTGACACTGATCGCAGGCGGACTCCCTTACCGAAGAGCAGGTCTCCGAGTTCAAGGAGGCATTCTCCCTGTTTGTAAGTGCACCTTATTCCGACTGTTTGACAGCCGTATTGACCAACCATAGGACAAGGACGGCGATGGTACGTCAAATACGTTGAATCCCATGTGCTGCGCGCCATTCCCAAGCTTCATCACCAGGCGAAACGACCCCATGCTCGAAACGAGAAGCACGCTACACCTACCATGAACACATGACTGATATGCCATAGGCCAGATCACCACCAAAGAGCTGGGAACTGTGATGCGCTCGCTGGGGCAGAACCCTTCCGAGTCGGAGCTTCAAGACATGATCAACGAAGTTGACGCCGATAACAATGGCACCATTGACTTCCCTGGTATGGTGGATGCAAGTCCTAAGTCTGGAGGGAATATTGACACTGCCGCAGAATTCCTCACCATGATGGCCCGCAAGATGAAGGACACCGACTCTGAGGAGGAAATTCGGGAGGCTTTCAAGGTCTTTGACCGCGACAACAACGGTTTCATTTCAGCCGCCGAGCTGCGCCACGTTATGACCTCGATCGGCGAGAAACTCACAGATGACGAGGTTGATGAGATGATCCGGGAGGCTGATCAGGATGGCGATGGCCGCATTGACTGTATGTGCTTGCCTCGAGCTAACAGCTGCATGGTCGCTAATTTGACTCCAGACAATGAGTTCGTGCAGCTCATGATGCAGAAGTAAAAGAGAGTGCAGGCACTCGCCTTGAAACTTTCCGTCCTTGTCCCCAGGCTTTGGCGTCGCGGTCCAGGATCGTTCCTGTTTCTTTCCTTGATGTTGGCAATATTATGAGCGATGTGAGGTCAACCGGAGACACAAGATACTCAGTGCATAGACTGAATGATTGAAATAGTCGATGCTAGCTTTGTTCGTGGTGACTTGCGCCTCCCTGGGTGATACATGTATGTTAGTATAAGGTTATGTAGTGACGATCCAGACGGTCCAAGGTCTACTACTCAGGTCGCTGCACCCACATCTGCATGCACTATGAGACTTTAGTTCCACAGGCCCAGAATATTAAAAATGTACCAGAGTCGAGCAAAAGACGTTTGTACTGTAGTAGGTCTGGTTATTTCAGAATTGATGTATTTCAGGTGATAGTGGCGGATCGGCTCGATGCTTTTCCGACGTTCGGAGCTCCAGTCCTTTGACGGCATCATCCAGACTCGGATCGCAGCTCACGGGCTTGGCTGCGGCGCCCCACGTTGAAATGTCGCAGCCTTGGCTACGACAGCACCCCTACTGAACAACATCGATTCGAACCGGAACAATCACGGCAAGGTCGACACGTTCTGCACCGAGTCCATCGCGAGGTTTTGGCTCACTTTTTTTGCGCTCAATAGAAGCTTCTATTCTGAGTACAAGCTCTATACGACGCTGTTTCAGCTACCGCCAGTTGACCCCTGGACAGGCCATCAGGCGACCTCGTCCGCCTGGCGAGACGATACACCGTCACGATGAGCTCCTGTACGTTCCCAGCATAGGGTCATGTATTCCTTGTACTGAAAGATCGGCCAGTGAAGCAGTTCATCCGCAATGTTCGCGCTGCCAAGACGATCGCAGACGAACGCGCCGTCATCCAGAAGGAAAGCGCTGCCATAAGAGCCAGCTTTCGAGAAGAGACACACGACCACAACGTTCGGTATGATGGATACTATCAATTCAGGAAGGCAACCTCGCTGATTGTCTAGACGAAACAATGTCGCCAAGCTACTATACCTATTCACCCTCGGCGAAAGGACACATTTCGGGCAGATCGAGTGCTTGAAGCTCCTAGCATCCCCACGCTTTGCTGACAAGCGGCTGGGCCATTTGGCCACGAGTTTGCTGCTGGATGAGAACCAAGAGGTATTGACTCTTGTCACAAACTCTCTCAAGAAGTACAGCCGACTTCGCTATTGGCTTGATGTTGATACTGACTCTCGCAGCGATCTTGGTCATTCGAACCAGTATGTCGTCGGCCTCGCTTTGTGTACCCTCGGCAATATCGCATCCGTTGAGATGTCCCGTGATCTCTTCCCCGAAATCGAAAACCTTATTGCCACCAGCAACCCCTACATTCGTCGCAAGGCTGCCCTCTGCGCCATGCGCATTTGTCGTAAGGTGCCGGATCTACAGGAGCATTTCTTCGATAAGGCCACGCAGTTGATCTCGGATCGCAACCATGGTGTTCTTCTCTGCGGACTGACACTCATTACTGGGTTGTGCGAAGCGGATGAGGAGGAAGGGGGCGAGGAAGGCATCGTCGAGAAGTTTAGGTCTTTTGTGCCTGGACTGGTCAAGACCTTGAAAGCGTTGTCGACTTCAGGATATGCGCCTGAACACGACGTTACAGGGATTACTGACCCCTTCCTCCAAGTCAAGATCCTTCGGTTGCTGAGAGTACTTGCTGTCGGGGACGCCGAGACGAGCGAACAGATCAACGACATTCTCGCCCAAGTCGCGACGAACACAGACTCTTCCAAAAACGTTGGAAACTCGATCCTATACGAAGCGGTTCTTACAATTCTCGACATCGAAGCGGACTCGGGTCTCCGTGTGCTTGGTGTGAACATTCTGGGTAAATTCTTGTCGAACCGGGACAACAACATTCGATACGTTGCCCTCAATACGCTAATCAAGGTGGTGGCAATCGAGCCCAATGCCGTGCAACGACACAGAAATACAATCCTCGAATGCTTGAGGGACCCTGATATCAGCATCAGGAGGAGGGCGCTGGATCTCAGTTTCACCTTGATCAACGAGGGCAACGTGCGCGTGCTCATCAGGGAATTGTTGGCATTCTTGGAAGTCGCCGATAACGAATTCAAGCCGACAATGACTAGCCAGATTGGCATTGCGGCGGACAGGTACGCACCAAATAAGCGTTGGCATTTCGACACGATGCTTCGAGTGCTCTCCTTGGCCGGTAATTACGTCAAAGAGCAGATTCTCTCGTCATTCGTGCGACTGATCGCCACGACACCCGAGCTGCAGACCTATGCCGTTCAGAAACTTTACGTCAACTTGAAGAAAGACATTACACAGGAGAGTCTTGCCCAGGCTGGTGCCTGGTGCATCGGCGAATTCGCTGATGCCCTGCTCCGGGGAGGCCAATATGAAGAAGAGGAGGTAGTGAAGGAGGTCAAGGAGAGCGAGATTCTGGACCTGTTCACCATGATCCTTAACAGCAGCTACGCATCACAAGTGTCGACCGAGTACATCATCACTGCCTTGATGAAGCTGACTACCCGCTTCACGGACCAGACGCAGGTAGAGCGGGTGCGTCAATTGTTACAATACTACCAAACTAGCTTGGACGTCGAGGTGCAACAGCGCGCGGTCGAGTATAGCAACCTCTTCTCCTTCGACCAGATTCGACGTGGTGTCTTGGAAAAGATGCCGCCGCCCCAGATCAAGGAAGAATCCAGAGTGCTTGGACCGGCCGCCACGAAGAAAGCCAAGGCCAGCAACCGCAAATCGAAAATCATCAAACCATCTGAGCAGGATCTCCTCGATATTATGGATGGCCCCGCATCCCAAACAACAGCTGGACCTCCTTCTACCAACAACTCGGATTTATTAGCAGACATCCTTGGCGGTGGTCCCTCATCGCCTCCGCCCACCTCCCAGTCACCAACTCCGCAAGGGAACAACATGTCTTCTATCATGGACCTCTTCGGATCCCAGCCTTCTGGTGGGACTTCATCTCCCGCTCCTCCATCATCTAACCTCGACATCATGGGCGGCATGTCCACTCCGCCGTCCCAGCAACAGCAAACCCCAGCCAGTGTTCCCTGCTACGATGCAAATGGCTTGTGCGTGACTTTCCAGTTGCAGCGTAACGCGGAGGGCACTATCCAAGCCACAGCCCGCTTCCAGAACTCGTCGTCAGACACTTTGTCCAATGTGGGTTTGCAGGCTGCTGTGCCCAAGTCGCAAAAGCTTCAGCTTCAAAGCATTTCGTCCTCAGAGCTGGCGCCAGCCTCGGAAGCCTCACAAGTCATGAGAGTATCTGGCTGCAAAGGAGTATGTTTACCCAGCATTCCTTGCCATGCGTTTCAGTCACTAACTCTATTCAGCCTTTGCGACTGCGTTTGCGAATTGGATACAATCACCCGAGTGCCGGACAGCTGATGGAGCAGGTGAACTGGACGGAACCTTCATAGGCTCGAGGAACTAGAACGTGATCAGCGGGCTCGGAGCCTCCACATTGCGTGGGATGCCGTGCGCTGTCACAAAAAGTGGCTGAGAGCGGCTCTGCTTGCTTTTCTTGCAATTGCCGGATTTAGGGGATTTGCAATATCATCGTAGGACCCATCGATCAGCAGGGCACTACATGAAGAAAAAGATTCGATTTTACCGAGCTTCTGTGACCTGACCTAACCTGCTCGCAGTTGCAAACGCCTGGTATCATCTATAGTATGCATACCGCCCACACCCAGCCACTGTAAACTCCTTTTGTGTAGACAAAATGGCTCCGCGAAAATTCGCTGTGCGTTTGCGTTGTGCACTATCCGAAAAGATCCTCTGCGCGCTGTCTGGGCTTGTTCTTCCGTCCTTCCAACAGCTCCTTGCCCGCGTTGGTCCCACCCAACTTGGATGGAAACAGCTCCTTTGCATTGGCAGCAGAGCCCCTGATGCTGAAACCTTGCCCAACTTCGCCTCGTTGGTTCGCTGACCCACGAATGTTGAAGCTGTCGGCCCCCTTGCGCGGTACAGAAGGCGCGTCGACTACCCTCGGACGGTCCTCTTCTCTAAGGCGGGCCGATCCAATGGCGCTCTCCAGCTGGTCGAGTTGACCGCCGCGTCCAGAGGCCTTGGTGGGGAAAAGCTCTTTCGAGCGGTTGTTGCCGTTTGATATCCTCTCCTTGAGCGACCGGGCCGTAGCCCTGTTCCCGTGAGAGCTCGCCCGCCCCCCTTCGCCCATGGAATTGTCACCGTCATTGTCCCGTCGCGGGGACAAGGATCTATCATTTCTCCTCCTGCTGCTCCGTCCGCCGCTCGCAAACAGCTCCTTGCCTTTATTATCAGGTCGGTTGTGCTCGGAGAAATCTGAGGAGCGACGGCGCTGCGGCTTGGGCGCATCGTCGTACATGCTTGCTTCGAATCGGATGCCCGTCTCCTCTCTCGACTCACGTCTCCGGCCCCGGCTGTCGTTGCGACGGTGGTCTCTATCGCGGTATCGTCGCTGCTGTTGGTGTCGCCTGCGCTCCTCGGGATCATATTCGGGGTTGAGAAGGTAAAAGCGACTGCGTTGGGCCGCGCCGGGCGCTTTCTTGTCAGAGAGGACGGCGTAACGGACATGGAGAGAGATCTCGGGTCGTCCCTCGAGAGGCTTGGCGACCAAGCTCTCGCCGACGGAGAGGGCAGTCGGGTCGGCAATTGCAATAGATGATAGTGCGATCAAGGCATCGCGTGCGGAGGACTCTGATGGAAAGTTGAGATTGGCCGACGAGTCGTCGATCCACTCGACGCGATCGGTGTCGCCATAGTGCGCCTTGACGTATTTTTTTATGTCGTCGGTGTTCATTGTGTCGAGGCCGTGGATATGTACTTTTGTCGGGACTATAGTCCGCGCTTCGTCGCTCTTGTCAACTATGGGATCTTCGACAACCTCGCCCAGTTCTTCTGGCTCATCGGGTTGCTAAAGACAGTGCATCAGTAAAGGTGGTGTCATCGACGCTGTGCGCTAGAAGTTCGTACAAGGATGTCATCGGCAGTCGAGTTTAGGATCTGCTCTTCCATGAGAGGCTCCTGGACGGCATCGTCCATTTCAATGTCGAGATCCATGATGGGGAGAATTGAGGATTTCCGAGCCACAAAAAGGAGCAGGATTGAATGAAAGAAGAGCGATCACTGGTGCTGTTGAAAATTGTCCTTCGAACGGTTTCAAGGTAGGCAACGATAGCGGATAATGTGACTGAAGGTTGGGTGGGATATTGGATGCTAAATATGGATGCGCGACGGAGACCCTGACAGAAGAAGCGCGGTGGAAGTTCAATCCGTCAGTCGGCAAGTGGATACCTCACCTCACCTCACTCACGGGCCACGGCGAGGAGTAAGTTCCAGGTTCTTTATTCTCTGCAGGATAGTTCGCACCGCCATCATTGCGTTTCCAAGGCACTCTATTCATCTAAACTCTGCGTTTGTATTGGAAGGCTCGTGCCCACAGCCGTTTGATCTCGCCCTTGGTATCTTAGTGTTGTCTATCTAATTCAAAACGCCAGCCCGTCTGTCCAGCAAGTCTACAAACCGAATCGGTCCATCATCAAACATCCCAAAGCGCCTTGCTCAAAATACAACACCGGGTGTCATCTACGCAACCGCGTCGTTGACGACTCAGCTGATCTCTACCAGGCCGGGCATGCTGCACGCGTTCTCTTCTTGGCCTGCAGCTCATCGCTTTCGCCCATCGTATGGCCACTCGAAATTTCGGCACTGCTTCGTTTCGCAGGTAGCCGCGCGCACGAATCTGAACCTGTCCAGATGGCGTGCTCTCCTCCGACGGGACCGTCCAGTTGTTTGTCGCCCTCCCAACTGCACTCCAAGCCCTCGACATAAGTCGGCATCTTCCTGATGCTCTGCCACGACAGGCTGTGTTCCCGCGGTGCAATGTACATTGCCTGAATGCGTCCATTGCTGTCGCAGACAGCGCAGTGGCTACGCAGGAACTCAAAATCTCGAGGCTCCTTGCTCAGACTGGCACTAAGAGGACGAAGCATAGGCAACCCTTCCAAGTCTCTGGCATCGCATATTCGGACCTGCAGGGGCTCCCACGGTGCACCCTGCAGAACTTCTCGAAAGGCCGTGCTCACGGACGTTGAGAAGGACTCCTCGTCCGTGCCAGATACGGCTACCATCCGCTGCAAGCCGCGAGACAAACATCGCTTATATGCCACGGTGTCTTTCTCGAAGGGAAAGGGCTGTCTCTGTGAGGGAAGAATCGATACATGTACAGTCCATGATTTAGAGGAGCCTGAAGTATCCGCGACGCTGGACCTCGGCGTTGCCAACTGCGTATTGGGCCGGTAAAGGTTCAATGGTTGAGGGAGTGATCGTGCGCCCGACGATCGTCGACGAACACGTCCTTGCAGCGGCGCGATGGCATTGGTGGTGCACCCAACATCGACCGCCTCCTGCTCTGGGGAAAGTAATGCGTCCATGCCTTCCGCCCCCTCGAGCTTCTCGAGTCTCTCCTCCAACATTTCGTCCGTCTCTAACAGTTCCAAGTTGCGGTTGCGGAGATCCTGGATTTCTTGGCTGGCCCTGTCCAACTGCTCGCCATGGAGACGATGCACCTCTTCAAAATTTACGAGCCTGCGCTGGAGCTGCTCTATAAGCTGCCAGGCGGCCGATATGTTTCGATAAGAACCCTTGATCTCGTTCTGCAGCTCTTCACGCGCCTTGTCCAGTGACTCCTCCATCTGGCTCAGGCGCTCAAGGAGACCGTCTTGCTGCTCCAGCGCCTGGACTCTGGTCGTGATTGCCGTGAGATCATCTTGCCTCCCCGGGGAACTAGCACCCGCGCTGGGCAGATGGAAGCAAGCCTGATGGCCGCAGTCGCAGGTAGCACCGGGTAAGGAGAGTCTGCGGCTGAAGGTGACACAGGCACACCGATGGCCCTTGACATCTGTCTGTGTTAAAATGTAGCGACATTGCCCTTGCGGAAGTTGGGAATCATCGGGTGAGGATGCCGAGGGCGGAGAGGGTGCCGGCGGTGGCAGCATCTGCAGAGGTTCGGCAAGCGGCGGAGCCATGACAAACTAATAATCAGGACAGAGGCTTCGAGTACTGGCAGCGTTCAACCACTTGGCTTGGTCCACGGGTCAGGGTACTTCAAGCATATTAGGCGCAAAGGATACCAAACCTTTGGAAAAAAGGAAGAGAAATGAGGCGTCCATCGGGAACAAAAACGAAGAGCAGGTCTGGCCAGGGGCAGTGGCATTTGATAATGACTACGGATAGACTAGATATTGATCGAGCTCTGCTGGCGTCTTGCTTCACCCACGTTTCCACAATCGCAAACGCAAGCGGACCGGAATTGGCACCTGTCTAGGGGCGGCCCGCGGTGTGGTGGGATGAATCGCCTTCAAGCTCCATGTGAACTTGTCAAGGCCTTCGTCAGGCGCGGCTCTGGCGCGAAATTCAATACGACACAGCGAAGTTGTACGCACCCCCCCCCCCCCCCCCTCTGTCCGTCAAACGCAAGGTCAGGCGTGCTTTTGATACGGCGTGGGATACGGATAATGACAGTCTATCTAACTAACTATGTGCAAACATCGGGTTGGATTTGGGGCGAGCATTCGGCGGTGTGCGGAATGTGACTTGCTGGTGGGCTGCCACGTCTGGCCTTATCAAAGGCTGCGCGCGCAAACTACGTACGTTTGATAGGCATCTGGCAGCTTGCGGGCGCAGCGAGGGCGTTAGCAGCCCGCTATGAAGCTTTGTCCCACGAAACCAGGGGTCAGGCGAAGGGAGACTGCCCCTTTAGTGCAGGTCCAGGGACGAATGCGCAGTTTGTTCCCTAATCACTGCGGCAGTGTGCCACGCCAGGCGCCCAAGGCCGGTGTGGGGGCTCTTGGGACCCAGATAACAGCGCTCTTCTGATTAGCTGTGGGCAAGGCTCGAGGTCGCGACCCTGGGGGTCTTCGGGGTTCCTGGTGCTTAAAAGCTTTACAGCGCGGGCGTAAATGGCCGTCCATCCGGGGTCATCCAGGGCACGGCTGCTTCGTTATCATGATCTGACCTGATCCGGCCTCCAGGTGACGATCCGTCCTGTTGCGCCATCGATAGGCGATCTTCTAGTGCGACATGTGTCTTGCGAATGAAGCCTAGGCCCTAGGTCGCCCGCCGGTGAACAATCCAAGCAAGAGACTAAGGTAGTTATCCTCATCGATAAGCACCTCAATCGGGGGACCTGGGCAAGCTTGGGGAACCAACCCCCCACCTCCATCCATCCTTTGGACCGGGTAGCCTTCCGAGACATTGTCGCTTTGATCTATATGTACGGTAACGATACCAACCTCACCTCATCGAAAACCCTTTCCCGGCGACTGGCCACCGGTGTCGGATGGATGTTCAGAAAATATCGCCGGGAAAGGACCGGCTGGGACCATCAAGCTCTGTAGGCGCGGCAGCGCCATGCATGTGCCTGCTGGCCTTACGTACTTGGAATTAACTGCCAACTGCTTTGCCTCGTCCACGCCTGAGGGCAGAACCACGTGCCTTGGTTGGAGCATACATCTGGATCGCAAGCCAAGTTTAGCCAGCAGCCGTCGCATGAAAGGGGCGTCTGTCTGACGGTTACCATTCCCAACACACTCATCGTTATACTCCGACTGCACGCAGGGTTTCTGCGTGCATACGTTGACCGCGTTTTCGTTGCACTAAACACGTGTCTTGAAGCATGTGAACGTGCAATGGGAAGTTTTTCCAATATCGTATCGTCGCTGATCGAGACGTATGCAAAGTGTCTCACACTGCTCAAGGGTGCCCACGGGAGCTCACGCAATGACAATGAACATGGAAACTCGTCATTGAAGCATGCACTGCGCAAAGCTCGTTCGAGGATCCAAGGCAACTACTCGAGAAGGCTATCGCAGAGTGGTCGCTCTTTCGAAAAGGGGGATGGTTCGTTACCTGTAATCCCCAGATAGGACTCCGTGCTGAATGAAGACGAAAGCGAACTCCAGAAGCTCCCTGAGACGGATCGTCCGACGTCTACGAGCGGCCTTGGTCAGCGCCACAGAAGATTCCCCATCAAAGCATGGGCTCGATTATGCCTCGCTGGTGTCTTTGTGCGACTCTTCTCGTTCAGAGGCGATTCGGACAATGACTGATCTTTCAAGCCGCATTGCAAGTTCCCCACGACTACCCTCGCGGGCCAGCGGGGGCAGCAGCCACGTTAGCTCCCGGAAATCCAGTCGGGGCGACAAACCTTCGCGGGGCCACTCTCTCGATGCTAAGAGGCAACGCTCACGCCGTCATCGTGTGTCGCTGGATAGACGATACTCCAAAATCACCAGCTCATCAGACAGCACCAAGCTGGGCGAGGTGAGATGGCGTAGCGCGAGCGACAGGGGCCGCGAGGCGGCGTATCCCTGGCGATCTATGGATTCGGGTGGCAGCAGTGCTCGGAAGAAGGGCGCGAAATGGTGGAAGCTGTTTTGAGCAATCGTTCAAGTGCGCATCCGCGCTGGCTGGGTGTTGAACCTCGATTCTTAAATACCAGCCTACCCTGTAATGGTTGACACTGCTCGTGTCAATGTCTTCGTCCAACCAACTCGATGCTATCATATACGGGTTTGCCCATTTGGCTTGATGCTCTCTTTATTCACGACAGCCGACGCAATATATTCGTGGGCCAGTTTTGGACGTGATTCACTGAGATTGGAGCATTGTTATTTCACAAGTTGAGGATTGTCATAATGTTAGAACAGCATACCAAATCACGAATTGACAGCAATTGAAGGCAGCCTTGTGACCCCTTGAACAACTCAACTAAGCGAGGAGATTTAGATGGACTACTACCTAGCTCTGCTCAGATTCAACAGGTGACCAAACCAAGGCCTCGCCTTGGTGTTGGCCATGATGCTCCCTGGGCGGTGGATGCCCCGCGAAAAATTGCCCCGCCACGGTGCGTGAGTCGCCTGTTTTGGTGGGCCAGGCCAACCTCATCACACGAGCCATCAACCTGAGTGACCCCAAAACTCAGCCAGCAACAGCAATCTCAACCGCGCGGCACACGACACTTGACCGGCCACAGGAGATGCGTCGATAATTGTCCCTACAAAAATGCCATCGGACCCCGCCGCTGCACTCAGCGCCTTGCTGCGCTCTTCCACCATCCATGACCACGAGGAGTACCTCAAGGCTGCCAACGCCGCCTTGAAAGCGAACAAGTCCGACATCACGAGCCAGCACACCCGGGTCGTCGCCCTCCTGAGTCTCGACCGCTTCGAAGATGCCGTGCGCGCCATTGGCGAGGGCGGCGATAGGCTGGCCGAGCAGTGTGTTCTGGAAAAGACCTATGCCTTTTACAAGATCGGCAAGTTGGAAGAGGCCACGGCGCTGCTAGAGTCGGCAGGCGACAAGGATCGTGGCCTCGAGCACTTGGCAGCGCAGGTCGCGTACCGCGCAGACAGGTTTGGGGACGCCATTCAGATATACGACAGGCTCGCGCGTAGTGAGGACCTCGGGGACGAGGAGAATGACGTGACAATCAACCGGAGAGCTGTCGCCGCGCAGATGGTCTGGCAAGGGGTTGGCGTGCAAGAAGTTGACGAAGATGATTTGGATACATTCGAGCTGTGCTACAACGTCGCCTGCGCCCACATCGCGAGGGGCAATTTCGATAAGGCGTCAGAGCTTCTCCAGAGGGCAGCTAGGCTGTGTGACGGATCGGACGAATTGACCGACGAGGACAAGCAGGCGGAGATGCAGCCGATACTGGCGCAGCAGGCCTATGTGTATGCCAAACTCGGCAAGACCAAGGAGGCCACTGACCTCTACAAGTCTTTGAGCCAAGCAGGGTAAGGGGACACCCGGCGATATCTCAACCAGAGCCTCGCTAACATACACAGCACCGAGGACCAAGACCTCACACTTGTCGTGGGCAACAACCAGTCTATACTAGACGCGGAGACCACCAACCCCTTCCTCGTCCAGCGAAAGGCCGATGCTCTGTCACAAAAGGCGCATAATGCAAAGCTGTTCAAGTACCAGTCCGACATTCTCGCCCGAAACAGCCTCGTCGTCGATCTTAACGCCCAAAAGGTGGACGGCATCAGCAAAAGGACGGCTGGCTCACTCTCCAAAGCGCAGATGCCTTCCACGCAAGCCTCGAACAACTCTCTCTCGGTTCTCAACGCAGCTGCCGGTGCCCACGGGTTGTCCGAGGGCGAGCTTCCACGCAAGCTCCAAGACATGCTGCGCAAGAGCTCTGACGACCTCGGCCTTGCACTCACCATTGTTCAAGTCCAATTAAAGCAGGGCAAAATCGGCGCGGCCCTGTCCACGCTCGAGGCGTTCCTCGCGCGCCTGGAAGCGAAAGAGGAGGCACATGCTAAGGATGCTCGGTTCAGCCCCGGCGTAGTGGCTCTGAACGTGTCACTCATGCGGAACCAGGGGCGCGAGGCGTCGGCCAAGACCGAGCTCGTCAAGTCGGCGCGTTACTGGAAAGACCGTCCTGCCGGCTTCGCGACGGCTCTTTTGAGGGAAGCTGGCATTGAGCTGCTCCGCTCGTCCAGCTCCGAGGAACTTGACCTGGCGGGGTCCGCTTTTGAAAAGCTCTTCAAAGAGAATCATGGCACGCACATTGCCGCCGCCGGGCTAGTTGCCTCCCTAGCCACTTCGGATCCCCAAAAGGCGGAGCAGTACATCGGCCAGCTCCCGGCCGTGAATGATCTGATTGGCGCCGTGGACGTGAAGAGTCTCATAGCAACGGGCGTAGCCAGCCTTCCCAAATTATCTGCAGCCCCCAAGCGCCGCGCAACCGACGACGACGCGGACACGAAGGCCGCCAAGAAACGCCGGAAGCGCAAGCTCCCTGAGAACTACGACCCGAACAAGACCCCGGACCCTGAGCGCTGGCTGCCGCTACGAGACCGGTCGTCATATCGGCCCAAGGGGAAGAAGGGTAAGAAGAAGGTCGCAGAATCTACACAGGGCGGCGTTGCCAAGGAAGAGGAGAAACTGGGACTTGTCGGCGGTGGCGATGTCAAGGTCGAGCGCGCCCCTGCCGCTGGGGCTGCCAGCAAAAAGAAGAAAAAGGGTAAGAAATAAAAGGTCAAGAGGCCACTAAGGCGCTTAACGAATCAGCTTTGTCATCTTTCTATTCTAAATAGTTGCTCCCAGATAACTAGATGAGTGTGTGTGTGTGTGTGTGTGTGTGGAACGATCATGTGCGCCCTGCTAAACCAGCCGTCATCATGCGTACAATCGCATCAAGGGGTTTTCACGTGGTATTGTCGCTACAAGCTCATGTCACCCCTTTTTGTCTCCAACTCCGATGCGTCGCTAAAATTGTACAATAAGTCCGTGGCAATCTGTCTCATGTGCCCTCTCAGTTACTTGCAACGGGCAGAGCGCGACTAGACGGCTGCAAGGAGTGTGTGGGTGATCCGTCGCCTTCCCTCTGTCCGTCGGCGGCGGCTCTATCGACTGTGCCACCATGCCCCCCCTGGATATAGTCTTCTTCCTCGTCTTCTCCCTCAGCTGTTTCAATTGGGGGTAGCGGGGAGCGTCTGCCATCCGAAAAGCTCACAGCTGCCTCACTCTCCCCATCCGAAGGAACTCCAAGGCGTCGGCTGTTCGAAACACTCCGACTAGCATGCGTCGAGGAGAATTTGCGGTGTAACTCGCGGAAGCTCCGCGCAGTCGCTGTGCTAGCACTGGCACCCGACTCTCTGCGTGAAGGTGTTCCCTCTGACTCTGGCAAATCACCCGCCGCGGAGTAGAAATCATCGTCCTCGCCGTTGCTGAGAGCTGGAGACATTGGCACATCCACCACGGACTGCTTCCGAGCCCGGAGCTTGTCTTCGTGGGACATGTTTTGCAGCTCCGATCCAAAGTTGATGACCGATGCTTTCTTGCCATGGACAACGAAACTGCCCGTCCCTCGGGCGAGCATGCTCTCAGGCTCAGGCTCATCGCTGGCACCAGTCGCTGGCTCACGATCCTTCCCGCGTCTGCTGCGGTGGTGGGAGAGGTGCCCAGCACCTTCCCGAAGTGTCCGTTGCAAGCTGCGACGGATCTTGTTCTTGTCATTTCTGTCGCGATCAAGCGCTAGAGCCTGTTCACCAGGATCGTCGACGTTCGAAGTGGTTCCCTTTTCTGAGGCCTCCTTACTCGAAGTGGCTTCGAGTAAGCCGGCTTGTTTCAGCAGGTCACGCTCCTCAGCGTCGACATCCACATCATGATCATCATGACTATCACTGGATAGCGGTCTCGCCTTGGCTGTTCGTGGCTGCGGCGTCTGTTCCAACAGTTGGGCGGTAGCACTAGAATTTGGGTCCTCGTCCACACAATCTCCTTCGTGCCGCGTCCCGGACATGTCTCCCGGAGCCCCAGAGCCAGCTGCGGTCTGTGGGGGAGTTAGAAACTCTTGATCCAGTGGCGAAGTAAACTCTTCGTGCTTCTCCACAGGACTTGCCAAAGCTTGACCTTGCGAATCCACTGGGGTCTGTGAGTCCTTCTTGATAAGGGATTGCCGCTTGGCCCTGGACTCCCCACGCGACAAGGAAAAGCGCGAAGGGGGCGATGATGCTCTTCCTCGTGAAGATGACTGACTCGGCTGAGAGGTGAGCGGTGTGGCTCGGGACAGTGGTGTAGGATTATCCTCCTCGAGGTCCAGCCGTAGAATATCAAGATGGCACTTCTCCCTCCACATCTCCATCCGAGTCCACTTCAGTCTGGCCGACATTTGCGCCGCAGCTGCGAGCATGCCATCTCGCGTCCGCGGCTGAATGGGGGCGAGGATTTGCAAATGGCGTGCATTGCGCAGCTGACCCTCTAGTTCCTGCTGAGATACCCTGACCTTTTCTTCGCCCTCTTCAATCTTATTCTTCATGAAGCCGCGTCTGGCTGTTTGGATGTCTTCGGCCATTTGGTGATCAATTTGGCTTTTGACCACCGATACCTGTCCTGTGGGCGTGTCGATGAGCTGAGCAGGATCTGTAGTGTCCAGGCGTCTCAAGCCACGGCGGCCCTGGCCGTCGTAGTTGCCGCCGACAACGCCTCGCATGCGAACGCCCGATGAGCTAAATGCAGCTGCGTAGTTAAGCTTGGCAAGCCAATCATTCATCTCAGCCTCGTTATCGGCCAATAGTACTTCGTCGAGTCCACCAGATCGCACGTACACAAAGGCATTCTTGTGCTTCTTATACTGCGAGTCATGGAGTGCAACAGCCCCATGAGTCGACATAAGACCATCGGGCTTGAAATGCTCCAATGGCGGCTTGAAGATGATCGGGATATCATCGTTACCTGCTTTGATGTGAGATTCGTACTGATGCATCAAACTCTTGATCCAGCTGATGTTCCGAAAGAAGTACAGCTGGGCTCCAGTCAATATCGCACCCCACTCCTGCCACGGCGATCGAGTCTTCCGCTTTTTGGCTTCCTTCCTCCACAGCAGGCCGACCTTTGTGACCTTGATGTCCACGATTCCCGGACCGGCCCCATTCGGGTTCGTGGCGGTATTGTCATTCATGAACGCGTCTGGTCGACTCCGGGCGGAGACAATCTGAAGCACACCAGTCCGGAAGAATGTTTTAGAGAGGTCTTTCAAATTAAGGCTCTGCGAAGAACCTAAATAATTGTAATGCTCCTCGAGATGCATGGCGTCCTTGAGATTCGGCCGTAACGCGTCGAGGTCACCATCTATGAGGAGTGTGTATGGATCAACAGGCTCCTTGAGAGCCCGTTTGGCTGGATCGTTGGGCGCCCCAAGAAGCTGCTTGCGTTTCGTCCTGGAGCCCCTCTCGCTCCTACGATCGAGCTCGTCTTCAACATGTATGAAGGGCGTGTACGTGATGTTGTCGTAGAAACACCCAAGGATCTCGTCGGCGATACCCTCACCGCGGGTGTTCTTTAGATAGTCCGGTTTCTGCATCTTGTAGCGATTGTTCTTGTTGAATACATCGGTATGCAGGATGAGGAGGGAAAATGCGATGAAGTATGCTTGCTCGGTGGTAGCGTAAATACCAGGGTTGCATTCGTGGTAGCGATTTGCGAATGCCTCCAAGAATCTGTCAATGTGCTGGGTTTCCTTGGGAAGTTCAGCTTCCATCAGGAGCTTCCGCAGAGCCATATCCATGGGGTCGCCGAAAAAGCTGAAGCTTCGCATGAAGCTTCGTAGTACGGAAAGGGAGAAGGCGTCGCTGTTTTTGGACACGATCGCCGCAATGACGCCTCTGGTCAGTATTTCCTCTAGACGGGCTAGATATTTAGCAGGCGATTCGTCGTCCTTCCTTTCCGGTAGTGTAACAGCCTCTCTGAGAAGCTGGAGCGAGTTACTCTTCGAAGCAGCCGACCCAGGCGTAGCGGGTGTAATGACGCCCTGGCGACTAAGCTCAGAATTCTGGCGCAAGCGGCTCAGTCCGAGTAGGTCCCCAAAGCTTTTCCTACCTGTCGACGATGACGTACGGGTTGTCGGAGGCATGAGGTGATCATCAGTCGATTCTCTCCCCATAGAGCTCATTGTGGAGGACCTGCCCCTGAGGAAATTGGGTCGTGTGGGAGACGAATGCCCAGACCTCAGATCGGCACCTTGAGAAAAGAGCGCCGTAGCCGGCGCGGGACCTGCACGTTGGGATGCAGGGCCATCGAGTCGGTCAGTGTTACTTCGCAAGATGATACCGCCGCTCGCAGATGGGGGCCGTGGGGTGGATGCCACATTCAGGGATGCCGAAGAACTGGCAGCTGGGGGGGTCTTGTCTTTCTGAGGAAGGTGGGAGAGCGGAAAGAGCGGCTCAGGCGCCTTCTTACTCCTGCGCATGCGGAAGAAGGGATTGCTCGACGGACTCTTCTTGGGTGTCGTGGCCGGGCTCGTGTGCGAAACTCGATCGTTGGAGCTGACATCCGAGCGAGAGGATTCGGATTGGCGGTTGGTCTGAGACGGGGGTGCCATGCCACTGAAGCTTGGAGTTGCTGACGATGTGCGCGGTGACCCAGGTTCATCCAGAGGTGCCAACGACGATCGCCCCTTTTCATCTGCAATGGACTTCCTTTGTGCTCCTGATGGCCGCGCTACTGTTGCATCGTTGGTGTCTCGGGGGAGGTCACTGGAGCGGCGAAATCGAGCGGCTGCCAGGCTCAATCGTGAGGTCTTCTTCTTGACGCCGCCTAGATCGCCAGTCGGGGCCGTTGTGATGATTTCGGGAGCTGGAGTCCGCTGTCAGCAAGATCTAAGAGCATGCGACGTTGTCGCGTGGACCTACGTCGGGGAAGGGGCGGAGGCTTCTCAGCCTGTTGTTTGGCGCGTAGCGAGAGCTGGGAATCGGAAGCGTTACGGAAGCGCAGCACGGAGAATCTCTTGTGCCTGTTGCTCTCCTCTTGTATTGGCGGTGTTCCTGGTCGCGTCGTGGCTGAGGACGCGCGGCTTTGGAGTTCGCTGGGTGCTCCAGCATCATCTCCGGTATAGCTGACGGGCGGCGTCAACTTTGCGTCAGGTTCGGCATCATCAGCGGCAGGTCGTCGTGTACTACTTTCGTTGGGTACATTGGCATTCCCCCGACGTCTCAGGAGCGGCATGTTGACGCTTGCTCATGGTCTGGGCCGTGGCCGTGGGATGATAGTCGAGTTGGTAGTCAGTAGAACGTGGAATTATAGAAGCAATGTGAGGAGGGCACCAAGGCACCGACGGGCGCAGGCCTGAGGGTGCAAGTCCGACAGTGAATCGGCACGGCGCAAGGGCCTAGCAAAGAGCGCAGATAGTATGGAAGCACATTGATCAGACTCTACCGCAAATTGGTACAGAAAGTAAAGAGAATTATCTCAACAATGCTGGCGGTTGAGCACGGTGGATTCTTCCAAGCTCCAGGCCCCGGGGCGAGGGTGGCAGGTAGGTATCCACCAGTGACTGCGGAGCCAGGGACCAAACCATACATCATACATGTACCTTAATACCACAGCTGAGGCAAGGTGCTGTAGGTCCATCTTCTCGTTCAAGGACACTAATTCATAGTTCAATATCAGCCGAGCCGTGAAATGTACCCATCAGGGAGAAGGTTATAGTATCGCTTATTGTCAACGTGGCCATGACTGAAATGGCTGACCGTTGTATTCAGTAATGCGCTGGGTTAGCGAGGTACTGCACTGTAAGGTGGCTGTGCCCGTACTCGCGATTCTCTGACCTAGTATCAATCACTGCACGCCAAACAAGACTGTCCAACCCGCCACATCACCCTTCTGCAGTTGCTCGAAACATTCCTTCCCGACTGCTCGACCCGGTGTGGCGCGCTAGGGCATGTTAATTCGCGATTTTGACGACGATACAATACCAACACCTGAAAACACCCAAGCCAGTGCTGCAACGAACATATAAGCGACGCCACGATGAAGTTGGGTGTCGCAGCATGCATTGCGCCTTTGATCTTTGCCAGCGCTGTCGGCAGCGTCGGGACAGGCGCGCAAACCGAAAGCCGGGCCACATCAGTCCATGGCAATAAGCGACTTTTTCCCTGGTTGACAAAGCTCCGCGATGGCACAGTCGAGGCGATCTTCGGGCGCCATCCTCATAAGCCTGTCCTCGTCCCCGGTCCGATACGGGCGCAGTACGCAGACCAGCTGGTTTTGCGTCTGAACTTGAGCAGTGCTGCAGATGAGGAAGCATTGGGCAAGGCAGTGGACCGTCTCTTCCTTGACGTCTGGTCCTACACCCAAGACTATGTTGATATTCGCCTGGGAAGGAACGAGGTTAAACCACTTCTTGGGTTGCTGCCAGAGACTCTGCACTCGTCGTACTCGGTACTGATCCCCGACTTGGCTGCGGCTGTGTATCGATCGCAGTCATCCAGCGAGCCTGAGACGACAATCATGCCCGAGACTATGTACGCAGACCTTGAATTATCCGAAACGCCTGCGGACCGTGCCGGAGACATCCTCTTCTTCCAGGACTACCAACCTTTGCCAGTGATCATACGATGGATGCAATTGCTTGAAGCCATGTTCCCGTCGTATGTGCGATACATCACGATTGGTAAATCCTTTGAAGACCGCGACATTCCTGCTTTGCGCGTCGGCCTGCCGGTATCATCAGGAACGGCGACAGCGCGCAAGACCATCGTCGTGACCGGTGGCCTGCATGGACGCGAGTGGATCTCGACGACTTCAGTCAACTACTTGGCTTGGGCTTTCATCACTTCCTTTGGAAAAGAGCGCTTGATCACAAAATTACTGGAGCATTTTGACATTGTTTTCGTCCCTGCCGTCAATCCTGATGGCGTCGAATATACTTGGAACGTCGACCGGCTATGGCGCAAGACCAGACAACAGACAAATCTCCGCTACTGCCGTGGCTATGATCTTGATCATGCATTCGGGTTCGAATGGGACAGGACAGGGACTCAGAACGACCCGTGCTCGGAGAGCTACGGTGGTGAGCACTCGTTCCAGGCTGTGGAAGCCATGAGATTAGCCGAATGGGCGAAAAACGAGACCGCCCTCAACAATGTCAAATTTGTCGGGCTGCTGGACCTCCATTCATACTCACAGCAAGTTTTGTTCCCATATTCGTACACGTGCGACGTCGACCCCCCGAACTTGGAGAATTTGGAGGAGCTGGCAGCCGGCATTGCGAAAGCCATTCGTCTTTCCAACGGCGAATCATATTCCGTCACCTCGGCTTGCAAAGGTGCCGTAACCATGAGCGATGGTGGCAGCGGCAGCCATAAAAGAGTCGAGCCGAGGGGCGGCTCAGCTATTGACTGGTTCTACCACGAGTTGCGCGCCCACTTCAGCTACCAGATCAAACTCCGGGACACAGGCGCATACGGCTTCCTTTTGCCGAAGGAGCATATCATCCCAACAGGCGAAGAGATTTTCGATGCGATGAAGTACTTCGGCGACTATCTTTTGGGCAATAATGGTATTGAGCACCTTTCTGACCCAGGGAGTGTGGTACAGCACGCGGCAGAGTCAGAGACCAAGACCGACCCAGGCCTAGAGATGGACGGAATGGAATTGAGGCGCCGCAAGTCACGTCGTTGATCATGGATGAGAGATACATTGTCTCTTAGTTTGGGAGCTATTACTACAAACCCTTCCGGTCTTACTGATCCATAACGTACATGACCGAGGCGTACATGGCCATCAATCTCAGGGCGTTGTCGGACAAGGCCGACACGAGGAAACCGCTGGGATTATTGTCAGCCTTCACACAACCTGTGTTCTGTATGAGAGACTTACAAGACTCTGCCCTTGGGACCGGCGCTGCTGGTGTAGCCAATGACATACGCGAGGCGGCCAAAAGCCCACGTCGCGCCGAGCACGGCTGATGCCATGGGGAAGCGAAGGCCAGAAATGGCGAGGGCACCAAGGAAGGAGGGCTGGTTCTCGATGAAGTTGGCGTGAGCACGTTGGGCTATTGGTCAGGATCGGTCAGCAAGGCGTCATGGATTGGTAGTTGTCTTGTGCGACAGCCAGCGGATGGTGGCACAATGCATTGCTTGATTAGCACTTACCGCAGTTGAAGGTGAAGGCCTTGGGGTTCTTGGCAATCTGCTCATCCGAAGCGTAGGGAGCAGGATACGCGACCCCGCTGGCCCTGCGGCTCGTGCTTGTAAGGTAGAAGTGGTAGGTGTTCAGAAGGAACGTGGAGCTAGCGACGGCCAAGATGTAGCTGATACTTATAAGCGATACGTCCTCATCCACTTCCAGTGGGCAGATTGGATCTTACCCATATTCGTCGGGCAACTGCAGAGTGAAAGGCATCTTTGCGGATCGCTGTGCGCGCGAAACGAAACTGGCGTGGTGGGCGGGATTGTTCTGAGCTCGGTTGATGTGAGGAGGTGACCGGGACGCTTAGTTTTATAGGTATGCCAGACTGCCAGTACTAATTATCACTCCCTCCTATTTTTTTTCTTCAGCTCTTCCCCATGTCCGACTTGCTGAGTTTTGAGCCAAAGTCCGCCACCGCGTTGTCGCATGCCAAGCCCGGCCCGTCGGACGTGAATCCAGGCGCTACGAAATCAGGCATTGACAGCATAGTGCTTTGTACTAGCGATCCAGCAGTAACTAGAGAAGCCCCTCGGTGTATGAACTTGAGTGAGTCTGTGACGACCCCTGCATAATAAGTGGCCGACGCGGAGGTTTGTGTTGGCCCGGCCGCCGACTGGACGCGGACGATTAATTATGTATGGCTCCATGCTGTAGAAACTCCGCAAACGTTAGGCTGCCGTGATGCTGTTAGTACAGGAGAGGAGGCCCAGGTCTTTTGACTCTTTTAAACGTCCATCGCACAGCGACGCGTGCAACACACTCAGCCTGTGCACCTCTCTTCAGGCGGCCTGTATGGCAGGTCCAATGCCTCAAAGACACGCTTCTCTGCGGTGACCATGTCTGGTGCCGGCCCTAGCTCCGGGTCCCTCTCGACACCCACCCAGCTGCCATCAGATCGGCTGCGAATGCCGCTGCTGTCGAATTTCAAGCCCTTCTCAACCTTGCAGTATCGTCGCAGGTCACGCTGAAAGGTAGTACCTCCGCTCCAGCCCAGTACCGCGCAGCCGGCTGTCTTCCAGGGCGTAATGATTATGTCAACTCGTCGATGAGGCGATTTGGCGTCCTGAGGGTTCTTCCATACGACCAGAGCCTTGTCAAGCGTGTCGAAGCCCGAGCCATGCCGGCCTTCGCCCTTCCAAGGCAGCGCTGTCTGACCCCGTTCACTGTTCCGTACAGAGAGGGTCAACGTATGCGTGATGTGCTCGCTTTTCTCAAGTGCGCGCACAATCTTCTCAACGAATCGCAGCGTCTTCGTTTCGTCCGGATGGCTGAGGACTACATCAACGTCGCCGCTCTGGGCTTTACCGCGCCTGTAGCCACCGACTATGACCATCTGGTAACCACCATCTATAGCCTGGGCATGGCCGAGGATGATGTTCCCAATCTCCTCCACTTCTGGCCGGGGGATCTTGAGCTTGAAGTCGTCGTAGAATTTGACGCCGATCTGTTGCACGCGGCTGAGGTGCCCCCAGTTGAATTCGACAATATCATCCAAGTCACGCCATCCCTTATTGTAGAATTCCCGTGCTGTAGTATCGCCGACGCCCCAGATGTCGTAGAATAGTTTCAACACAGACAACCTTTCGTTCTTGCTTCCTTCTTCCGCCTCGGCCAGAGAACCATGCTCCCTCCAGTGCTGGTATAACTCGGCAATCTTCAAGCCGCAGCCGGGCAAGCGCGAGACTTCTGCTGCCTTCTCAGTATCAGAGGCCCTGTGGCACAGGTCCGTGCTTACCGAATGGACTTTGTAGAACATGGGGATATGCTGCCAACGTCGCAATGGAGGTCGAGTACGCCCGGACACCGATAGAATCTCCCTCCAGCAGTCGCAGCTCACGGACCTTCTTCAACTCTTCCACGAAACTTGTGTTGGGCGTCGTCACAGGTGTCGGGCGCTGGCATGAGTATGTTGTGTGCAGGAATGCAGGTATCGGAGGCAAAGGTAGATCGTGCTCCGATGTTGTTTCGTGAACGAGCACTGGTCGTTGAGGTACGACGCTCCGACACCCTGAAGATTTCCGACGCTCACGGCTACGCTTGCGGAGATGTTGAGAAAGCGCAGATTCTGGTAGCCGGACACGGGCCTCTTGCGCGATATCGTCGGTGCCAGCTTGAGATACATGCGTAGGCGCGAGTGCCGGCTGGGGCTCATTTTCAACCTTGGCGCCTTCGTACAGTAAGTAGTTTGATGTCGAGAGGACGGTTCCGGCATCAAGTGAGTCTTCAAGCCATTGCAGACGGACAACTTGAATATGACCTGGCCGGAGGGATTGGATATCATCATGGCCTGCTGAATCAGTGTTATTATAATCTGGATGCGGTCCGTCTGTCCCGCTGCGTCTGGTTGAAGTTTTTGCGCCCTTTACTAGAGGAAACCCAGTACGATGATCTCGGATGGGCTGTAAAGTGTCCGTTGTAAGGACCTTCAGTCGGCGAAGCTCGAAAAGAGCACGCTCACGCCGACTTATTTTTCCCACGAACACCTGAGCTTCCGCTGCGTCCCATGTTAATTCCGCAACCGACCCCTCAATACGGTCCAGCTCTACCGGCGATAGCTTGGTAGGCAAAACGAAAACTCTTGGGAAATGCCCCCTCATGTTGGGCCATTCGGTGAGTGTGCTGTTCCGTCTTGTGTTGACCTCGACCTGTCACGTTCGGCCTCGGAGCGCCTCAGGAAAAGGTTTGCTCGCCTAAACTGGAAGGCATAGTTGGAAAGCCCGTCGTAAAGCTGTACTCACGCAGTTTTCGTGCTCGCCTGTGATGGCGTGTACGAGTTCAATTGAGGGTTTGGGCGCGTGAAGAAATAGTGACGTTTGCCGTCATCCAGACGGAAGACGGGAAACGAGAAGCCAGAAGCGACAACTACAGTCACCACATCTCAGCAGCACGCCAGTAGAATTAAAAACAACAGGCAACACAGGAAACTGGGATCGCAGGTGGCTGTTATTGGTATTATCATTATTATCCAGAGTATCTGCCCTCAGACGTCCTCAAATTCAAGTTCATCGTCGTCCTCGTCGCTAGCAGGAGGCTCTGCCTTGACGTTCGGTTCAGGTTTGGCTTCCGATTCAATCTTCACTCTCTTCGCTTGTCTCTCCTCCGAGCCTATAGATATTTCACCGGAGGCCTCGCGTTTCATGATAGGCGTAGTTGTAGTGGCACGCCCAAAGCTCGCGCCGGTGGTGGGAACGTCCTGGAAACCTTCTTCATCCTCGTCGTCAGATCCAGAGTCATCTTCCTCCTCTGCATCTTTCCGAGATTGCTCCAAGGCCTGCTCTGCCTTTAGCTTCGCAAAAATGTCATCAATCTGGGTCCCGCCGGCTTGAGGGACATCGGCTGGCTTGTCAGCCTCGCCTGCTTCCTTTTTGATTGCGTTGAGGCCCTTGGATGCGGGTTTCCCAACTCCAGGGCCAATCGTTGACTCGACATGCCACGATGGCATTTCGTTCCTCTTAGCCATCTCCGCCTTGCGAGCTTTCTCGGCCTCCTTTTCCGCTTCTGATGGCCCATCGGCCGACTGAATGCTGATATTGATTGTCTGCGGCCCGGTTGTCGAAGACCCTTTCACAGCCAAAGGTCGAGAATCGACAGCAATCGCCTCTGTGTCTGTTCGTTGGTGGGTTTCATCGCGGACGACGGGCAGCCTCTGTTCAAACAACTCCTCGAAATTGCTTTCTTGTATTTCGGCCTGATCGAGTCGGGGCAATGTTTCGGTGATGAACTTGAACTGCTCGTTGAGAAGGGTCGACTGCTCATGGCCGGCGGGATTACGCTCGCGGTCGAATTTGAGGACGTGGCCGCATCGGTGGCAGAGGAAGCCTTGATCGCTGGAGTTGTCGAGAACCTCCATGGCTGTCCATTCCGCCTTGCAGAAAAGGCAAAAGTACTCTTTCTTCTCGTCTGTCTGCACTACGACGCCCTGGACATCCTTGCCCACTGTGTACATTTTCCATTTGATCGCATCGATAGTCTGCCGGTAGTTGATGTAGTAGTATGTTTTATGCACGCTGCGTCCGTTCGCCTTGACCAGCTCCGGCCTGGTTTGTCTATCTGCCGTTAAAGTTGGTCTTGCGTAAGCTGTGAGTGTTTGTAGATACGTACTGTACCAAAAGACGATCTTCTCGCAACTTCCCGCAAAGTTTGTGCAGGTCTTTCGTATTCAGGTTCATCAAATACGAGAGATCATCGTCGCGAATAGTTCGGTGCAAGACGAGAGCATCAATGACCAGGATCTCGCGCGTCGAGTAGAAGGCACGCAACACCGACTTTACCAAGTCTACAGCGAGGTCCATGATCGCAACGACGACTTGCGAGACAGAAGTGCTCGATCGTTCTTTGGTCGCTTCGTCAACTCGTATAGTGTACGTCTGCTCTATACTGTGAAATCGGTGCAAATCAACGACGCAATCGATACAGCGATGAGACGCGCCTTGCACACAAGGACCATCCCACTTGAAACCGTTGGGAATGGGCTTGACACCATGCACATCGCAGACTCTGTCAAGTTCTCGGACCTATGTGTGCATCGGTGTTGGTAGACGCTTGCCGTCATGGGATCCCGAAAATATCTGGCGGTCAGTGCGACAGTGGCTGTATGGCCGACAATAAGCGATGCATGTCTCCTAGAGGTGTCGCGTAACTATTCCGGTTCTTAGAGACCCAACAAGAGCAGCAGGTCGCACAGACGCTGGGGCGTTTTTAGCGCAAGGGCCTGTTAGATGATGACTAAGGTGGCTGTGTAAGGCTAAACTTTCGAGCCACAGCCGACTCAACGCCAGGTCAAGCAAGATCAAGTAACGACAGACAAGCAATCAAGCACCCAGTGTCTGACTTCGATGCCATTAAGATGTAGAGTTTAAAGAATCAAATGAATGGCCAAGAAGAGGCCATTTTTGACATTTTACGGCAACGACTTAAACACCAGCACGTCCCTTCAGGCCAGACGACTACATTCCGTCTCTATTGAACAATCCTGACGGCTCTGTACAGCCTGAACCCTACCAACCGGGGGCGCGCGCATTCCTCAGATGTGAGGAGACATGTCTCTCACGCATATTTACGCAGCTAGATTGGCCATCAGCATTGTCTCGTTAATCAAGGACCACAGAACTTACATCCAACGTTAATGCTCGTGAACTGTTAACCTCTTGATCGCGATACACTCCTACTAAACTCTCACTGTCTTGGAAGAGGCCAGCCTTCAGGCTGATGACGACGAACTGCATGCCTGGTCCAGCGTGATCTCTGATGTACTTCTTGATCTTGTCCACGTTGGCATTGTCGAGCGCTGCATCGACCTCGTCCAGGACAAAGAAAGGACTCGATTGGTAACTGTGAACCGCAAACAGCAATGCCAAGGCGGCCATCGTCTTCTCACCGCCTGAGAGATGTTCCATGTCGCGGAATCGCTTCAGAGGCGGCATGGCGTGATATTTGATACCAGAAAGATACGGCATGTCGGTATCTTCTTCAATGTCGAGATAAGCCTGTCCGCCCAGAGGATACGCTTCAGAACGCGTCAAGTCCCGGTAGACGACCTTTATTTGATCCTGAATGTGGGAAAATGCCTTGTTGAACAGTTCATACCGCTTTTCTTTGATTTCCCGGAAAGCTTCCTTAGCGTTGTGAGCGGCTTTTTTCGAGTCCTCGTACTCCTCATCGGTCTGCTTGAGGCGCGTCTCAACGCCTTCGAGTCGTTCCATTGCGCGCATGTTGGGGTTTAATTTCTCGAGTTCCGAGTTGAGTGACAAGATGTGTTGTTGAAGTTGAGTCTCAACTTCCTCGTCGCCTGATTCTCGATATTCCGGGTCCAGGCTTGAATAGTCAATTTCCACGCCATGGTGCCGGGCAATGTCGTCCGGAGCCTCCTGATCGTCGTCAAGATCCATACCATCGAAATCTGCATGCATGGTTTCGTCTTCCAATGGTAAGTCGTCCAAAGTGCCCTCGACCAAGGGAACTTGAATCTGCTCTAACCGACAACGGCGCAAAAGCGTTGACTTGCTGGAGCTATTCTTGAGGGCAATGTTCTCCAGCTCTGTGATTTCCTTTTGGCGACTCTCGATGCCCTTGCTGCGCTTCTGCAATTCAGCCTTAGCTTCGCTTACCTTCTCTGAGCGCTCGGCAAGCTCGCTTTTGTGTTCGTCGAGAAGCTCGCCAAGTGCCTCCAGTTCAGCCTGCATCTCAAGAACCTTGCTTTGAAGGCTGGACTTTTCCTCTTCAAAAGCCTTGATGTCGTTGACGAGCTTGCGAATGTTGTCGCGAGTGGTCTTAAGACGGGCCTCCGTTTGCTTGTGATTTTCAATCTCCCAATTGAGCCTGTTGTGCAGCTTCTGCTTTTGTACTGAGTACTCCTGGCGCTTCTGATTCGCTTCTTGCTCGAATTTTCCCTGTGAGACTTCGTACGCTCGAATGTCACTGTAACCCAGTCTTGAGCAGAAACTGGCAAAGACTTCATCCTCAACTTGGCTGATGGCGGTCTTGAATCTCTGAGCGTTTGCCCTGACACTCTCCAGCTCTGCTTTCTTTTGGTCGAATTTAGGCTGGATAGCTCGCAACTCCTTCTTCAGACTTTTGACTTCACTCTGCTTGCTTTCGTAGTTTTTGGTGAAGCCTTCGACTTCATCACTCACGACTTTGAGCCTGCGCTCAAGGACAGCCAGCTCGGACTCCAGAGCCTCTTCCTTGCTGCCGTGACGGTCGGCTTTTGGAAGGTTCTCGATTTCTTCCTTCAAATTTTTGGCCGACCTCTCGAGGTTTGGAATGTCTGCCTGTTCGAACCTCCTTTTGCCCTTCGAGTCAGGGCCCCTTCCTCCCGTCATAGTGCCACCTTCATGGATGACAAAGCCATCCAGAGTAACTGCTTCGACAGGGAACCTTTTCTCGAAGCAGATGTGCTTTGCAACTTCAATGGTGTCGCACACGACCGAGTTACCACAAGCGTAGATGATAGCACGCTCAAAAGCCGAATCAAAGTTGACAGTATCGACAGCCAACCTGGCACCCTTGATACCCTTGATGCTCGTGTTCAGCTGCGGGATTTTGATGTTGTCGAGAGGAATGAAGCTCATCGTGGGGAACCGCTGCTCGCGTAGATAGGCAATGCAGTCGGTGCCGACCTTCTCCGTGTCTACGACGACGGAATCAAAGTTTCGACCTAGAGCCACAAGAACAGCCTCCTCGAACTTGTTCTGTTTGGGCTTGCAAAGATCGCCAACACGGCCATGAACACCCGGATAAGCACTTTTGAGAGTAGCAATCATATCCTTTAGTCTCCTCTCCCTATCGCTTTGCCGGCGTCCATCATCAGCGTCCTTGAGCTTTCGAGACACATCCTCAAGCCTCTCCTCGAGAACGGTCCGTTTCTGGCTGCTCTCAATACGCTTTGCTTGCAATCGGTGGAACTCCTTCTTCATGGAGGAGACACTACTGGTTAGCTCCCGTGCAATCGCTTCCGTCGACCTTTTCCTCTCTGCAATCTGCGCCAAGTCGGCCTCATTCCTCTCGATGAGCCTCACATAATAATCGACCTTACTTTCCAGATTCCTGTAGGTGACTTCGTCCGCTTTCTCTGTGCGCTCATATTGCGCAAATCCTTTTTGGTCTGCAGTGGTCTTCAGCATGACCTGAGAGCGAAGGACGTCGTATTCTTTCCTGTCTGCGTCACTGATGTCGCGGCCCTGCTGCCGCATTTGGTCTTTAATCTCCTTCTCAAATCTGGCTTCGGCTTTCACCACATTCTCAACGTCTTTCTGAAGCTTTGCAATGGTGGCAGCTTGCTCGTCGCGTTCGCGTGTGATGCGATCAGTCTTCGACTTGTTCACTTCCAAGCGCCGATTTGTTTCGGCAATCTTCTCATCGTGCGGAATCATAGAATCCTGGGCATCTTCGATACCTCTTTCTATGCCCTTGATATTCTTCTCAATCTTGGAAACTTGACGAGCCGCATTAGACTGATTTTCGCGAGCCACATCCAGCTTTTGCTGAAAGACTTCAACATTCCGCCTCAAATCCTTCAAGTCTTCATGATGACTGTGTATAGCTGCCTTAGAGTCGTCCATTGCCTTCTGAAAGTGATACAACTTCCAGAGCGTGTGCGTGACAATGGCGTTGTCCCTTTCGTCTGCCTTTTTCTGGAAGTTGTCCGCCTCCTTCTTCTGTTCGCGATATTGCTTGATTTCGGAGTTGATGCCACGGCGGCGTTGCAACTGGAAGTTTTGATTCTCAGCTGCCTGCTCAGCCTCGGCTTGTAATCTCTCGTAATCGCCTTTATACTCTAGGCTGCCGGAGATTTGCTCAACCAGCCGGGTCAGATCCTGTGGTGACTGCGAGGCAATGGCTTCGACATCGCCTTGAAAGACGAGAAAGTTCCTCGCCTTGATTAAGATATTCTCAGCCTCTAGCCCTTCGTTGTATTGTTGTGCAGTGACGACGCGGTCGTTGATGCGGTATTCGCTCGCGCCTGAGCTAGTGATCGAGCGTTTCCACCGTTGTTCATCACCTGCATCGTCCTCGTAAACAGCCATGACCCATGCCGTCTTCGGATCACCGCGAGCAGCCTGCTGGCTGCCATTGGGAACTCCATTCGAAGGCCCATTCGCGTCCACGGACCCGTCGTCGTTTATCTTGGAAGTTTGTAGGACGCGGCCGCGGTAGACAAGGTCTTTGAGATGTGCTGAGCGAAGATGCGATGATTTGATACCCAGGACAAAGGATATGGCATCCATGCTTGGTTCGGTTAGCACGTTCTTGAGCGTTTGCTCGACCGGCGTGTAAGACTTACGAATTAGATTTGCCTGATCCATTTGGGCCAATGATGGAGGTGAAATAAGAATCACCAAACAGAAGAGTGTGATGGCCTTTGTAGGACTTAAAGTCTGATCAAGGAGTCAGTAATAGTTGTATCGCGCTTCTTCCGAATAACCTACTGAACAATTCGAGGCGAATAAGTTTCCCCATTATGACCACACTCGCGACGCTCGCCGCGGCGCTATGTTTCTGATACGTGGGCGGTCTTCGAGTTGGCGATAATCAGCAGAATTGAGGACGTCCAGAAGCGCGATCAGAGTGCCTTGAAGGAAATGGTGGGGGTTTGGCGCGCCTGACTAGCAACCAATTTGCTGGGCCAAGGACGCGACGTTTGTAGTTGAGCGCACCTGCTGGGTACCGAACAACGCGTGTTCGAGGAATGGAAGTCAGGACATGCAACAGATCCTGTTGACAAGCGCCACGTCGAGATCTCGACAACCAAGTCCAATGCAAATGTCACACGATGCTGGCTACTAGATTAGGTTCGCGAGGTGACAGTGCAGACGCGACGCGCCTGCTCAAGGTACTAATCACCGCGTCGGCCGATGCCATATTGTGGGTCTTGACTAGCAGTTCTGAAGCTTGCGCCACAACCCCAGGCAGAGCGAGGTGAAGCACAGTTTCGCACTGTAGATCTGCCCACATGGGGAAATGACGACATTTGATTCAGCCGTGAAAGCTGCAACTGATCACGGTACTTTGTACTGGACCACAGGTGCGGGACCACGGGACATGTCTTCAGGGCTAACAAAGCGGCTTGGTCATGCGGCTCGACCGACAGATAGTTCTTTATTAGGGGCTGGCAAGTACGTTGCATTTAACATGTATTTAACGGTCACCGGCCCTCATTGAAGGCTTAGGGAAATGGAAGCAGTTCACTGCTTCCGAGGCTTTGACTAGTATCCCTTCCGCAGCTATAAATCATGGAAATTCAACCATGTGGGTTCTTAATTAGTATGTACATGCAGAAGACATGGACGTTTTGGACTCAACAGTGATCTTAGACTACCACGCCGGGCTCACTGGGTCAAGGACTGAAGTAAACATTGAAGCAAGCAGCAGTGCGGGAATCTAAGCGGAGTCATCTCAATGCCCCACACAGTACGCAACATGAACCCACGAGCTCAAGACCCTTCTCCAACAACAGGAAGTCGTGCCCACAGTCAAGTTCCCAGCGCCTTTGCTACGCAGTCTTAACATTCCTCCTCACCACCAAATGGAGAGCTATTTTCTCTTCCACATAAAAGCCAACGCCGTCCGCCACCTCTCTGCTTGCCATAAATCGGAGGACTTGATCTCTCTCAACCGCCCTGGGCTTTGACAAAGCCTGGCTGTCGACTGATCTGAAGCCCAGTTCGTTCAGCCTACAAGATTACTACTTTTTTTCAAGAACACGGCGCGCTGACTTCGAGAATCAGGATCCGCAACTACGAAACGCGCGCGATGTCGCGCAGTCCAGAATCTGCTCCGGCTTCCACAGCGGCGAATAATCCGGGCGTCCAACCGCCGCTAGAGAATGATGCTGTGTCGCTGCTGAGCTCGTCCCCGCTGGATGACGCCCTCCTCGATACCCCGATGCTTGGTCCGATGACCCCTAAGAGCCCGAGACTTTCAAGGAATCCTTCGTTCTCTGGTAGCAGCTCATACCAAGAGGACTGGGACACGTTGCCGCCATTGGACAGACTTACCGTGCTCGACTTATTGGATAACTTTGCCCTGCCACAGCAGCTGGAGAAGCTCCAACGAAACCTCTCGGCTCAAACAGACAAGGTCCGGAGGTCCAAAGATGCCTTCAAATCCAAAACGCAAGTAGCTCGGGAGCGTCTTGTGGACGAATGGCGACAACGTTTGCCTTCTGCGGATGAGCAGCTGGACCGGTACCGAAAGCGTATGAGGCGACGCGTCGAGAATCTTGGGAAACAATGGAACGACACGAAAGCCATCAGCTTACGCGAGAAGATTTCGTTTATTTGTGGTGTCATGAACATCTTCATCAGTGGATATCTGATCGGCGCTTATCCTGAGTACTTCCACATCTGGTACACTGTCCAGCTCATGTACTTCATGCCCATTCGGTTCTTCACCTATCGCCGGCGCGGTCTGCATTATTTCCTAGCTGATCTTTGCTACTTCACGAACCTTCTTGTTGCGCTGAGTCTCTGGGTTTTCCCGAACTCGAAGCGACTCTTCACCTCGGCGTATTGCTTGGCCTTTGGGAACAATGCTGTGGCGATCATCATGTGGCGCAATTCCCTCGTGTTTCACAGCTTCGACAAGGTCACATCATTGTTCATCCACATGATGCCTTGTGCGACCCTGCATTGTGTCGTCCACTTGCTTGATCCTGAATGGCAGATGGAACGGTTCCCAGCTATATGGGCAATAAAAAATGCGGACCCCGGATCGTCAACAGCGTACGCTAACGTGTTCTCGATGCTTGCCTGGAGCACACTGCCTTATGCCATCTGGCAGGTCTGCTACTATTTCTTCATTACGGTAAGACGCAGGGAGAAGATTGCAGCGGGCCGACCCACGTCCTTTACATGGCTGCGGCGCTCGTACTCCAAGACTTTGATTGGCAAGCTTGTGCTGGCTCTTCCAGATAGCCTGCAAGAAACTGCTTTTATGCTTATCCAGTACGCATATGCCTGTCTCACGATGGTGCCTTGCCCTTTATGGTTCTTGAGTCGATGGGCTTCCGCGGGGTTTCTCATGGTTATTTTCTCATGGAGCATCTACAACGGTTCAACGTATTACATCGATGTCTTCGGCAAGCGTTTCCAAAAGGAGCTTGAAAGCATGAAACAAGAGGTCCTGAAATGGCAAAGTCTGGCCGACGCTGGACTACAATCACCTCCCATGGGTCCCCAAACGGAACCCGCCACGCCCGCCGCCGAAAAATCGGATCAGCTACTTGGCCTTGGAGCTTCGGCAGCGTCACTCAACAGCGAGAGACAGAAAGGAAGCACGCAGCAACTCGCCGAGGGCATCGACAGCACTACCGTACCGAATATCAACTCCGCCAAGATCCCACTGCTGGATGAGGATATCAAGGGGCCGTCCGGTGTTGACGAAGGCAACTCAGACTCTGTCCACGAGCGGAAAAGCACATCCGCTCGGCCGTAAGGCACTCAGACAGGATTTCGCTTGTTGTTTGCGATTGTATTCTCTTTCGGCCTCTGCTGTCTAGACTACATGGTAGTTAGTCTGGTCGTTCGTGCACCACTGTTGAACGTGGCACCAGGATTCGTATATGATGGGCGCACCAGGTTGGATAGCGATTTGTTTCACTGAAAGCGTGTGATTAGAAAGTATGGCTCAAACATGGGCGATGGGATCTAGTGATGCCTCATGCTATTCGGAAGATAATAATGACATGTGCTTGGTTATTTATTGAGAGCTCAAGCTCGTGTTCTCATAAAATCATGATTTTGTCCCGATATCAGATGTTCGCTATGCTAATGCAATATATGTGAATCAAACGCTGTGCCCATGTCCCTAATCAACCGCCCTGATACCGCTGAATATTCTCCAAAGCCATGAGTTGTACGAGGAATGACCCCATCAAAGGCAGCAAGCGCTAACAGAAAAAAACACTATCACTGCCGGTACCAAGTACTGCTCCAAGTCCAAAAGACTTCTTCTCGCTCACCCGAATACTCATGTTGATAGAAAGCAAACCCAGTCAGAGAAGTGTGTTCAACCTCCTCATCGAATCACTCCCCATTCAGCGAATTTGCCTGTTCCCTCGCCGTCTTCGCGTGCGCCGGGCCGTCGGCCGAAGACGTTCCAGAACCTCAGAGTCTCGTCGCCAGCACCAGTGACCACAGACTTCCCATCTGGACTCATTGCCAAGTAGAGAACGCGATATGTGTGACCAGTGAGGCTAGCGACTTGGGTCATGGATGGATATTTCCAAACCACAATTTGGTTTTGGCTGTAACCGTGGGTGGACACGATTTCATTCGAGTTCTTCGACCAAGCAAGGTTGCAAACCTGGCTGCCAGTGTCAATCTCATTGATCACTGAGCCCTTGACTGTATCGTGGAAGATGATCCTCCGGTCCGCGGTACCACCGCCAGATGCCAGGAGCCCGCGTTGATGCGGAGACCATGAGATCGCCTTGACAGCCGCCGTGTGTTCCGAAAATTTCCACAAAGGGGTTTCGGAGAGCTTATCCCATACCATCAATTTATTATCGTTGCCGCCACTCGCCAACTGTCCATCTTCACAATTCCACTTCAACCCGCAAACCTCTTGTTTGTGCCCGACCAGCTTGCGAAACCATTGATCAGGGGCACGAACGTCGCGATGGTATATCAGCCTGTCTCTTGAGCCTGATGTGAGTATGTGAGTGTTCCAAGCCAAGGACCCCACGCGACCTGTGTGACCGGTCATTGTGCGCAGACGTCGAGCCTTTTCGGCATCCCAAATTTGAACAAGACCCTTTCCTGTCCCGATCGCTAGATGTGTTCCCTTCTGGATCCAAGAAACACTGGTGACAGTATCATCTTCCAGGGTGCATAGCTTGTTGACTTTGCTGGTGTGGGCATTCCACATGTAGACGCTTTGACCAAGCCCAACACCCAGGACATTGGCACTACCCCAATCGACTAGATTCAAATAGAAATCATCGGCCAGTTCGGGTGCGTCAAGCACCTTGTATGGAACTTTGCTCACAGCTCGGGGCTGCCGCCGTGGGCTGAGCAGCATTTGCTGGGAATTGAGGCGAACCGGCGATAGACTGTAGATTTCTGACTTGGGATCAAGCACTGGGCCATGTCGACTTTGTGGTGTCTTGGACGGAGTAGGTTGCCCTACCTGGTTATGGTGCCGTGGCGACAGGTAGGTGAAAAGATTTTTATGGGGCGTCGAAGGAGTAAGGGATGAAGGTAAAGACAATTGAGGGCTCTGGTTTGGTGGAGTTTTCGATCGACTCATCTCACCCTTCGTCATTGCTGGTACCGTGTGATCCGGGGACGAGGGACCGGCGCTAGCTTGCGGAACAGTTTTTTCAAACAACTCAGCACGTAGGAGGGTTGAGAATGTGCGATTAGCCTCCTCCGCTACACAAGTCAGCATTGGAACGGATTGTCGCCTAATGCAACATGGCTACTTACTCTTCTGGAAGTGCAGCTCTCCTTGTGGCGTGCGTTTCTTCTGCTTCGGAGTGGCAGGAGACGCATCATCGTGCAGCAGGCTGAAGCTGGCTTGAAGATCTTGACCAGAACGTGTCGGGATGAAACTTGCAACCATTAGTCAAGGTGAGTCTTCACATAGGTGTACATGCTTGGCCTACCGATCACCATTTATACGTTGTCGTTTATGGTGTGGACTAGCACTCGGTGTGCTCTCACGATGCGGACGGCCCATTTCTCGAAGTAAGGCATGATCAATGCTCCCCGCTCGCAGCTCTTCTTGTACGCTCATAGTGCTTCTGGTCCTTCTTTGCGAATTCGCCTCGATATTGTGTTTTGAATCCGCAACTCTCTCTCGCTCTGTAGGCGGCGGCGGCGTTGCTAACCTATGGACAGCGGCTGTTCCAGCCATTGCAGACATTTGAGCCTTTCTCCTCACGGCTGCCTCATCTGGACGCGAAGCCATGTCCCCAGCGAAAGTAAGTGGCTAGGTTCTTAAATCCAGGTGAGGGTGGAGGTAGTTGAATATCGGGCACGTGTCGCAGTACTGTAGTCGGGAAGAATTGCGACTGGAACTCGACACAGCTCTCACACTTCCTATTTGTGTACTTTTGGTGAGGAGGAACGACGAAATAATCGTTCAAGGTTCGAAGCTGGTTCTGAGGCCGTGGCGGGGAACAGAGAGGACCGGACAGAACGAGGGATGAAATGTTCAGAAGCGCAGGGAAGCGGTCGCAAGAATCATCTAGATTCGCTGGTGTATCCTTGTAGAGGTTGACGCGAGACGGTGAGTTTGAGATTGCTGGTACGTAGGTCGTGGCGGAGTGAAGCATTCGAGGATGGTAGGAGTTGGGCTCGGGACGGGAATGAAGACGTCGGCGCGCGGGCATAGGGACCTACCACCCTGAAGGGAACCGACCACTAGCCTGAGCTGAGCTCGGTGTAGTGGATACTCAATCACGCGCGGCTGGGGAGCTATCTTAGCATCTATTGGCTGCCAGCCACCCAGCCACTCCAACCCTGCGTTCATGGCTCGCGATAGTAGCTCATAACAAAACTTGACGCGGTTGAGACGTCGTGCTTGTTGTGTAGGCAGGTACTAATTGATATCAAGCGAGGCTGTCACTTGACTCACTTCGCGAGAAGGACTCCCTGTAATTGTGCGTGGAAGACGCGTCTCCTTTGCACATTGGGGTGAAATGGATTTATGCTACGAGCACGGAAGTCGAAGTTGATTCTATACGTAGATGTGCGTAACTTGACCATTTTTCTTCAGCTTCTGCGCTGCGATTGCAAATGATACCAACATCAAATATCAACGTTAGCATTAATCGACTCCTTGGCAATAATAGACAAACAATCAACATACAGAGTCTAATTCCTCCCTCACAAGAAAGGTCAGGCTTTGTTTATTATTGAACGCAGTGTGAGCCCATGCGACCGCTCTAACGCGACCTTGCGCGGTGAGATTCGATTGTTGCCTTGTTGTTGTTTTCAATCGCGGGGACGGCGGATGAGCCCAACTTAGCTCTTACCCATCCATGGAAGGGAGGCGCGTTAATTGCCTGGCGACTCGATAGTGAGCTAAACTGTCCGCGCACTGTACCTTACCCATATACACCTGGCACCACAGTAGTCTGCGCCGATACCTTACCTGACATCAAATTAACACTGTGTCTAACGCGAACTCGACGCGGATACGTCGCGTGGAACGCGGGACTGCCGCAGAGCGCCTTCAGGTTTACCGCCATGCTTGACAGCAAGGCCGATATTGCTACGTACTTATATAACATTGAAAGACATCGAATAATCGCATCACATCTAAGCAAAGGCCATGTACCTTGGCGAACGGATTTGTTATCTTCCATCATGGTGCGTACGGCCTGCATCACGTCATTCATTCAAGTTATCGTATGTTTGGATCTAATTGCCTATGCAATGAGGAGCAGTACTACGGATTACAACTACTTAGATAGACTACCAACGTGGCAATTACAGTTCAAGGGCATATGGTAAAGCAAAGATGCAACCTGTATTGCACGACTCGTTCCACCGCGTCAACTTCAGGCAACCTCAATATTGAAAACTATTATCGCTTTTGAATTCCAAAGTCAAATTTGATCTGGACTCGACGACGATTCACGCCTGGGCGTCAGCCTGCGCCAAGAGACGTTCTCGCCAGCCGTTGCACACTTCCTCAAATCCGCCCACGACATCACCACATACCCCGGCGCATTCCCGATTCTGCAAGCGCTCACCCCAATTACCTTTTGTGAGCCATCGTTCCCCTTCTTCTCGAAGCTCTTCCTCTCGCCTCATATCAGCGACGAGTTCTTTGGCAGACTTTAGCCGCCTTGCTGCTGTTGATGTAGTCTGCCGTGACATGTGAAGAGTATCTGCTAGGTAATTCAGTGTCTGGACGAGCTCTGCAGTATGTGAGTGTAAGGTAGCGAGAGAGTCCAACGCAGCCGTCGAAGGGCGAGGCATCTCTTCGGAGAGCGCCACCAGCAGCGGGATCAGCTCCTCAATCGCTTCTAAATCAGGTGGTGGAGCCATTGGTGACAGTATGGGCAGGCTCAGACTGTGGACCTGCCGAGCCTGATGAGCCAAGTGTGTTGTCAACGCGGAATGAGCAGTAATGAGCCTGTAAGATCTCGTCAACGCGCCGAGTCATGATGGGCCATGAGCGGTCTAACCTTGAAGCGCTTCCCTCAATGGTAGACTGTGAGCCAAGATCACGGAGCGATTCCGTGACTCTCTCGACGATATCATCGGCCGGCCCCCCGTACCTCTCTATTCCACGCCGTGCAAGTGACTCAACAGCGTCAATTTTAGCCACCAAATTTGGCGGTAACCCAGATGAGTCGAGGTCGGTCTCGGAGCCATACTCGCTGCCATCGTACGCGCTTTCCCTCCTCCTGTGATTGCTGCGATCTTTCGTCGGGGGAACGTGAAGTCCACCATCTGAGGCCACTTGATGTGCTTGACCCGAGCTTGTTATTGAGATATCTTTGGTGACATCTGTCCCATCCTCTATTCCCCCGTGATACTCTTCCTCCGATTCCGAGAAGGCATCGGCTAGCTCGTCAGCCAAATTCCCCGTGCCGTTGCCACTGGTTGCGCTGACTCCTAGTTCACTCATGTCGTGGGTATCTTGTCGTGAGAAACTCCCACGATAGGGGGAGGCAGGGCCGTTCGATGAACGTCGAAATCCTGGGGAATCTGGGAAGGTATCGATAGCTGAGGACTGTCGCGAGTGTCGAGGTGTTTGCGGTGAGGACATTGTGGGGTTATCTGCTGCCACGCCGGCTCAAATCAATGTGCGATGGCAAAGGGGCAAGGATGTCTGTCATTCGATGTTATAGCGTCCGCGATGCGCAAAAAAATATGAGATCCAGGGTCACGAGGGAGGAACCTTGCGAATGCCCTGGCGAAGAGCTTGATCAGCTGTGCGAGCTGCAGGTATGAATATTTAGTCGGGATTGGCGATAACGTCTTTGATTCATTGTCCAGGGGTGATGTTGCAGGGTCACAGTCGGTAGGTGCAATGCAGCATTGCAGCTTAGGCAGGTGCTCCGAGTCGGGCACCAGGTGGGGACACGCGCACGCCAGGACCGTTAGTCTTTATTAGGTGACAGGTCCAGTCCTCGTTGGCAGGGGCTTGCTACTGGAGGCTCCGCTGCCACTTGGCACTGACAAGCACGTTCAGTTGCTGTCGGGTGGATAGTATTTAATTAAGGAGCCAATCCCTGTTCAAGGGGCGGTGCTCTCAAGCTGTGTTCAACATCTTGCATTTTCATTAATCATTGGGCTGCAAGTCGGAATGGGTGAAAAACTACCTCAGCCACCCCAGCGTCACACAAACACCCTGAACCTGCAAAGCCATCGGCTATAGTAGATTTGTTGCCATGGCATCTTTCAGGCTTTTTCGTCCTGATGACATTAATCGGTTTGCCAAATGCAACCTGGACCCTCTTACGGAGACATACGACCTTGACTTTTACCTGCAGTATCATGCAAAGTGGCCTTCTCTGTTCCAGGTCTGTCAAGACCAGCGGGGGAACATCATCGGTTACAGTAAGCAGCGACATGAATCGTCTATCCTCAATACGGCGACTGATTCATGAAAGTCATGGGCAAAGTCGAATCTTCGCCTGATGCGTACAAGTTCTCTGAGCACTACCTCCCATGGCATGGGCATATAACAGCACTGACTGTAGCGCCAGAGGCGAGGAAAATGGGAATTGGAAAGATGCTTACAGAACAACTCGAGACAGCAGCGGATGAACAAGATGCTTGGTTCGTGGACTTGTTCGTGCGGCGGAGCAACGAGAGAGCCATTCGATTTTATAAGAACATGGGCTACAGCGTCTATCGCGTGGTTAAGGACTACTATGGTGACCATGCGACCGACCCGACCAGATCAGGCGAGGACGCATATGACATGCGAAAACCTATGCGTCGAGACAAGGACCATCGGCACATCAGGGACAATGGCGAGGAGCACGAAATTTTCCCAGAAGATGTGTGGTAGCATGGTCAAGTCACAACAATTTCTGGTCTATTTGATCACCTAGCTACTTCGTGATCGACGCCAGGTCGTGCGGCCATTTCAGCTTATAGCACAGCACTCACTACACCGGTCGTATTCACCTCTGCTCCCTTTGCTTGATGGCCAATTTCCGCTATCACTTAATGGTCGTACGCCAACTACAAGATCACTCTTCCACCAAGCCCCTTCCACCACAGAAAGCTTTGCATGTGCATCCTACACACCTGGACCCGGAGCTAAGCTGGAATAGCTTGTCATATTTTTGCATTAGGCACTCATTGTTAGACAGGAGTTCCTCTATCGAAGAAGCGCCAGCCAGTTGGTCGCAGTGGCTTTAAATCCAGTGAAGCTTCCGTCGAGCGATACCCTCCCTCCCTGTAACCCATCATGAGAAAGTTTGCAATTACTCTTTCATTGCCATAACAAATTTCGACAACTGCGGCACGCCCACGTCGAAGGTCTTGAGAAGAATGCCACATCCTAGAACGCCCTTGTCGCGCGTTCAGTATTATCCAGTTGTTATATCTTCTCATGCGTTCGTTGGACTCTGCTTTGAGGCACGGGATGTCTTAATTAAGGACTACTACCTACGTCGTTCATTCCCGCGATGAGCTAAAGTGAACTTCATTGCCAAACAACCGGTTTGACGGGACCCACTGCACGAGGCCCTGCCGATGAGGGGTGCCAATGAGCGCCGATGTTTTATGCTGACATAATCAGGAGTGGACCCGCCGCGATGCGTCCCCAACTTCAAGTGCTTTTTGATTTTCACGTCAATTCATCTGTACCTACAAAACCTTCTGTCATCGCTTTTTGGCCCCCAGCAGCACCAAAAGTCATATCTGGTACCTACACTACCTCGCGAAACCATCATGGCAACGACAGCTATGGACTACGAAGACGCCAACGGCGACCGCTATGAAGGTACCTGAAAATTCTGTGGCCTTGCTTTAGTTGTGGCGCGTTGTTGTTCGATGCGCGCAGCCAATGTTCTTCTCACGAGCTGGATACTAACTGTAACCGCCAGACGAAGCTCCTCGTTACGAGCGCGACAATCGCAGCGCGTCACCGCGGCCGTCTCGCGACGACAATGATGGGTCACGTCGCCGCTCGGCCTCCCCTGGGGGCAACGGTGACAGGTTCGTGTCCCTGTCACAACAGCAGACACCACCAACGCTAATACTCCCAGAAGCAGTCGCAAGCCCTCGTCTGGGCCCAGGGATGAAGACGACGATGGTGCAGTCAACCCCGGCTCAAACTTGTTCGTAACCGGCATTCACCCTCGTCTCAATGAGTCCGAGATCTCCAAGATGTTCGAAAAGTATGGCGACGTCGAAAAATGCCAGATCATGCGTGATCCCCACACCAAGGAATCTCGCGGCTTCGGCTTTGTCAAGATGGTTACACCCGAGCAGGCTGAAGCTGCTAGGGAAGGGCTCCAAGGTGAACAGATTGATGGCCGAACTCTTAGCATCGAAAAGGCCCGTCGCGCGAAGCCTCGCACGCCTACGCCTGGAAAGTACTTCGGCCCCCCTAAGCGAGGTACGATATTTCCATTCTCACCTTAGTCATTTCGCAGGGATGCATTGCTAAGACAACTCCCAGATGGACCGCGTCCTCGCTTCGATGACCGTCGCCGTGGTGGAGGTGGTGGCCATGGCCGCGATGACCCTTACCGCTATCGAGGATACGAGCGTCGTTATGACGACCGCAGCTATGATCGTGGCTACGATCGTGGTTACCGAGACGACCGCCGCTATGACGACCGAGGCGGTTACGGCCGTGACTATGACCGCCGCGACCGTGGTGAAGGCAGCTACGGTGGCGGCCGTGAGCGCTACGGAGGCGGCCGTGAAGACCGTGATCGTTATGGCGGAGACCGCGGCAGTGCACCTGGTGGAAGCTATGCTGAACGCGACCGCTACGACCGCGGCTCCGAGCGAGCTCGCGATCCTCCAGCCGGTGGCGCAAGCTATAGCGATGCCCCCGCACCTCGCGTCGAGCCGCGTGACTCCTACGGAGCCTCTGGCTATTAAAGTCAACTACGTCCTGTTACCCTACGACATGGCGGGGGTAAAACCCTGGAAGCCGGCCAAATGGCCAGGGCTCTGCGCCACAGAACCCTCGTGCTTCCATCTTTACTATCTCCTTTTCTGTTTTCGAAAGGATTTCTTTTTGTCATGCTTGCTTAATGGGGTCACGGGGTCTACTCTTATTTCTTCTAGGTTCTTCGATCTGCATGTCGTCAGAGCAATACTCGGCTCTGGCACATCGAAGGGATACGTGGGTGGACGGCACGCCACAGTTGGCGCACGTCGCAGCTGTCACTTGAGCGACGATGATCCGGCTAAGAAACACCACATTGTAAGAACGCCATAGGTTGCGACGGTACTTGCGCACTCGGTTTAACGCCTACCCTCTTCACGCCGGCATGTGGCGGTCAACTTTGGGCTAAAAGACGGCCACGCGCAGGCCTTATTGAGTCTTCGTCAAGGGAAAGGAAACGGCATCTAAAAACGGCTACGCATCGATTCTTAACGCCTGTTGTACTATTCAATTACTCTCGCAACTGATCACCCGAGCTCCTCGCAACAGTAACAGGGGCTTCCACTCCGGCCGCGACATGCTCTCGTCTCCCCATTGATACTTCGCCATGCACGTCACTACACTTCGCAACCTAAATTCTTCAGTTGCGCCTGTCTACTGTCAAGCCAAACGCGATTTGCTGCACATGACATTGAATCCATACTTTTCGCATTGCTTGAGCCTTCATCTCAACAATGCGCCGACATCAAGGGTTCTTCGGTGCAGCCGCTTCAAGCCACGTATAATGCTCCGCAGGCTATCATTTTCGCTCTAGGTGAGTGCCACTAACGCAAATACAGTGAAGTCTCATCCAAAGCCTAGATCCTGTCTGGCTCCGCAACATTTCTCGAAGCAGCAGAGCCCCCAGGTGGCGGGCCAGCGATCAGATTCGTTCAAGCCCGCCGAGGGACCGTGGCGCTATCAAATAAGCAGCTCAATTTTGTAGTTGCACAGCATCCATATTATATGTATACGTATGTATCTGCAGTCGATTAATGGGAGTGATTCACGTTGGCCCCAATCAACCAGCCGACGCCTGATACAAGTGTGCCTGTAGCTGCCTCCCGCAATTGATCACGCCGCCTTGCCCTGTGGTGATCCTCAGCGACACTAGCAGTGTCACCTTGTGAACCACCAGTTGTCATCCCTTGCAGACTTGATAGTGTGGAAAGGTTCCGTCGAGCTGCTCTAGCAGTTGCCCGTGACAAATCGAAAATCGACAACGGAGCATCTTCTGCTTGTCGTCCCGTTGTTGCAATGGAGGCATTTCTCGGCGGGTAATTGGCATTTGGCGGCGGGGTGTCAAAGGAACCGGGCAATGCGCCCACATCACCTGCTGCATCCCAAGCAGCCTCCTTGGCAGCTTCTTCCGCAATTGCGGCATCAAGTCGTTGCTCACAACTAAGGAAGCTTTGCAGAATGGCCTGCAGCTCTGACGCTGGAGCAACGCGCAACGTGGTAGCCAAACACTCCAGACGCTGCTCTAGGTGGCGAACCTCCGGGTTTGCACTCGAGGTGCCCAAATGCGTCGGCAGCTGAGTCTTGGAGGTCCGAACGTATTCACCAGTCTGTAGCGCTGCTTTCCAGGACCACCGGTCATCTCCGCCATCCGATCCAACAACACGGCTGGCAATATATGAGTAGGCTGTCTCGAAGTCGTCCTCTCGCAGAGCGGCAGCAACACACATCGCCACAACACGCTTGTTTGAGTCCCGTAGTGCATGATCCTGCTCATCAGACTTGCTGGGTGGCCTATGGGTCCATCCGTTCGATAAGAATCCAGCAGTGACCATATTCTCTCCTACATTGACGAATTCTTGAAGTCGAGTGTAGGCTTTGGGGTTCTGCTCCAGTACCTTTTCTAAGATCGATATAGGATCTGAATGTACTCGGAGCATGATAGGACTGAACGGCTCGCCTTGCTTGAGGACGAGTCTGTAGTTGCTGAGCGAATGAGCTGCACCGAGCAACGCTTCGATTTGTCGTGACGTATCCAAAGACTTCGGCACCGATTTGGGCAACGCATGCAATCTATGTCACATTAGCAGATGCAATCACCGAGGCTTGCTGGCTTCTGACATGTCGTTGCATTTGCGTAGGCCGCCTCTCGTCCTGTTAGGATTCGACGCGCTGTCGAAAGCGTCCAGCGCAGCATCAAACACAGCTTGCCGAACGCTCTCGACTGGGAGAGGTGGCTCTCTCATGTCTTGATAGATCGACCGTCCCAGTGCATAGCCTAGAAAGATTTAGATTCACTTCTATACGCATTTGTTGCTAGCTTGACCTTACGTGAGTGCGACAGCATGGCTTTCAGAAGTTCAACCTCAATGTCTGGCAGAGGAATCGTGCCAAATACACCAGCAGCATGACCTGTAGCATGTCCTGTAGCAGGGTCGGGGGTCCAGCTGTGCAACCAGAGTACGTCGCTCCGGAGTTGGCCCCAAAACGTATCGTCATCCCTAGGTGCGTGGTGTGCTGCGAGTCTGATGAGTTTCATCAATTCAATTCCCTGCTCTCGTTTGTCTCTCGAGAGCCACAGCTCGCCGGCACGGCGCAAGGTATACGGCATGCCTAGCCGAGAGAAGTGACGGGCACTTAGTATCAGTGCCTGGAGTAGCTGGAGTGAATCCTCGGTTGGCTTGGTCAACGGGTTCTCCGAGTCTAATAGACTGCTTTTGAAATGCGTTCGGGTAATGTTGGTCTCAGGCACGTGCTTCATACTGATTGGCGAGAGCTCAGGCAAGTGTTCGTTTCGTGAGTCTCGCGCCTCAGATAACGATCCCAGTCCCAATAGATCAGCCACACGAGCAGCGATCTGGTGCGCACCATCCAAGGCTTGGATGTCAGGATCGGAAATCCGATATGCGGCCGCTATGAGGGTACGGCAGTATGTCGTATCAAAATAGCGAAGCTGTTCCTGGCTTATGGGTGGATCTGGAAAATCTCCGAAATCAACATCTCGTGGCCCATCCCACTGATCGGCGGCCGCAACTCCAAATCTCCAGTCTTGTTCAACTTGTTGAATCAGCCACTCACGCGCAGACTCCCACCCTAGGCACTGCAGTGGCGAGTGGCTGGGGGAGGTTGCCTGCGACGAGTGCCATCTCCTTGAATCATACAACCATGGAGACAGCAGGCCTCGCAAATCTTTTCCAACATTCCCGTGTGTTTCGTTAGAAAGAGGCGTTTCTGATAGCAGGTACTTGACAGCCATCCGGTTTGGCAGCTTTTCGAAGCTTGCCAACGTACAATGATCCGATTGTATGTAGTATTCGGTGCTGCGCCTCACAAGGGGAACGATTGTTGTTGTGAGCCAAGAGTGTATGACCTCGCTGTGACAAACGAACGGTCGCAGCAAATCGGAAATCTGAGAAAGCATTCCCGCCTCTTCATCAAGTGCACGGGCTCTCCGCAACAAGAACTCCGTGAAGGAATCCGCATTTATATCGTTCGACAAGGGAAGCGGTGCGAGATTCAGCTTGCAGACCTTCTTCCTCGCTTGGTGTTCACTAAGTGTCGCTATGGAAGGTGGCAACCGATGCGGCGCTGTTGTATCGTCGCATCCTAGATCATCCTCCACAACTTTTTGAAGAAAGGCGACATATAATATGGGACTCGTTGTTTCCGGCAAGAACGTTAAAAGTATCCGGAACAGGAGCTCTTTTTCTATGATTGATTGATGTCGTGTGGTTATCTCGAGAAGGTCGTCAATCTGCGCTCGAGCTGCGAGCTCAACTGCGGCTAGGATCACCTTGGCTGGTGGCTGCGGAGTGCTCGTTTCGTCCGGGATTGCTGAGGCAAGTTTGCCAGTAGTCGCAGGTTCGTGAACCATAGTGCTACCTGAAACTGCAAGCTTATGGCTGTAGAACTGTGATGCTGAGGAATCCGAGGTACAGCGTTAGCGAACAAGCGTTAGCGAACAAGCGTTAGCGAACCAGCTTCAGCTACCGAGGGGCGCCGATGGGGAGCTTGTTCAAGGTCCGTCAGCCAATGCAGATTGCGACAGCGACATGGTTCTCGATCGCTGTCTATCGCAGCCAAGGAAGGGAACTGGCAATATGGGAGGAACTCTGCACTGCGTGCGGCCAAGAACATAACCAGATATCGGCGGTCCAAGTTTCCTAATGACCGTCGCAATGTTCAGTCTGTCTTCGTCATGACAAAAGCGGAGTACGGACCACCCAACTGGCTAGCACGTTCCACCTGCAGCCTTCGGGCAGCAGCGGATTTACCGAGGATTAAGCACAAAATCCACTTTGTCCCGGGCGACGTCCTTCGTCGACCTTGAATCGGGAAGGCTGTATAGGTACTTATTGCGACAGCTCCCCATTCGATATACTGCATTGCGCGAAAATGTCGTCAGGGTATGGTCAATACGGCGGTAAGTTGATCGACGAAAACACACGATATCGCGCAACTCGAGGTCTGTTCAATTATTGATACGTCTCAGGCGTCGGCCGCTGCTTTCCCTTCTGGCAGGAGGTGCTGGCTTGCTATGTTGTCAACACAACTGCGGAGAACGACGGTGCTGGCAAGATTAAATGCGCGGTAGCACTTGAAGACTACTATGAATGTCTCCATCACAAGAAAGAGGTTCGTCAACCCAGCGCAAGACAACGCGGTGAAGCTAACTTCGTCCAGCATGCGCGAGCAGTGGCTATGCAAGCAGCCTATAACCGACGAGGCGCCACATCTGGAGATGATATGCCATCCGCGAGCCAGATCAGAAATCTTGGTCTTCTTGGCAAGGAGGAGGACACAAAGAAAGTCATTGGGGAGTCATGAGGCATGATTTCGCGTCAGGGTGGAGTTGTACCGTTAACGTTGTCAATCGAAATTTTCGATAATCCCTCCAAATTTCCTGTCGAGGTATTGAGGATCGCGCCAGACCCGATGATATGGACGAAGACGATTTTTACATGTGGTTGGTGCTACGACACGAAACAGTCGA